GCACCCAGGAAATTCGAGTTACGCTCTCTTTCGATCTTGCAATTGACTTCAACCATCCGTTCTGCTTACACTTCTTTGTTTTGAGGTTCTACAGCTCTAGCTGATAGCTGGCAGCGTTTAAGAGGAGTGTCAGCCTCCTTTAGATGGAAGATGGCGGGTCAACGGACTCATGCGGATTTGCTGCGAGAAGCAATGCTGTGAGTTTGCCATTCTTGATTATTTTTTTTTTCCTGTTTTCCTTTTCCTTTTCCTTTTCCTTTTCCTTTTTTTAACCCAAACCCGCGGACTGTGTGGCAATGGCGATGAGCGGTCAAGTTAGGGGAACCGAGCCTTGGATATTCATGGGTGTTTGTTTTCTTTGGGAAGGGAAATGGTTCCTCTTCGTATCGCAACTACCGTTTGGCTGTTGGTTCATGAAAACATCATCACCATTTATTCTCTTCCCATCATACGCCGAGTACATCGGGAGTTTTCAAAGCTAACATCCAGAAGAGAAAATGGTGACGGAATAGGTTCTACAACCCCACCAAATGGGATCTTTACGACACCAAATCCAGAATTCACCGATAAACGCCTCCCAAGTATAATACCCAGTTATTTTCAGGTTCGTGGTTTCGATTCTACTAAAGAATACGATTCTACTAAAGAATACGATTCTCTTGTACATCCTCAAATTGAAATGGAGGCCAAGGCTTCCTCTGACACTGACTCGTTATCTGAGTCCATTGTCATGCTGGAACGAGATCAGCCCTCCCCATCTCAATCTGAAAAGCCATCAGAGGAGGATGCGTTTTCGAACATCAGCTCGTTATCCAACCCTCCCCTCTCTGCTTCTTGTTCCATTCTACAAAAGGAACCAGAAGAAGCTGAGAATGGCGCGCCTACTGAGAAAGGAATGGGTTCTATCTGCCGCGCAATAAAGAACCTGCTGTCGCAGAATTCTTTAAAGATTGGACGGCACACATCAGATCCTGTTCCTAGCAGCATCTCACACGATCCTGTCTTTGCATCTCACTTTGCTAATCCATGTCTCCCTACTTCCCCAACCTTATCTCCTTCTAATCAATCTTGCCCGCTTTCCAATTCGTCTGAAGAGCTGGCGAAGCTGACTGCCAATCAACTACGAAAGAATACACCCCCGCTCACCCCACGAGCAATGTCATCGAATGAAACTCCTCAAGCGGACGTAGTGGCCCGTTCCCCTGCTCATAGCCATCCTGAACCGACACGATCAACCCTGCAAACCCCTAAACCGTCTTCCTCTCACTCTACCGCCTTATCAGAGAATCAAGGAATTCCAGTAGGCTCACCTAAGGGGAAATTATCTGTCAAAATATCTGAGGGAAGGGGATTGCGCCCAAGCTCTGATCCTTACGTTGTCTGCGTCTTTGAATTGAATGAATACATTTCAAAGGGTGCTCAAACTGAGGAGCCAATCGAATTCGAACTCGAGAATGGAACAAATGAGACGCTATCATCTGTACCGATCCAACGATCCAACAGTGACTCAGGTCGCCCCATGGCTATCCCAATGAAAAGTCGACAAAGTAGTAACAACAGCATGTTGGATAGTCATGGCCATAAGGGGCTAAGTGAGGTTACAGATCCATTGTGGAATCATGAAGCCGTTTTGTGCGTTTTGCTTCTTTTCTTTTCTACTCATTATCCTTTAATTATTGGCAAAGCCTATGCGCGTCCTTATCTTACTGACCTTATTACTTCTAGTGATGTCCTTGGGGATGAATCTGAAATTGAAGTTTCGGTATACGATCGATCGAACCACGAAGCGTTCTTGGGTCATGTAAAGTTGCGTGTCAGTTTTAAGGAAGATAATAAATCAATAGCAGGATGGTATCCTCTAGTGGTTCGTGATCGGGGTGATGGCTATGTGTCGGGAGAGATACATCTAGAAATGAGCTTTCAGAAAACAGACAAGAAGCAGTTTGGACCAAATGATTTCCAAATCCTTAAGCTCATAGGGAAGGGAACGTTTGGGCAAGTCTATCAAGTGAGGAAAAAGGACACCCAGAGAATCTACGCGATGAAAGTCCTTTCCAAAAAGGTGATCATTCAGAAAAAAGAAGTTGCCCATACACTTGGCGAAAGGAACATCCTGGTCCGGACTGCTATGACGAATTCTCCTTTCATAGTTGGTCTCAAATTTTCTTTTCAAACACCCACAGATTTGTACCTTGTCACAGACTACATGTCTGGAGGGGAGCTGTTCTGGCATCTGCAAAAAGAAGGGAGATTTCAGGAAGCTAGAGCGAAGTTTTACATCGCTGAGTTGATACTAGCTTTGCAGCATCTACACGAACATGACATCGTGTATCGGGACCTCAAGCCAGAAAACATCCTACTTGATGCAAATGGTCACATTGCGCTCTGCGATTTTGGTCTATCCAAGGCAAACTTGACCAAAAACCAAACGACAAACACGTTTTGTGGCACAACAGAGTATCTTGCCCCAGAAGTTCTCCTTGACGAACAAGGTTACACAAAAATGGTGGACTTTTGGTCTTTGGGTGTACTGGTTTTCGAAATGTGCTGCGGATGGAGTCCGTTCTATGCAGATGATACGCAGCAAATGTATAAGAATATCGCCTTCGGGAAAGTGAGATTTCCCCGCGATGCTCTCAGTTCTGAGGGACGCAATTTTGTCAAGGGTCTCCTTAACCGAAACCCGAGGCATAGACTTGGAGCTTCTGATGATGCCAGAGAACTTATGGCCCACCCCTTTTTCCACGACGTTGATTGGGAGGCCTTAGGCAAGAAGAACGTGGCCCCTCCGTTTAAACCGAAATTGAAATCAGAGATGGATACCTCCTACTTCGATCCGGAGTTTACAACTGCGCTGGACCACGCGACCTCCCTAAATGCACGCGCCGCTGCACTTGCAGCTGGCGCCATGCCAGCATCAACTCCCATATCTCCGGGAATGCAGGCCAATTTCCGAGGATTTACATTTGTCAATGAAAGCTCTATGGACCAACATATGAAGGATGTCCATATGGAGGGAAGTTACAGGGCAGATGATACCTGGGTAAGACAATCACACCGTCCCATAGGTAGTGGAAGGGCAGAACATCTTATGAGCGGCATTGTGAAAACGAGCGAACCCACTGAAGGTGCTGGTATTTTTGGCGATGAAGACCACCACTTCGATATGCAGTGACGGCCTCCTCATACTCTACCTACCTAACTAGCCCTCCAAGAAGAATGAAAGAAACAAAGACAAACTATGGGACATCCGATTCTTGTGTTGCACATAATGACTGCTTGTCTGTACATGATCAGAACGAATATTTACCAACCCTTTTTTATAACTATTTTCTTATTTACTTTTCTTTCGCCCCTTTCTTTATTAATGCTTCATCATTTTCATGTATACATGTGGGGTTATATGCTTTTTTTTGAACCCTCCGGAGGTGTTGCAAATCAAATCATTCTATGAGTCGCAAAGCAAAGAAAGTTTTTCTTTTCTTTTCTTTTTTCTGTGCCCGTCTTCACATATCCAAAATGCTTAATGATGCCTGTATGCCTCGTCAATGCCTTCCTTACCTGATTTAGACACCGTTTTAATCGCAGTCCTAGCCTGAGGTGTCGTGTTTCTATTATAACTTTATATATGTGCTTTCAAGAACACTTTTTCCCACTTATTTTCAGTACTTGCATTGCGTTGCATTCGATTAACTGTGGGGAGAATCTTCAAATAAGGAGGGGGCGTGGAAATTTGATATTTCCCTTCATTTTTTTTTACTCATTGAATGAAGCTTTGGTTTGCCTGTGTTTTCTCCCCTATTTTCTTTTCATATAGTTATTAAATGATATCACTTTCCGCTTTCCGTATTCCGTCTACCTTTGAATTCGTTACTTTTGTCCTTTTCCCCCGGTCCCCTATTGATCCGTTTCAAAGAGAGACAGATGCATTTCTGCTGTTGTTCCTCTACAATATGTCTGGGAAACCTCTTTTTCCCATTTTTCATAATCCACTCTAAGTGATTGTGGCTGAGGTTTTTTTTTTTTTTTTTTTTTTTTTTTTTTTTTTTTTTGGTATTTTATGAGTGACAAAACATTATCAAATTATTTCATTTTATTCTCTCTCAATTCTTCTTGACTTTTCCCTTTTCAGATGGATTAAAGGCTAGCATTCTTCAACATGAAGCTTCTAATGTTTCTAGCAAATGATAACAGTTTTGGGGAAGGAGACATCACAGTAATAATATTAAGCTGAGATGGATACATAATTCATGAACCAACCCACTTACCTCTTCGAAGCTCACAGTTAATGGCAGCCTTAATACGATAGAAGACATGAAATGGAACGGCATACTCAAGAAATGGAAAGGTAAACTTTTGTATAATAAAATGCACTACATAATTGTGACATTATTGTGCATATCCTAAGACAGCTTAGCTTGGTCTCCAGTTTTCTAAATCTTCTGGCAATTCATGTTCCTTGCTTGAAATAGGCATCTCCATAATTACTCCTCCCAATCGCGTGGATCTCACCTATCAAGTACTGCGATGCTGTTCGTAATGCTGCAACACCGGGGTATCCGGTAACCTTTTATGCGGGCGATGGCAAGAGGGAGTCGGGAACATCAAGATTTGGGGATAAGTGGTGCGCAGCTAACACTGAGATTTCTCATAAAAACTCTCAAGCATTTCTTTAGCTATTGTATCATCACTTTGTACACGGAATTTCTGTGGGATGGTTGGTTCTTCTATTCGGAGGAGCTAGCTAGGTTATTGCTATATTACATACAAGCGATCACGTGTGGGCGGGGCGGTCGCTAGGGCAACGCCACCCAGGCGGGCGCCGCTACAATTTCCGGGTGAGGATGCATGTGTCATGCTTGATTTTTGTCCTCACTGGAACATATCGTGAAGAAATTACATTCTGTGCCTCCAGACAGAGACAGTTAAGTTCTATTGATGAAGAGAAACTTCACACCAATTAGAAAGTAATTGATTCAGTAAAAGGAATGAAAATGTAGAGGTCCGGCCCGGATTCGAACCGGGGTTAATGGAAGTTGATAAACTTAAATCAAAATCCACTGTGATAACCACTACACTACAGGACCGCTAGACGTTTTGGGACTAAAATTCTAATGACATTTATAAAATCTAAGGTTTTAAACAAGGAAAAAGCTGCGTAAAAGTGGGATCCCCAAAGACAGGGTATCCCCTGCGCGATATACCATGACGGAGAAGATAATGAAATATTCAGTGCTTATTGCGGATTCGAGGATTGCCACAGCTATTGCCAATAGTTCAGTCACACTTTGAGACCGGAGCATTTTAATATCTAGATTCGCCGACCTGCTGGCAATGGCGTGTGTGTTTTGCTTGAACATCTGATGAAGGTTGATAAGAACCGAATGATGGTCATCCAAAATAGTTCTTCCGCGTGCATTACAGACCGAGTAGTGTTTCATTTTCAAGATGGTTTTCGGTGGCAAGGGGTGGAGTGGAGGCAATCATAGCAAGAATAAGCAAAGCCCGATTGATTCAAGGAGATGCCACAGTCCACAGCGACGAATGGGAAATATAATGTTGTCAAGTCTTTCCAGACCTTACAAAATGAGTACCGCGTCGTTTCCGTGTATCGCAGGTTTTGAACAACACACAGCAGCGTAGTGGGCATGGCTCGATGCTGGCCTTTCGGCGCATCCGGTTTTCGCGCTGTGAAATAAGACTGGGTCAATTTCATACCTGCAGCATGAGGATCGATGAGTGCTGGATGATTGATGTTCAGGTGTAGAAGTAACGCCGCAAAAGCACTTATGCATGGGGCATTCGATGATTCAATGATGGTTCAACCTATTTGGTATCCCACTGTCTATCAAATGCAAGATCCCACCACACAGTCCGGTAGAACTTCCAGGCTGACTTATACCTGGTTATATCTCGATCAACATAAGCTATTTGCCCGAGCTCGGTTTCGGTGCTGCAAGGAAACCGCTCAACGCTGAGTCCCGAATATTATTCTTGTTCGATCAGGTCCAGCCAGCCCCTTGGAACTTTAGGTCCACTTCTTTTATACTCCATAATAAAAACGCCAATATCATCAAAGTTAGCAGGTATCAATGGTGTGGATTATTGGTTCCTGTAACCAGCCCCACAAATAACCTGAATACTCGAGTGGCTTCAGTTGACTCAGTCACCTCATATATTCCAAGTTTAGTGAGAAAAGCGGAGAAAAATGGGTAAGAGATGTTAGATAACCATCAACATGTTGCTAGTAACTAGTGTGTCTATTAGGCCTGGCTTAAGGTCACGGGACTCAAGCAGCTCAATGCCATTCATTCATTCATTAGCGCCGGGGTAATAAGGGGGATTCCAAACGTCACTTTATCCTTTTGCCCACCCTCGACGTTGTTGACTTCTTGTTAACCTCTTCCAGGTTGTGACTGTATGTAAAAGCGGAGCAGACAAAGGAGGCGGAGAAGTAGCTCCTCACAAACCATAACCTGACTGACACCTTGATGAAGCTGATCGGCATCATAATTGCGAGTTAAATCCGTGCGGTCTGTGCCCTAACTACCGCTCTTTTGTACCCCTTTTTTCAACCTCGATCTCCCAGTGGTTTGATGGCTTTTTCAACCCCGCAACTTGACTAGTTATAACCATAGAAGGCTATATTTTTTAGCCGCCCCGTAGTGGGCCTATCGCAGGTTTACCCCAAGGACTTGGTCTCCACCATGAATCGATGCAAGCGCCGCCGGTTCCCAGAAACCATCCCATCCATCGCCGCTGATTGATGCTTCCTTGGTACTTGGTATCTGTTCAATTTTTGCCCAATTGTTTTTGAAGGGAATAAAATTAATTTCTCCTCTTTCGGCTTTGCTCCTTTAATGAACAAATATGGCCATTGTGATGAGATATCGCTCAAAGGATCACCCTTATTTGTGGAGTCGATCGTCAGGGCTTGTCAGGCTCGTCGTTTGCGACCAAAAAAACAAACTAAGCCCGTTGCTCTTTTCATGCTTTTACGCTATTATCGCCCATTGGTAGCTCTTCTTTCTTCTTCGCAATCTTGGCTTCTTCTTTTCTCATTCCTACTCCCTCATTTGATTCTGTGATAATAAATAACCGTTTTCTCTGGAAAACTTGCTGGGTCATTTTTTTGTTATGTGCGCTTTATTCCCCTCTTTGTGGTGTTAGGTAAAGTGCAATGAACGCGGTTACGAGGAGAGCATCAGATTCCGGGGGTTATGGCATACGATCGGGATCCATATCGAGGTGAGGTTCCTAGCCGTCGAGCCTCGCCTGTTTATCCCATTCCCGTACAGCCTGGGAGCCCTTCTCCCAGAGAGTTCTCGATTCCACATGCCCTTAACGGCAATTACTCCAATGCGAGTACTCCTGAAATCTACTCTCCTACTGCTGCGTCTACTGCTAGCTTCACTTTCCGCTCGCTCAAGTCAGTGCAATCGAATCCGAAGGAACAGTTGCCTTTCTCAAAGCCGTTACCACAGGAGGTCTTTGACTGCATTTTTTCACACCTTCACTATTCTCACTCAGCTCCTAACTCTGGAGGCTGCGTAACATGCTATATGAGAGATTTGTATTCTTTGTCCCTAACCAGCAGAGCATGGGAAAAGGCTGTGAGGGGAAAGCTGTAAGTTGGCTCTGTACTTGGTAGATCAATCAATTGCTAAACATATTAGATACAACAAAATCTATATCCAAGGTAACGACTCGCCGGCCCAACTCAAGAAATACAGATGGAAGAGAGGAAGTAGATTAAGGTTGCTGCGACGAACGCTTAGAGAAAGAAAATTACTGGCAAATGCAGTGTTCGAGATCAGAATACCGGATTTCGAGACGGCAACAGGAGGGCATGGAAAACAAAACTTTACGGTACAGGAATACCGAGACCTCGTTGCATCGGTCGTGATGGCGTGTCCAAACTTGGAGCGCCTGTTAGGCCTGTCGCTACCATATAACCATGAGTTCGATCGTTTGACGCATGCGCTTTCGACGCGGAAGAAGCTCAAGGAACACGCCTGGATCATCGGAGGAAATCCTGTAGCTCGTGAGCTGTCAAAGGGACAAACTTCAGAACTTTTGGATAGTGGCCAAGTTTTTCAGTTCCTCAACCACCACACCACATGGTCGCATCTCGAGACACTCCTGTTACATTCTCTGAATTCTAGCGGAATACTAGAACACGGTGTGTTCCTGCGGATGTTCAACTTCTTGCCGTCTCTACGCCACTTAATAATTACGGGTTTTCATGCAAATGACTTTACAGATCGTACACTATTATTTTTGCCTCCCTTAGTATCTCTCCGCCTTGAAAATCTTCCAGGTCTGACAGAAAACGGACTAGCACATTATACTAGGCGCCCAGAGGCCCGAACCCTCGAATCCTTAACCCTGATAGAACAGAATATTAGCTCTCTCCTGATTATCTCTCAGATCCTTGCGTCTTTGAGGAAACTGGAACGGTTCAGTATTGTCCAGACCAAGACCGTACCAACACTGCCCGATGATGGGGTGGTATTCCAGCCGCTACTGGCTTCACCAGCTCTGAAATATCTCCATTGGGATGTGGCCTGTCCAGACTTGAACATTTCACTAAGCGATTTTCATTCTTTCCCCCCTGTGTCATCGCTCAGTAAATTCAATACAGCCAACTCACATCTCGCACAGAGTATCCTGAGTTCGGGATTTCCGAATCTTGAATCCCTTCGCGCTCCCTTTGACGTGGACCCACTGGGGGCAATACAGTCTGTTTGTCGACCTACGCGGAATGGTCAGATCATGGTTCCTGCAGACCGATATTCCCTCCCCCGCAGCTCGCATGGATCGATTACGAGGCGACCATTAGCGCTGCCCGGTGGAAACAACTTGAGTTCAGCTCGCATACGCGGCCAAACTCTCATCGACAAGTCGTCTAAAGATAAGGAAACGGGTATCAAGATCGTGGTTAGTGATCATTCGGGAGGATTCAAGCTTCCATCTCAACCCATATCATCCGATCCTACCCCTGAGCTTGGAGTGGACGATAGATACAACATTCTCGGTCCGTTGAAAAAGCAAGAGCTTGCTCCACCTGAGGAAGAATCGCAGGGGATAATGGTGCATGAGTTTACACTTCCATTATGCATGGGGAGAATCTGGACATCGCCCACTTCAACAACAGCCAAGGCACCTCCCCGCTTTATCCTCACCCCCGATATCCCCACCTCAGATGCAGACGGAGGCCTAATAAGTTGGCGTCATTTCCTTTCCGCAAATCAAACGCTAGCATACTTCGCTTCATCATCGCCGTCGTTGCCACCGCTCACTGGCAGAACAGACACCAGTTCAACTATGAACGATGCCTCCTCTGCTACCCCTTCTCCGCCAGGCACGTCTCTATTCGGTTCCTGGGCTTCCGGGGGCGGTAGCGGGAACAACCATTTAAATCATAAGTCAAGTCGACCGCTGTCTCCACGGTCCACATCACCTATGTCCCCGACGACGCTGAAAGGAAGTTCCCAAGGTATCACTGGCGCTGGAGGATCGCCATCCTGGACTATCAAGGAGACATGCGACGGATCTTGGAATCGGGGACATAAAGGGGGGAAGGACTGGTGGTTTCATGTTGAACGGGAGCGACCGGTCAACACCATCTCAGCAGATCTTGTGAGGTTGGAGCAGCTGTTTTGAAGTAAAGAGCACTCTATTTTTTATTTCTTTTGAGATCTTACCTTTTTTTTTCTCTTCTTATTTTTGATACATCCTTGGGGTTTGTTATTATTATAATGTGTATTTTTAATATTTCATATCGTTCTTATTTCACCGTCTCTTCGTCCTGCATCTCCTCTATTTTCAGAATAACCCACGTTTTTTTTTTTTTTTTTTTTTGAGCTGTTCGTCGAAAGGCCTTCTCCAAGAGGGACTCCCTTCTAAAACAACAGCTTCGAGCCTCCCGACTCCATTCCATTGCGGGCTTTACTTTCCTCGCCTGGCAGCACTATACCCACATCTTTGTATTCCTTCCATCACATCGTTTGCCCTCTCGATTTCGATTTCTTTCCCTCTTCGGAACCAAGCCGGTCCGGACCTATCTTTTCACCAGTGGATTCATATAATATTATTCATTTTACCGACATCATCTTTGCTTTTGGGAAATATAGGAAAGTTTTTGGTTTAACTACTACACCTCAAAACAATGTTAGATGATATGATCAGTATCTTGCTAGGAAGAGTTTGTGTAAATTGATGCAGGCGAGATATGATCTCGCGGCCTATCGCTAACTGACCATGATTTTTTTTTTTTTTTTTTTTTTTTTTTTGCATATTATTCGTCCAACGCTTATCCCTTAGCCAAGTGAAAGTACGGTACACATGAACAAGACTCGATGAAAAGAGATGAAATTAAAGCAGCATCGAGACTGATTCAATAACTTTTAGTATAACCATTGGCTTCAAATGCTGTAGTTATTCTGCTTATTCGTATACACGAAACAACTAACTGATCACCAGAGAGGGAATATACGAAAGAGCAAAGGAAAAATATATTAAACATAAATGCCTGCACTAGTATCCTTCTTCTTCGCCATCACCTCCGCAATCGCATCGACATAATGCTCATGGCCAACTTTATTCATACCCTTACGCAACGCAATCATTCCAGCCTCCACACACACAGCCTTCAACTGCGCACCACCAAATTCATCGGTACTCCGGGCAAGTTCAGCCCAGTTGACACCATCATCGACAGCCATCTTACGCGAGTGGATTCGCAGGATCTGAGCACGTGCTTCTTCGTTAGGGAGCGGGAACTCAATCTTACGGTCTAGACGGCCGGAACGCAAAAGGGCCGGATCAAGCACGTCAACACGATTTGTAGCAGCAAGCACTTTGACGCGGTCGTCGGAAGCGAAACCGTCTAGCTGGTTGAGGAGTTCAAGCATGGTACGCTGGACCTCCCTGTCACCTGATTTTTCGGAATCGAAACGCTTTGTGCCTACGGCATCAAGTTCGTCGATGAAGATGATCGATGGGGCCTTTTCCTTGGCGAGGGCGAAGCAGTCACGGACGAGTTTTGCGCCGTCTCCGATGAACATCTGCACTAGTTGGGGCCCGGCAAGTTTGAGGAATGTGGCGTTTGTTTGAGCGGCGCAGGCGCGGGCAAGAAGAGTTTTACCAGTACCAGGGGGCCCGTACATGAGAGCCCCTGTGACATAGAAAGAAGTAGTTAGAAGTGTAAGGCGTTGGGCTATGTCAAAATGGTAAGGAATCAACGAACCTTTCGGTGCTTTAATACCGATCTTCTTGAACCGCTCAGCTTCCTTCATTGGCCATACCACTGCCTCAACAAGCTCTTCGATTTGCTTATCCAACCCGCCCACATCTGTGTACTTCTCCGTTGGCTTCTCATCAACCTCCATCGCCTTGACTCGGCTATCGTATTCGGCTGGTAGAGTGTCCAAAACAAGGTATGAATCCTTATTCACACCAATAAGGTCACCAGGTTTAAGTTTTTCATGATCGACAAGACCGATGAGAGGCAGGAAGATTGTTTGACGGGTTGATGTTTTGATGACAGCTGATTTGCCAACTCGAGTGGCGTCTAGATCGATATTGGCGCCTTCTTCGGCAGCTTCCTTTTCAACATCAAGATCGAGGAGCTCAACCACGTTGCCTACGAGATATGGAAGTTGTCTGGGAAAGAAGGGAGGGAAATGTAAATATTAGTCACGGTATAAGATAGGGAGCGCGCTCTGGTCTACATGCTTAGAAATCTGACGTTTGCGGCGACCAAAGCAGCATACCGGTTATTCTCAATCTTATCCAAATTATCCTTTATCTTCTCCTGCATCGTGTGCTGTTCATGGGTCAGCCGCTGGAACTCGCTCTTCATGATCCGCATATCGTTCTCTAGCAGTTTCCGTCTGTTGATGATATCTCTCGTGCTTGATCGCAGGATCTCTTCGTCTATTAGGCTGTCCTCCTCTTCTTTCTTATCCGCCTCCGAATCATTCATTTCGGTATCACCGTCCTTGTTTGTTTTCTTTCCATCGCCCTGGTCCTTCTTCTTGTCTCTGTCTTCACGCTCCAGATCATCGAGATCCTCAAGAGTCGACATAGTGGCGGTTGACAGATGTGAGGTTCGGTGGTGGGAAATGGGGAATTATCGCGTATGTCCGGGGTAGGGTTTGTCGACGTCACTAAGAGATAATAGCTAATAGTGTACAAAACACAGGATGCAGATAGAGGGAGGCAGAATTGGTTGGTTGTTTGACTGTAAATGTTCAGTTGATGTTGGATGCTGTTCGGAGCTTGAATAATGAAGGTAGGTCAAGCTGTTCCTGACTGGGACTAGTTAACGGCTTTTGTTTTGTACGTAACGCTCTTTTGGCCTAGATCACGTGTTATTTTCTATACGACAGGGACAGGCCTTCCCGGCTTTATAAACCGTCTATATATTTCTCTATGTTCAATAAAACTCCTGCGAATCGCATTTACACGATGGGCCTCATATGAAGGAATTTATCATGGACAATCCCGTCAACTATATCCTATTCAAGACCTTTTCCCGGCCATCCTTGAGCAGCATATATCGAGACATGAAATCGTCGTGATTTACTTTTTTACCATATTAGATGTCGGAATTTGTCCAGAGTGTCTCCTCGAGGGGAAAGAAAGGGGAAAATAATATAGGAAATGGGGGGGGGACTCACTATAGCCGCCACATATCCTCCTCTTTCCTGAAAACGGAGAACGACCATGAAGCATTCTCCAGTTGTCGAAAACTGCATATCTGTCAGCAAACTGTCTGTGGAATGGATGTTACAATGGGAATTGGGAATGGCTGCCATAGACATACTCATCGGGGAACCTGGATGCAGCTGAAACCAACGCTCCATATCCTTCCGCATAATAATCTCATTCCATTTCCTGGCTGCGATGTACCATTTGTTAATTTGCTCCGGCGGCGCGTCAACTAAGGGACTTCTATCCTCATTATTCCATCGGACCTGATACAGCTCTCCTGTAACCGGATGGTGGTTGAGGACTGGGAACGGTCGAGCTGGTTGCATGCAGACATCTTCGTTGCCACTAGCATGCCCGCTTATACACTGTTCTGTTAATACCCTGTAAGCTTCTGGGTCCTCCTTATATAGGGTCTTTGCAGCCTCGAAACCATCGACAAGAAGCGATTCGCCGCCAGAACCGTCGGTGTGGGAGAGCATATGGAACATTTGAAGGCCTGCTGGATCTGTAAAATATGTGGTGTCCGTGTGCGCGCCGAGACCCTCGGCTGTATATGCCATGTCTTTCAGGGAAAGATCAGATGTGAAGTCCCAGAATCCACCTGTCACGGTTTTAGTTTCATATATAGTACTGTGTCTAAGGTTGTTGCGCTTAAGAGCTCACCGTAATGTGTATGTCTGATGAATGATATTCGTTCCAAGAGTTTCTCCGTGGCTTCGGGGGTTGCCGGACAGCCCTTGACAAACGAAAATCCCCATCGATACTTGCAGGGCAAATTGTTAGCATACAAGCGGAGATCCTACTTGCTTGCGTTGAAATATGGAACACTTAGACGAACAATATTATCTGTCCATACCCGCACTCCGTCGGAGGAGGACATCACTTCATCGTACAGGACAGTTGGGTAGGCCTTTGGGTCATTGGCCATGACTTGTCTCTCAGAGCTGCCAACGACATTAAAAATCAAAACTAAGCCCGTAAAACAACATCAAGGCAGTTTTTCAATACGTTACCTAAATATCGCAGTCTCAGGTGCAGAGCGGTCTTGGTTAAGATGGTGTTCTGATAGCCAGTTATAACCGTATGTGCTAACATGGCCATCATTTGCCCCTGGTGAATGGTAAGAAAAAGAGAACATAGCCAGGCGGATGGGCGCGGCTAACTTACATTCGATCTCTAAATGATTCTCTAGATTTCTCACAGCTGATGGACGAATATCGACAGGTATCTGAAGGTCCACAACATCAGATAATTGAAGAGAAATGTAAAGTGACACCACGATGAGTAGGTATGATTACCGAAAATGTATCAACAAGTCGCTGTCTCGTGTCAGAATGAATACATTTATTGCACTGGCAGTTATCTCTAGGACTCAGTTAGCAAGAGGCAATACAAGGAGCTTTGATACGGTGATAGGAAAACACAAACCTCAACCACAAACCCGGCCTAGATCAATACGATCAATTCAACAACAATCAACTTAGAAGACCCCAACAAAGCGAATATGCAGATGGATGTAGCATTGCCGATAAAGGGATATCAATGAGTGGCTTACCATTTGCCCGTATTGCCTCCAGGAAGGTCCACAGATACAAGGGCATAATCCAGCTTGTTCACGGTCCCGAACTGAGCAGCACGAACTGCGGAGGGTGCTGCCGGAACATAATTTACGGCGAGTGATGAAAACGTAGCAGATTCCTTAGCACCATACGCTCTTCCAGAGAGGCTAGGAGCATAGGGATGACCTCCTTTGATAGAGCTTAATGCAAGTCCCTACTTCCACGGTTAACCGCCACAACTCTCACCGGCGCCTCCTATCTATCGTTTGGATAATATGGCTGATATCCATGGATGGAACCGACTTACCAATCGGCCCCTCCTTGCCTGGGATAAAACGCTGCTGCTTGCAATCCTGTACTTCCATAACGCATTAGTTTGATTGCGCTGTTTGTATGTACATGTAGTATGTAGTTGATTTACTGCGAGGGTCTGTAAGAGTGGATGTGGGTAGAAGACATCCCACCTTTCATAAACTGCACACGCTGCTCTTTTGAGCGCCCTTAAAGCAGAAGGATTTACGGATGACATATTTTGGGCAATAGTAGTTTGCATGTATTCTTATTGTTAAGGGTGAGACCCTTTTTGTTGTACTGGAACTAAATACCCAAGGTATTCGTTTTAAAAGTATATGCGGTTGTTGTCAGAATGAGAGACACTTTGGTTGTTGGACAGAGGCTGGATTTAGTTTTTATGGTTGGCCCAGTGGTAGTTAGTTAACTACCACCTCGTCTTGTCCTGGTCCCGGGAAGTCATCAGAAACAGCTTGAGACAGCTCATAAACTAGATATGGATCTGTTTTGCTTTGGGGAGAAGATCCAACGATATTTGACCCAATTTTCATCCTTTTAAACAACCATGGGGAACTCCGTAAAGGTACAGACATTAACCCTGGGTTAAACAAGAATATGGAATCTACCTAGTTATGCTAAAATAACAACGTAAATATATAATTAAAGCGGGGAGGTTTCTAGAAACCAAGGCAAATCCTTCCCACTCCCTTTCCAAAGCACAGCGCGTGCAATTACAGCCTACTCTTCCCTCCAACCACATGAACCAGCGCCCGGCCATTGCTTAATACAACCTTGCCCTCCCCATTCTTAACCACAAACACAACCTCCTCAAATCCACCTTCGGTCTTTCCCGTCCTCCATATCTCGGTGATCAGCTTGACACCGGGGATCACGGGAGACGCAAATCGTGCCTGGAACTCCTTGATATTCTTGGGATCGCTGCCACCCAGAGTCTTCAGGATTACGTGCGCAGCCATATTCCAGCTGAAGAGACCGTGGATAATGACACCGCCAAAGCCCATCTTCTTGCCTGGTTCTGGAGTTGCGTGGAGAGGGTTATAGTCTCCATTCAACCTGTAGATGGAAGATTTTTTCAGTCACCATTATAATTTACAGGACAAGAGCCGTCCGAGATATACACACATATATATATATATATATATATTAAAAAGGGCTAATGGAAACCTACCGGTAAAGCAGCGGTGTTTGCGCATCAGTCTGGTACTCATAGATAGCATCCGGCTTCTTTCCCTTGGGAGGGGGATAGTTCACCGAAGCGGGACCTGGATGGACAATATCATCAGCACCCCCTTTCATCCTTTGCAGGACGTGAAGAAAAAAGAGAACGTAACGGTATATATAATAAAAATAAAAATAAAAATAAAAAACCAAATCACTCACCTTTCGGCCCACCCCAATTGCCCTGCCCAACAAAAAACCCACTCCCAACAGCCTTGGAATAAATCTCCCCTGTCTCCTTATCGACAATCCGCTGCTCAGTCTCTACGACCGAGCCGGCCTTCCCCTTGTCATAGACGCCAACAACAGAGCTTCGGAGCTCAAACTTGCGCCCCTCACTGGAGACAGGCAATGGCTTGAGGAATGTGATTTTGCGCTGGCCGTCGACGACACGGCGACTGTCGAAGGCGGGCACGCCGGGGATGACACTTCCGGATTTTTGGGCGTAGAAGTCTGTCACTTCTTGGGTTGTGAGCTTGAATGCTGTGCTTGTTATATGGATTATTAGCATGTATATCAGTTTCAGAATGGGGTCACTTCGGCTGGCCTTTTCCCATTCTACTTCTTTCTTTGCTAATTGGGACATACGGAGGATAATGGGATACGTAGGGAACACGGAGAAGTTTGGATGAAGTTCCTGGATGCGGCATTGATTTGGTTAGCTGGTCGGCTTTTTTCTGATGGAGAGGAAACATATTGAACAACATACGTAGAGGAAATGAAGTTCGTCAGCTTTCGCTCCAATGCTATTTGCGAAGAGGAGGACATCCCTCTTCGTCCAGCTCACGTCCTGACTGGGGAACTGATGACCGACTCCTGGTCCGCTCATTGTGATAGATGTCTTGGATTGATTTAGAAGTTTGAATAGAACTGTTTCGGATATATGACAAGAATACAATAAGCATAAAATATATTACCAGCCGAAAGCTCGATGTTTCCAGCTTTAATAAGTCATGGCTTTTGCGGGGGAGTTCAGCATTTAATGGTTGCGGCAGCCGGGGCTCTGTGCGGTTGAGCCGAGGCAGCGGAGAGCTCTGTGGCTGGTAGCGATGTCAATGCCAACGCATATCGGCAAATCTAGTTCCCTAACCCATATACCTACCCCTGTATGGATATACAATTCTCTAATCATAGCTTCCCGAAATACTCGCAGAGAGCCATATATTGTGGTTTGCGGACATCACAGAGTCTAGCAGGGCGGGAGCACTCGGAGAGATACAAGGCATCTCGACAACAAAGTCGTGTGTATGAAGCAGCTAAGATTAAGCATCAACTCGGGTATCTCTAACCAATCGAGGAGCTTTAGAAATCGTTATCCTATATCATTTGTTCCACATAATCGGACGCCACATTATGCTCCTTTGCCCCAAACGCCAGTAGCCCCTATTCTCTTCCTTTCTCTCTCGTCTTTTCTTCTATGTATCGAATTTCCTCCGGCCAGATCACACAGGATGCGCACACAAGCAATGCAATGCTGGCTTCCTCTGATGCAACTCACTCTGCATTTGGTACCTGAGCAGATACCACGAAGGAATGCATGGTAAAATTTTCAATCGAATAAATCTCTCACAGATAACAAGAAGGTAAAACCGAGATTTAACAGCAATGCATTTTAACACCTTTTTCAAAGAAGTGAGCACCATGTCAGTCTGTTGATTTAGGGGACGAGATGAAAGGACGCCTTACATTTTGTACTCGCAGCTGCCTTGCGCAGCACGAATCCCATCTTCCGTCTCGAACGTGTACGAAATCTTAATATCGAGATCACGCTTGTTTTTCTCATTAGGTTTATTCTTCAGAAAACCAGTGACAGATTCGTTCTCCTCAATAGTGAGGACTTCACGAATATAGAACACTGTCTGCTTCCAGTGGGTGTACTTGGCGTGGGGACCCGTAGAGAACCGGATGTGCTTGTGGCATGCGGTGAAGTCGATATCGAACCAGGCGATGATGGCGTGAATGAAATCACTGCGTTTCGCGGTGAGTTTGAAGGGGACTGTGAAGGCGAGATCGGCGGTGGTGACTGTGTAGAGATCAAGGGTAAGGACGGGGCATGGATCGGTGACTAAGGCTTTCAATTCGACGGTGTCGACAAGGGGTTCGGTGAGGGCGACGTCTTTCATGGGGGAATAGTTGAAACCCCATACATTGTCCCAGACTGTCAGAACGGAGGTGTTAGACTAACTGGAGTGTTGTCGGGAACGAAAAGAAAGTGCATAGACAATAGAAAGCATACATCCGATTTTGTCATCTTTATACTCTCCATCCTCAATGGCAGCAAGGTATATGGTAGCCTTGTCTGGGAAGATCTTGCCGTCGGGGACAAGATAGGTGTCGCGAGCGTAGAGAACAGTGTCCAACATGGATTCGTAGAGAAGGAAATAGCCCATCCATTCCGATATAATGATATCGACCTTGGGAAACGGGAGGTGTACTTCTTCCATCTTGCCCTGGAGAAGGGTGATCTTGTCTGCCATGCCGTTGACTGCCACGATTTGGCGGGCCTTCTCGATGATGGAGGACATATCAACACCAATAACATGGCTGGCACCTGCGCGAACGGCAAACCTGGAGCAGGATGTAACTGTCAGATTTTGCCCATTTCAAGTTTTGTGAATGTATATATATTGTCATTTCGCAAGATACATGACATACATGCTGAGAATACCAGTCCCGCACCCCACATCGAGTACTATCTTATTTTTGAAAAGATGACGATTTTGGTAAATAGCATCTCGGTATGATCTTGTGCGAACTTCATCTTTCTATAAGAACGAGGAAGGAAAACGATAATTAGCTTCTTCTCTTCTTGGAACGCCGGTTGTGCGAACTGGGGCAATTCCACTCACAAGCATCTCCTCATGAATGCCTGTCACCGTTGTTTTCTTTGTCAGTGTATATAAATTCGAGAGGGGTGGCAATCAGGGTCAATTTACCATGGTGATCGTAGCTAGGACAATGTTAGATATATTAAAGGGTTATAGAGGTAAGGATATCTTCTCATACCTCGTAAAATAGCGAACCTCTGCGTGGTCCAGGCCAGCCATCCGGTCCGCGCTGGACGACTGAGACGGGGTAGAGGTATCCATTTTGTTCGAAGCTCCGTTCATTGCGTGGTGAAAAAAGGAATAGAATAAACGACAACGATGCAAACACGAAACTCTCTTTGGGATGAAGATATAAAAAAAATTACAAAGAGAAATCGGCAGCTGGAAAGGAATTTTATAGTGTCGAGGAGGCGAGGGGTAGATGCGGTTTGCAGAAATCTCTCCCTTAGCCTCGCAGAAAATAAATAACAAGTCGGACTTTTGGGTTGAAGGTTAATACGGGCGCTAGTCCCAAGCTGGCTAGACTCAACAGCAAGGCTGTCGGTGGATCTGATTCGACGGCGCCTTCGACAGGGGCTCAATCTAGGGCTATATCGGGGCCTAGCCCTATGCCCTAAGCGGTGGGCTACTTAAGAGCTCGGTAACGCCCTGGATTTAACGTGTGCCTGGGCAATTAGCTCAGTTGGTAGAGCGTTCGCTTTGCATTCCTCCGCGTGCGAAAGGTCGTGATTTCGATTATCACATTGTCCATTCTAATTTTTCCCTTTCCTTCTTTTATTTTTTTTATTTTTATTTATATATATATGTTTTAATAATTTTGAATTTTGAATTTTGAGGAAACGATACCGGCGTTGTGCAATGCTTCTCTGGGGTTACTTTTCTGACCGTGGAAGATGTCCCCAAGTGTTGTTGTGGTCCAAATGTTGTAATCCCCCGACCTACCACGGAGCTTCCCAGAAGTATTCCTCGCGTATTGACCTTCGATGAAAGCTTTGCGATGTCCTTCCAACAACAATGGTGCTCATCATCGGTGAGAGACCGATTTACCGGCAGGTTCTATTTTTGACCTTTTGGATATTTTTAATTGGTAGTTCCACGGCGTCTACTGGGGACAGGCTTCCGGATTTCAAGGAGTGCCTGAAAGTAAGCCTCTCTCCTCCTTAATCCGCTGGGACCATACCATCAGAAGAGTACGCATTAACAGTCAACACGACAGGTATGCAAGACAGAAAATTGCGAAAAGGGGAAGTTATCGCCGCGTAAGTATCATTTCTGCTCTATAAGGCATTATATCTGTCTCTGACACTTTTTTTTTTTTTTTGTTTTTCGTATTTTTGGTTTAACAGCTCTCTACCTCCGGCTCCTATTATGGGATTGCCCTGCGGAATGCGATTACACCTGCCAGCACATCATAACAGACCGCCGCGTTAATCGAGATCCTCCAATGCTCGAACCCGTCCTTCAATTCCACGGCAAATGGCCATTCTACCGAATACTGGGCATGCAGGAGCCGTTCTCTGTCATTTTCTCTTTTCTGAATCTCCTCGCCCATCACCAGGGGATGACCCGGATTCGAGAGTCGATACCTCGCTCATATCCAATGCGGCCATTCTACCTTGCCTTTGGGTACTTTGGCCTAGCCAGCTGGATTTTCAGCATGGTATTCCACACCCGCGATCTCCCCGTGACCGAAAAGCTCGATTACTTCGCGGCCGGCGCAAGCGTGCTGTATGGGCTATATCTCGCTGTTGTTCGGATATTCCGCCTCGACCAGATGACACCCCCCGTCAAGCCCACGCTGCTCCGGGTGTGGACGATCATCTGCGTGGCATTGTACAGTACCCATGTTTCGTACCTGAGTTTCTGGTCTTGGGATTACACGTATAACATGGCTGCGAATGTTACAGTAGGGGTGGTGCAGAATCTTCTGTGGACATGGTTTAGCATCTCGCGGTACCGGAAGTATATGAAATCGTGGACTGCGTGGCCGGGCATGATCGTTGCGTGGATTATCGTCGCGATGAGTCTGGAGCTGCTCGACTTCCCGCCTTGGCATGGCTTGATAGATGCGCATAGCCTGTGGCATTTGGGGACTGTAGTGCCTACTGCGTGGTGGTACACGTAAGTTGTATATAACCCTTTCAAAACAACATAAATGTGCTGTGCATCCTCTAATCCGGTGAATGGTTGCTGTATAGATTCCTTGTGAAAGATGCCCAGGACGATCTCGCTGGGCAGCGATTGAAGGCTTAAATGTGTCTTATATTTAACTTCATATAGTGCTTTTTCGATTTGGGGCATTTATGGAAATGGTATCCATAGATGTGTGTAGTTCGGGATATATATAGGATATGCTGTGTGGGTTTAATGTGGGGTTGAATGAATACTCGTGCAGATCTTAACATTTTGGAAGTTCGATTGAATCATTTCATATCATATCATATCATTTTATTTTCCTTGCTCTTTATTCCCCTTTCTGTTTACTCCGTATGTCACTGGGCGGGAGGGGGGGGAAGATGGCGATGATTATGACACTTTTCTTTTTCTTCTTCCTTTTTCTCCTTTCCAAAGAATAAATGTTGAAGAATTGATGAGCGATTTAAATCATGGCCAAAGCAAACTGCTATTATGTGGCTGACTCCTTTTTAAGTTGACTCCCTCTAACCTTCTGTTGGTGGGTTCTTCAGCCCCTGTTCAAGCAAGCTTAAAACACCTAACTATGCAGGCTGTTAGTCCCTTGCACAGCTGAAAGAGGCGGAGATTCACAAGGGGCTCGGGGACAAGCACAAGCAAACTGGTTAATTAGTTAGCAAACTTTCTTGCCCCATTTGGGTTCCCCGGGCGTTTGGCCTTTCACCCAACCGCATGACTCAGCCACTTCCAAGGCGTCTTAAGCTTTGTCAAGGCAAGCATCATTCCATCCCTCACTCTTCCCCCAACCCTCTCTTGAACCCCTCACCGACCTTCGAAATTCTTTTATCCCACGACCACCTTCTCCTCCATCCCGCTCTCTGCGGTGATCAAGCATACACTTTTGCTATTCCAGATTCGCTATGGCGTCCTCAGCGGTAAAGAAAGCCATTGTCGATGCTGCTGCTGCGTACACCAAGCCTGAGGGTATAGTCTTCGAATATGGCACAGCTGGTGTAAGTGTTAAGCTTCCATTGGTGCAGTGGCTCTCTATGGGTGGTAGTCTAATTGACGATTACGTCTACAGTTTCGCATGAAAGCGTGAGATCCACCGAATGCTTCTGTTTTCGAATCCCCTGTCATCTCATTGATGCTTCTTTTTCCCACTTTGTTTCGCCAACACAATGCCTCGCTAAGGAGAGCGTTGCTGATACTTCTGCCACAATCAGGGATGTACTCAACACTGTTGTCTTTGCCGTCGGGCTTCTAGCCAGTCTTCGCTCCAGAAAACTCAATGGTCAAACCATTGGTGTTATGATCACCGCGAGTCACAATCCCGCTGAAGACAATGGTATCAAGCTTGTGGACCCAATGGTATGTGGTTCATTATATGGCTTGACAGTTGGTCAAGTGCTGACATACTCGTGCTCTAGGGTGAGATGTTGGTGGTAGGTTAACCTGTACCTGGCAATACGTCGCGTCTCATCGCCTCGTTGATATGTTGGCTTACGCAATGGTTTTTCAAACCAAATTGTAGACGAACTGGGAAAAATACGCAAGCAGATTGGCAAATGCACCCCTTGAGAAATTAGGGGATATGTACAGCGACCTCATCGATGAGATTGAAATTAAGATGGAGAACCCCGCTTGCGTGGTCTTCGCCCGCGATACTCGCGCCTCAGGCTCCCGCCTCGTCGGCGTGCTCTCCTCAGCGCTCACTGCGACGGAGACCGAATTTGAAGACTTCAAATACTTGACCACTCCCCAGCTTCATTACATCGTCCGCTGCAAGAATACGCTGGGTACTCTCTATGAATATGGTGAACCTACGGAGAAAGGTTACTACCAGAAACTTAGCGCAGCCTTCAAAAAAGTCATGAGGGGACGCGCCACGTCTGGCGCAGTAGCGGTTGACTGTGCAAATGGCGTTGGAGGCCCTAAGCTTAGAGAGCTGATCAAGTATTTGCCTAACGCTCAGGCAGGAGGCGTGGACATAAAAGTCATCAACGACAATGTGATCAACCCGGAAAGCTTGAACTACGAGGTAAGAATATTCACTTTGGGCTTTCTATTCGCCTGTGCTTTGCTAATGGATTTTTTTATCCAGTGTGGTGCGGATTTTGTGAAAACCAAACAGCGTGCCCCACCCTCATGCAAAGTCTCGACTCATGAACGCTGTGCTTCACTTGATGGCGACGCAGATCGAATAGTTTACTACTATCTTGACACAGGCAATATCTTCAAGTTGCTTGATGGTGACCGAATCGCAACCCTTGCTGCCTCTTTCATCGTTGAATTAGTCAAGAATGCTCAACTTGGAAGCAAACTTAAGATTGGCGTTGTTCAGACCGCCTATGCGAACGGCTCAAGTACGGAATATATAGAAAAAGTTCTCAAGCTTCCCGTCATTTGCACACTCACTGGAGTGAAGCATCTCCACCATGCCGCGATGAGATTCGATGTGGGAGTCTACTTCGAAGCCAATGGACATGGAACCATAACCTTCTCAGAGCACGCTCTCAAAACCATTAAATCCACAGAGCCTCGATCTCCAGCCCAACAATATGCCTTGGAAAGCCTCATTGCTCTCACAGAACTCATCAATCAAGCGGTTGGCGATGCCCTGTCGGACTTGCTCCTCGTCGAAGTGATACTCGCCCACAAAGGTTGGAGTCTCAAGGAATGGATATCGACATACACAGACCTGCCATCCCGCCTCGTTCGAATTGAAGTTGCTGATCGGTCAATATTCAAAACTGTCGATGCGGAACGGAAGCTTGAATCGCCAGCAGGCTTGCAGGCGCGTATCGATGGTCTCCAGTCGCAGTATAACAGGGGCCGTAGCTTTGCTCGTGCCAGTGGGACGGAGAATGTGGTTCGAGTGTATGCTGAGGCAGCGACACGATCTGAGGCTGACGATCTGGCTACACGGGTTGCAAGCACTGTACAGGATGCTGGAAGAGCTAGGAATTTGCAGTAGTGGATCCAAAAAGCAGAAAACAAGAAAAGGAGGGAAGGACTAAAAAAAAGAAAAAAGAAAAAAGAAAACTCAAATTATCAGTATATTCATACACCTAAACAATGCGGATACCCACTTCGTTCAACATCTCGAATGTGTAACTGCCAGTTCGAGTCGGCATGGGGAATAAAACGAACAAAGGAAAGTTGTTATTCAGAGTTTCTCAAGGGTCCCACGTTTATGATAGGCCTTTAGTTTTACCGTATATCGGATTCAAAACTATCTTCCCTAGCACAGACGCTGTGTGCGGCTCTTATTCGATGAGTGTGTTTTATCTGTCTCTCGTTTTCAAACTTTTTATACTGTCCACGGACCTGAAATAAGGGAAAGAAGGGATGGACAAATGGTTCATGTGAGAATGAACCAAATGAAAGATATGCAAATGGAAAAACCTGGGGAAAATATTTTTATTATCCGGATTACATTCCACTGCGCTATGCGTTTCTCCAGCTATTATACAACGATATGATTCGTTTTAACCACTTAAGCTACGTGGTAGGCATGGGTGAAATCAGAAATATCCATAGGAATAACAGTCACACAGTCACGCTAAATGGCAAACCAGCAACATACGATGTAAGGAACAAAAGGAAAGAAGCTCCCATAAGAACCCCTGTATATATTTTTTGGGTTTTCCAAATAGCAACATACCACCCTACCCCTCCTCACGATCCATCTCATCCCTCCCCCGTTTCGATGCCTTCGCTGGCCTCCTGCCCCTCAATGTAGCCCCCTTAGTACCCCTATTCTCATGCAAGTTCTTCATCTCCGTTATGGCATGCCTCTGCGCCTCACCAACCCTATCACTCAGCACCATCACCTCCTCTTTCTCAACCTTATACTCCTCCAACTTCTTATCCAGCGCATTCTCAATCCGCAGCCAGACCTCCAGGTCATACTGTGTCACAAAACTAAACGCATGCCCACTCTTTCCAGCTCGTGCGGTCCGGCCTACACGATGGATGTATGTCTTGCTGTCTGGCGGGAGGTCGAAATTGAGCACCACGTCGACGGAGGGGATGTCGAGACCCCGTGCCGCAACATCGGTGGCGACGAGGATGTCGCGGCTGCGCGAGCGGAATTTACCTAGTGCGCCTAGTCGGTAGGACTGGGAGAGCTGGCCGTGGAGCGGGATCGCGCCGAAGCCCAGAGCGCGGAGCAAGATGGCGAGGCGTTGGGTTTCGTTGACTGTGCGTGTGAAGATGATAGCGGACTGGCCGGCGAACTCGTTGAGGAGGTACACGAGGTAGATGTCTTTGTATTTATGGGGGATGAAGAGGAAAGTTTGGAGTAAGGTGGAGACTGTTTGGTATTTGCTGCTGGAGATGGAGACGCGGAGCGGATTGGAGAGGGAGGCGCGCTGGAGGGATTCGACTTTTGAGCTCATTGTTGCGGAGAAAAGATATGTGCGGCGTTCACGGGGGAGGACTTTGAGGATCTTGTCGAGGATGGGGCCGAAGTCAAGGTCGAGGAGACGGTCAGCTTCGTCCATGACAAGGTATTTGAGGTTGCGGAGGGAGAAGCCTTTTGTGTTCTCGAGGTGGTCGAGGAGGCGGCCCGGTGTTGCGACGATGATGTGAGGTTTCTTTCCGAGGGCGATTGCTTGCGGGACCATGTCCATTCCGCCAACTATGACGGCGCAGCGGACTGAGATAAGGGATCCTAGAGCTTCGAAGGCTTCGGATATTTGGTATGCCAGCTCTCGAGTTGGGGCGAGTACGAGGCCGAATAGGGATTGTGGTTTATCCATTAGAGCTATTAGAGAAGAAGATACATTAGCGGGATTACCCCAGTGAGTCCGCAAAAGGAAGCTGAGCAGTTCACCTTGTAGAATAGGTAAGGCAAATGCGGCTGTCTTCCCGCTTCCTGTCTCCGCCAACCCGATCAGATCCCGGCCTTGCAGGGCAAGAGGGATTGCTTCTGTTTGAATTGGAGTGGGTGTCTTATAGCCTAAAGCCTCACAAGCCTCACATAGAGAGTCTATAACCCCCAAATCCTTGAATGACTTTGTGGCAGTCTCTTCTTGTGGGTTTTTGGCACCCTGTTCACCGGCTTCAGAGGTCAATTGATCCTGCGATTGCTCCACAGACTTGGAGCCTGATGTTTCGGGATTGCTTTTGGTAGAATCTGGCCGAGCTGCGTGAGCCAGCTTCCTCTTTTTCAACGCCTGCATCCTGTGTATTAATTAGATATATTAACCCGGTGAGGGATTATGTGTCTGTTTGTGTCTGGCTGTAGATGAAGATGTATCGATAATTGCTGTTTTTTGACTTCCCCACCAAAAAATTAACTTTGACGCCGCAAAATCAATGTTCCGGCCTCCGCGGAATTTCTGCTACATTGGAAAGAAAAAGTTCAGATATTTGGAGATAGATCGATCGGTTTAAACTTCTCCGTTCTGGGAGGGATAATCTTTTCTGGAGACAACTTGGATCTCTTTGTGCCGAATCTAATTGTCATTATTTAATCATGGCGAAAAGACGTACGAAGAAGCGGACTCATCTCCAGGCTGGGAGCAGTAGCAATGCCGCTCCCAAAAGTGCCTCCGCGTCAATGACCAAGTCCCCAAAGAGTATGGTGATTCGGATGGGCGCTGGTGAAGTTGGACCAAGTGTTAGCCAGCTGGTGAAGGATGTACGGGCAATGATGGAACCGGACACAGCCAGCCGTTTGAAGGTAATAATATTTTTTGTCTTTTAGCGATGGAAATATTTGCGATATTGGATAATGACAACGAACAAGCGCTGATCTGATCGCTCTTGAATATAGGAGCGGAAATCGAATAAACTGAAGGACTATACCGTCATGACTGGGCCCCTAGGAGTGACCCATTTGCTGTTATTCTCAAAATCGAGTACAGGAAATACGAATTTTCGCCTTGCCCTTGCTCCCCGCGGACCTACGCTACACTTTAGGGTTGAAAATTATTCGCTCTGTAAAGACGTCGTCAAGGCATTAAAGCATCCGAAAGGATGGGGCAAGCTTCACCTAACGCCTCCATTACTCGTGATGAATAACTTAATGTCTTCGAATACAGACAACGAACATATCTCGAAAGCAGTTCCAAAACATCTGGAATCTCTTGCGACAACCGTTTTCCAGTCCCTATTTCCCCTTATCTCTCCTCAAACCACCCCGTTATCTTCAATTCGTCGCATCATGCTGTTGAATAGAGAATTATCCCCAGAACAAACTGAAGATGGTTTATACATTTTAAATCTTCGCCATTATGCCATCACAACCAAAAGGACTGGCATACCAAAACGAATTCGACGTCTGAACCCCAAGGAACAGCGACATAGAGATCGAAAGACTGGAGCTCTCCCTAACCTCGGGAAACTGGACGATGTAGCAGACTATCTGCTGGACCCATCCGCGGCTGGATATACCTCTGCTAGCGAAACTGAACTCGACACTGACGCTGAAGTCGAAGTATTGGAAAACACTGCGAAGAAGGTTCTGAATAAACGCGAACTGCAACGTATGAAGGGTGGCGAAAAGAAGTCATCGAAACCTTCAGATCCAAATGTTGAAAAGAGGGCGGTCAAGTTGGTGGAATTGGGTCCACGGATGAAATTGAAATTGACCAAGGTTGAGGAAGGATTGTGCGGCGGCAAAGTTTTGTGGCATCATGTACTGGCCAAAACGGAGGCGGAAACTAAGGAGCTGGATGAGGCGTGGGAGAAGAGACGCAAGGAAAAGGAGCAGAGAAGAAAGGAGCAGAAGGAAAATATCGAAAGGAAGCGGAAGGAAAAAAGGGGGGGAGGTAAAGGGGATGCAATTAAAGAGGGTGAAGATGGCGAGGACGATGGCGAGGACGATGAGGACCTCCATGACCAATGGGATGGTGAAGATTTTGATGATGGTGATGAAGACATGGAGGACGCCTCGCCGACGATTAAAGGAGGAACTTATCACCATCTAATGTGGCCTTGGTCACCCCTTTTTGATATGTTCTTTTTGTACAAAGTAAAGCGTGTTGTCCTTAAGACTGTTCATGATCTTCTTTCCAATTACACCGTCGATTGAATAGATATCCCAAGAAACAGCGATTGATGTTCGAAGTTCCCGCAACACAGGTCCCTTCTATTTCTAGACCCCGTTTTTGGTTTCCGTGCATCTTTTTCATGCACCATAGATGTCCTGAATTAGGAACAAGATATTTTTACGTTCCACGGTATAATCTGGATTTTCCTGTATCAAATGATAGGCTTTGCCTTTGATGACATTGTCTAGGTATCTTAAGACGCTGATGTCCTCCGTAACTTTTCGTCCACAAGCCTTCCCACCATCTTCTCCAGGATTGCAAAATCATTCCCATCCCCCTGTCTTTCAAAGTAGCATTGAACACTCCTCTCAACGTACTTCCCAACAATGTCAATCTCAACATTGACCTCATCCCCAGGCTTCTTCTTAGCAGTCACAACCTTCTCTTGGGTATAGGCAATCAGCATAATCTCAAACCACCCCTCTTCGCCATCCAGCACTTTGGTCGCGGTCAGACTTGCGCCATCCAAGGTAACATATCCCTTCTCAACAACGTATCTCAGTACCCCCTTATCTCGTGGCTGGAGGCGGAAAGTCAATGCATTGCCATCTGGCGTGACCGAAAGTATCTTCGCGGTTGTATCGACATGGCCCTGGACAAAGTGACCGCCTATCCGCGTCGAGGCAGTGACTGAGCGCTCCAAGTTGACGCCAGACCCCTTGGTGAGAGAGCCCAAGTTTGTACGGCGGAGTGTTTCAGGGGCGATGCCGACTTTGAAGGAGGATTTATCGAAGGCGGTGACGGTGAGGCATGTTCCTAGATTTGCAATTTTTTATACTTAGTAACTATGTCCCTTTGGTAAAGGTATAGAGCCTCTATAGTGGTGTTCCCGTACCATTGACGCATATGCTGTCACCCAAATGGCAATCTATGAGTATTTCCTCGCAATCGGATATCGTCAACGAAGTGCCTCCGCCTCCACTGGCGGTCTCATCTTGAGCTTCAAGCGATGTGACCGCTTAATAGATTTGTTAGCAACCGTAAAGTAACTGGGATGTATGAATAGAGTAGGTAGCGGTTTGCTGCTTACTGCCGATCTTCTCAACCAAGCCTGTGAACATATTTAGCACTGAACTGGCTCGAGCGCAGCGAATCTATATCCTTTAATTTTCTTTGGCCGTTCCTTGTACCGTGTTTGGTCTGGTATGGTAATCCTCCAGTTCTGGTCCCTGTTTGCCCGACGGTTGGTGTGATTAGAATTAGCTTTGCAGGGTTCCGGTAACAGCAACAGTCCCTTCGGCATTTGGCTTGCTTCGGCGGTGATGGTCGGGTCATTTAACACCGCGGCACACCCAAGGGAGAGTTATATATTTTGTAAACTCCCGAACAATTTTTCCACCATGAATTTCCACCATCCTGAGCTTGGCTGTGGCTTGGTCTGTACGCATTGTGTATTCCGTTACGATGAAGTTACATCTGACATTGAGGAGCTTCGCGAGGAGATCCAACACCGTGCTATTTAGCAGCAATGGCTTGACGGCGACAGCTAGATGGCGGAGCTTTTCAACCGCCGCAATGGTTAATGCGGATAACCTCCCACTGGCGGGAATACGAGTTTTGGATATGACAAGAGTTCTTGCGGGTGTAAGTTGTCATTGTGGTGTTGCCTGGTAATCTATCTTCATGTACAGTGCATTGACAGTTCTTTACTATACCCTATATAGCCTTACTGCACACAAATACTCGGCGATTTAGGGTAAATAACCGGAACCTTGGAATACGGCATAGGGAGATCGTGTGTGCTAGATGTATTCACGGCTTCGATGCATTATTAGATTCAAGATTGTTAAGGAATTATGTTTTACATATTTATAGTGCGGAAGTTATCAAGATCGAACATCCTACCCGTGGCGATGACACACGGGCTTGGGGACCCCCTTTCGCGAAGTACAAGGAAGGCACAAAAAAGGAGACACCGGGAGAGAGTGCATATTATCTAGCAGTAGGTCTAGCGTGGCACCGATGGGGTTGGGTTTTGGGGGAGGGGGTCTCTTTTTTACTGACCACTTACCTACATATTGTGCTATCTTACTGACTCCGGAAATAGGTAAACCGCAATAAGAAATCACTGGCTCTGTCCTTCGCCCACCCTTCCGGTGTTGAAATCCTCCATAAGCTCGTGAAGGATTGTGACGTCCTTGTGGAAAACTACATACCCGGAGCGCTGAAGAAATACAAAATGGACTACGAGACTATCAAAGCCATCAATCCCAAGGTGATATACGCAAGTATCACCGGTTATGGACAGACTGGTCCATACAGCCAACGGGCAGGATACGACGTCATGGTCGAGGCTGAGATGGGGCTGATGCACGTCACGGGCTCACGAGACGGGCCTCCCGTTAAAGTCGGAGTCGCAGTCACGGATCTAACCACTGGACTTTATACATCGAATGCTATCATGGCGGCATTGATAGGCCGAGCCAGGACTGGAAAGGGTCAACATATTGATGCGGCATTGAGTGATTGCCAGGTTGCAACATTATCAAATCTGGCTAGCTCCGCTTTGATCAGTGGTGAAAAGGACTCGGGCCGATGGGGAACTGCTCATCGTATGTAGTGCTGATATTCTGAAGTGGAAACGGTATATATAGCTGACAGTATATCTACAGCTTCTATTGTTCCCTATCGTGGATACAAAACCAAAGACGGCGATATTCTGCTCGGGGGTGGAAATGACAAACTATTTGGCGTACTATGTGACAAAGTGGGTCATCCAGAATGGAAAACCGACGAGCGCTTCGTCAGCAACAATCTTCGGGTGAAGAACCGAGTGGTATTAGATAAGATGATCGATGACAAGATGCGGGAGAAGACTACGCAGGAATGGCTTGACATTTTTGAAGGTACCGGCATGCCATATGCGGCAATCAATGATATTCAAGGAACCCTGAATCATGCACATGGTAAGTTTGCAGTATTCGAGCTTTTCTATTGTATAAGAATTATAATATACAATCACTAATACAATGCGCGAATCCAATATAGTACTCGCTCGAGGGATGGTGACAGAGGTAGAACACGCAACCTGCGGACCAATGAAGTTGGTCAATACCCCTATTAAGTATTCTGATGCCACGCCTGGTGTTAGAACCCCGCCTCCAATGCTAGGCGAGCATAGTGAAGAAGTTCTTCGGGATCTTGTGGCTCTTGGGGACGCTGAGATAGCGCAGTTAAAGAAAGACGGCGTTGTCGCATAGACATCTTCTGTCATTAGACTCTACCACTCTGCAGTGCGCACAATTGGTGGTTTCGCCTGGTTTTGTGTCATATCTTAGATCCCTGTACTATCTTGGATTTTACTACTACTCTAGATTGATCTACTCATTGAGATAGGTAAGACTATTTGTTATTCTGATTCTTTTAAAGATCCATGAATATATAGAAGGGCAGTCTACTCTTCAATGTCCCCACGGTCGTTGCTCAACTGCATTGCATAGTTTCCAGTTTCCAGTGCATAATGCCGTCCATGTATGTATTTTGCCAGGGACATATTAAAGAACATATCAAATTCAAGAATAGTCAGTTCATGCTTCTGTCGGAGTCCTGGCCTCGTCCAAAGTGTGAATTGCAAATCATGTGACCCGGAGTGACAGTGGGCAAAATCGCTCAGTTTCAACACAGAATCCAGGGAGTTCTGCATTGTGCGTTTCAATTAGATGGAATAATCGAGCAGTCTACGTTATATGCAACCACAATTTATGTTTCAATTCCCGCCATGGAGTTGCAGAACCAAACTCTGCAGATTCCTCCCGCTCCGCCTGCCGGCCCCCCAAACTCTGAGTTGAACCATCTTCCTCAGAATAACGGAGCGTCGCTATCTACATCCATACCGGTTTCCACAGCTGCCTCTCAAGCTTCCTTCGAGGAATCTGTGACTCCAGGCTCCAGTTCTACAAACTTACTACACATCCCTAAACTTTCTGCAGCGACTGTGGAACTTTTGGCTCGCACAAATGGGATGAACCGGCAGAAGCCTATAAGCGACAGCTCTATAATGAGCAGCTGCAATAATACGGCCGGGACCCCATGTTCCACTCGTAGTGAATCGAATGGTGACTTATCGGCACCAGCAGCTTCAGGAAATGGAAAGAAGGAGGTGAGGGAGGGGACAAAATACATGTCAATATTATCATCACAGTCTTCCATTTCTCAACAGGAGAATACACTTGATAGCACCACGTCCATGGATATAACTACCCAACAACAACCGCCCCTCGCCACTCCAGGGCCCACTAATGTTTACAACGCTGTGAGATCACCCGATAGCATTGCCCCGACAATGTCCAGTCCGACTCTCGCCAACAATATGCATCTGAGGAAAATTGCTCCTCACCCCGCAAGTACCCCTCTTGCCACTTCAACATCCGGATCGAAACAGCAGAGGACGACAACAACCAACCTTCGCAGGAGCGGCCGGAAGGGAGCAAAGAGGCGCAAAATGGGGAGAAATAAAGCCAGCGATGATGACGATGGTATAATCAAAGCTAGTGATACTAGTTCTGACGAATCCTCTGATGAAGCTACACCTGTTATTATACAGACCAAGTCTGGTAGACAGATCCATCGACCAACCGTCTTCGTTTCTGCGCAAACAGCTACGGGATCAGGATCACCCACAGCCCCTGATGCAGCATCGTCGCCACACCCGCGAAAGCGAAGACGGGTCTATCGCAAAGGGAAGGAAGTCAATGTCGTATGCCGGCACTGCGAGAGAGGTCATAGCCCTACAGGCAATGTGATTGTCTTTTGCGATGACTGCAATCGACCCTGGCACCAATTCTGCCACGATCCCCCAATCGAGAAGGAATTGGTTACGATGAAGGAACTGGAATGGTTTTGCAAAGAGTGTCGACCAGTCGAGACTTCGTCTCATGAGATATACCCTCCGTCAGCCGTGCAACAAGTCACTGTCAATAGAATAGATACTTCCAATCACGTATCTACTATCCCATCGGAGACCAGGGTTGGAGGCGCTCAATTCTCCCCGGAACAAAAACAGGGATATCTGAGTAGCCTTTCCCACGCCCACCTCGTCAACATCCTGCTAGACATTTCCAACTCGACACCCGACCTTCCCATCTTCCCTGAAAACTTGTTAGACTTACCATCATCGACCTTACCACAAACCACACTGCATGCACCAACAACACAACCCAGAACAAGTAACAAACCACCCTTTAATATTGGCGAATCTTCAACATCAGTGTCAACCCTATCTAGCCAGAACTCCCTCACAACCCCCCAGTCATCCATCGCCGGCCACCCACACCCACCACCTATTTCTGTCCCTGTCGCCGCGGAAGAAAACAACTTAGCTCTAATTCCCAACAACGAACCTAGTGACGAGGACGAAAATGAGGACGAGGAATACATGTATATAGAAGATCACCGGCTCTACCCTAGGCCTGGCAATGGGTTCCGTCTCCCTCCCGATTCGGAAGATCTTGATATGCTCCTGGAAGATCCTGCATGGCCTACGTTCAGTCATTCCTTACATGGATCAGTTAAGGTTAGAATGGAGACAGGTGGGCTTCCCATAGTAGTCGGAGATGTAGCTTAACAGTTTTCTTTTTCTTTTTCTACTCTTTTTTCTATTTTCGTTTTAGCTCTTTAACAAGTGAGAAGTCTTTGGTACATGCTGGGGTTTGCTATGCATGTCTTTCATTTTAATTTTGAACCTGTGCATACTTGATGGCTGGCGTGCAAGTGGGGATTTGGGACACTTTGCACTGGAGTTATGATGGTGCAGTTGTATTTTCAAATATATCCCACGAGTGTTTCAGCAAGGGTGGGTACTTTTAGCATGATCAGGTGTTCTTGCGAATGATTGTTTGCACAAGTGTCACCTGGTTAGTTACCATGTAAGGATTTATGGAGGTGTGATTCTGCGTATAAATAACTTGAATAGTGTAATATTCACCCTTCGCTAATTAAAAATATAAAAAAGTAAGAAAAACGAAATAGACTCTCTTAAACTGGTTAAACCTATTATACTGTAGAGACAAATATGAAATGCGGGAGAGGGAGCAAAAAAAAAACAAAGAGAGCCACATGGGCTTGTTATTTCATAAAATCCCGATCGAGTTCATACCATTTACTCTGTGAAACAAGTTGGTCCTGATGCCGCGATTAAGAAAGTAAATGAAAATAGAACAAAGAAATCTATATCCTCATGCCACATGAAACCGATAAATAATGGGATGCGTTTAGTCGGGGAAATAAGAAACAAATCGGAGAGCAACAGCACGTGCATAGGCAGGTATGTGGGAAGTCGACTGGAAATAAAAAAGCTAGGACTTGAGAAAACTCCCCCCCCCCTTAAACGATGCGAATAGTTGAAGATGCTATCTATCTATGTCTTCCATCTCCTGGCTGAAGGAGTGGTTGCAGTTGCAGTCGATGAGGATACAGCCACGGTTTCATCCCCAGTATAGTCAGAAATACCGCCGTTGATGAAAAGTCTTTCTTCTTGTTCAAGTTTGGCAGCTGCCTCGAGGACGATAGCGTGGCTATTGGGTGCTCCCAGCTTGACCTTGATCTTAGACTCTTCAGGTTTTGTCTTTTCTTGTGCGTCGGGTGCCGGAACTCGGAATCGTTTCATGACAGTTTCTATCATTTTCCAGAACCAGTAGAAATTCAACGAGTTGAGAATAAGGTTGCTTCCGAGGTACGTTGCAATGAGCCAGATGGGAATGCCACTGATGTTCTGAGCATCCGCGAATTTAGAAATTTCAGCGTTTGCCATGGTACAAGTCTCTGTTGCACAGGGCATAGAGCTCCTGTCCTGGAAAAATAAATGGACATTTAATGGGGCCAGCGCGGATCTACCACCCGCTTGCCTGTACGCGCTGAATATGTCCATGAAGACGCGTGTGGATTGCCATGTACCCCACACAAGGCGACAACAGAAGAACACTGACAGCAGCACCATTCCATTATACCACTGCACCTTGCTGCCTGTCATGTTGACTTTGTCGAAGAACCAGTGGAAATTGAGGAATGGGCTGGAGAGCTCATAGAGGATGAAGGTTGGGCCATAATAGTTTACGAAAGGCCGCTACCAAGAAAGATACGATGTATAAGTGATTAGTTGCATACTGTTAAGGCAACCGAACGGCAAAGTATCCACACAGTGTAATACTGGTTTTCGCGCTCGGGAAACTTTAAAAGGATAGAACGACGACTTACGAATCCCAAGCTAAACACCCACAGTGCACTGACAGCGTGGAACCAGAGTCCAATCCCAAATATCTTCATATACCGCGTGCTAACAATCAAGTCCCAAATAAAATATCCCACTGCCATAGATTGTATCAAGCCACATGACCCCAAATAACCCCAAACCCTCTCAGACGAATTCAGACTCTGCCGATCCTCGTCCGCAAACATGACCCACAGGGCTACGGCGTTGATGAGAGAACTTTGTACAAGAGAGACGACATGAACGTCCCAGTTCAGCTTCGTCCGATGGCTGAAGTGAGGGTATAACTTGGGGAACAAGACGGTTGAGAGATAGGGGGACACTATGGATTGAATGAGTTGGTAGCCGACGAAGGAGAAGATGATCTCATGAATGTGGAGTGGCATGGAATGAAGCCCTAGTTTCTCTGACATCGGGCGGAAGGCATCTTGCAGCCATTGCGGTGAGGGTGGTATGGGATCCAACATTGCTGCTTATGTGCTTGCAGTCCCTAGAGCTTTGGCAGCTTCAGGCAGGAGGAGAGAGGAAAAGGAAAGGAGGTGAAATCTCCGGTAAACAGGAAATGCACGTCTAGATATCCATAGAGAGCGAGGTAGGCTGAGGCAACAGGCTTAGATAATGATTGAAACCGAGCTAGTATGTATTGATATTATCATTATGTTTATTATTATTAGCCCAGAGCCATGCTGCTTGATCGTGTGGTTGTCCGGGCTGTTGTTGGAGGCCTGATGTTGAGGTCCGATGCTCACGGTTGGTGATCAAGTCACGGTTAAAGGGGATACTGCCGCCTGCGCTAAACCCAAAACAGCAACAGCCTGCTTCGTCAAGACTTTTGAGATGGTTGGGGAGGATTATGTAATATAGCTGAGAGTGAAACTAACTAGCCCGGTTTGGGTTAGGACAAAGGACCTGGGGGGGTATCACATGTTTTCTCGGGAACCTTAATTGAACGACGTCAAAGCCGAAGATGTGACACCCTCTTTCTTTCTTGGCATATGAGAACATTAAACGTTGGAGCAAGGTGAAAAAGGCCCGACGGAGGACAGACCCACTCACTGGCTACACTAATCATAGTCCTCTATGCGAGGGAATAAAAATATCAAAAGAAAACGAGAATGAAAACAAAGGAGATGAACAAAAGGGAAAAAGACACTCCACGCTCTCCCTAACCTCTGCCGTTTGTTCGCCCATCCATCAATTCAACTACCCTGGCACGTATCCGTAAATATAGGCATCTCATAAGGCAGAGACCACTATTTCCAATTCCCCTATAACTGAACGCTATCAAGCTGAGATGGGGGGAAGGAAGCGATTTCAAAACGCATCAAAGCATCAATCAACAATAAGCTCGGGAAAAAAGGAACAAAAAGAAGGAGAGAGAATAGCTCATGGCATCATAATCGTAAAAAGCCAACGGAGAGAATTCATAACTCAACGTTACGCCTAATCGCAAGCGACCGACTCCTGACAAATTCCAAACACCTTTTCGCTCCTTGCGCTGCGTATATCCGTCCCCAGACCACTATCGCTATGTGGTGCAAACAAAACCATTTCACTGGGGTTCACGTAGCTCTCGTCGTCACGGGCTTCTGTGAGTTCCGCGCTTGCGTTGCTCTTGCTATCTATCCCCCGTAGCCCGTCCACCTCTTCGTCCTGGCTCTGTTCACCTTCACTCCCGCTTTCACTTTCTTCGGTCCAAGTCCCTGGCTCGGCGGCCACCAGGGCGTTGGTGGAGCTACAATAGCTCGATTGTCGATTGGCAGATATTGTACTCCCTGTGCCATAGGACATGCTATCTGTATATGTTCCAGCGTAACTTGTCCTCCTCTCTGTTCCAGTGTCATTCTCGTCCCCGCTGATTTCCTCACCCTCTTCATCTTCCTCCTTGACCACCTCGTTCTCTTTATTCGCATTCGAGCTCCGGGTGTCCCATGAAGGTTTGCGGATGGGGTAGTTTGACTTGACGGAGTGGCTGCGCTTCAAGCTGGTTAGTCCTCTACTTGCTGCTGGGAGAAATTGTCGGTCTGCTAATTCTCGCTTCCCAGTGACGTTGCTGAGGCTGAGAATCCTTCGCTCTTTCTGCGTGTTTGAAAATACTATGGATCCTGCTTTGGATTTCAAAGGAGTTTGTCGTCGTTTGAGAGCCATCCCGACACCATTGCTGAGGATACTGCTTTCTTTAGAAGCACTTACGGTACTCCCACGGGTTACTGTGCTAGCAGAACTGGGAACTCTCCTTAGACTCATAGCCTGGGCGCTGCCAGATCGACTAATCAGCAAGCTCCTCGCATGGTCGAGAACCCCTTCAACAATCCTCCGTTCCAGCCCCTCTGCACGTTCTTCCATGTGCTGCATTTCTTCCCTTCGGATGTACAACGCTGTCTCTAGTCCCGACACTTCCTTGTGGAGCTTGATATTTTGTTTGTTAAGCGCTTCCTTCTCCTCTTTCAGCTCCTTGACCATGCGAGAAAGAGACTCCTTTTCTTCATTCAGTCCAACAATCTCTGCCTCTACCTTCCCCTTTTGAGCGAGCCTTTTCTCAAGCGCAATGGTTACTTCTTGCGCCTCTTTCTCCTTGCTTGCACCAGTTTCGGCCACTTGAGCCGACTGGGCCACCATCATTTCGCGCAATTCATTCGCGGTAGAGGCTATCTGGTCTTGAATCTGGTTCAACTTGTCAATCTGAGACACTGATATGCTCGTGGCAGAAGCATGATTAAGAAGGGAGTTAAGTTTGTCATGGACCTGTGAGTCGTCATATTTTTCAGGCACAGCGATTTCCCGAGGCTCTGCCGGAGGGTGAGGGGGTGGCAGGGCAGGTAACAAGGGAGGAATGGCTGAGGGAATAGCTGAAACATTCAACTTCAGTTCCTCGCTAGTCTTTTGAGAATACTCGTAGTGCTTGCCGACAATCGACAAGATATCCTTGATAGTACTTAGGATTTCAGGATGCGAGTTGATGAGTTGGTTTTGCAGTCGGTCTGTTGCCTCGATTGCTCGTACAAATTCGCCCTTAAGATGGTCATGCTGTGACTGGACGTCGGCACGGAGGTTGTCGACCTTGAAGAAAGATTGATCAACACGATCGAAAAAAGTTTTTGCATCATCGCTCATCCTCTCGCAAGCTTGGGTTACGCTATCACCCATTCCACCAATTACGAGCTTGAGATCTTCAGCAATGTTTTTCGTGCTTGTTAAGGTGTCTAAGGCTTCGACATCACGCTCTTCAATAGCCGTAAATTTCGAATCCACCAGCATCTGCGCATCTTCATACTTGGCCAAAACCTCGCTAAATTTCTCGTCCATTTTCGCACAGAGGCCCAACACGATTGCTGCTCGAGCCTCTTCCTGTTTTGTAGACATGGTGGTCTCTCGTTCCGCCATTTCAATTTTCTCAGCCTCGCTGTCGCCATGGGATCGTTCGAATTCGCGAGTGATCAGGTCACTAAGCTCCTTAAGGCTTTCAGCGGTAGCGAATGATTCTGACAAGTCACTTAAAGCTTCTAGAATCGTTTTCATGTCTGCCAGACCTTCATTGCTGGTTGTAAGCTTGCCCTTAAGTTCCTCCTTCAGATCATTGATCAGCTCCTTCGCTTGCTCGATTTTTTCTGCTAGTCCCCCATGTTCGATTTTTCGGGACTCAAACGCCTGAGCTGTAAGGTCATTTTCCACCTCAATTTTTTCTCTAAACTCTGTTACCATATGGCAGATGGCACCGATGTCATCTTTAGTCGGAAGGGTTTCCACATCGGGGAGAACAAAATCCTCAAGTTGAGATTTGATTTCAAGCAGCATCATCTCAAGAGTTCGCACATCTTCCTTGAGAACTTTCTCTGAGGTGTCTTCTACTGGTGGTGTGGAGTTTGTTTTCAGGTCCTCCACCACAACCCAGATATCCTTGACGACGGTTTCAAGATTCGCTATGTCAGATTTCGATGCACCTTCTGTTTCCACATGAGCGGCAAAATCGTCAAGGATGCATTTTGTCTCTTTGGCGAGTGCCTCCAACGCATCTACTCGCTCCGCGATCATTCCACCTGGATGTTCATCTAATTTACCGCTCTCTGCCAATTCATCAACCTTGGCTTTCATGTTCATGAGCAACGTTTCAAGTGCATCGGTATCCTCCTTTTTGGCGGCATTTTCATCAATCACCGCCGGAGGAGTTTCACGAGAAGCAACCTCAACTACCAAGTCCTGTACTTCCTTAATTGCACTCAGGATGTCAAGAAGGTCGTCTTTCTTCACGAGATCTGGAGGGTTTTCTGGGGTAATATGGTGGGGCTCGATTGCTTCTACTTTAATCTGGAGCTGTGTAACAAGAACTTTAAGACTTTCGATATCATTGCCAATGGAGGATTCGCTCGCAAGCATGATCTCCCGTCCGCGGGCAGTCTGGGTTTCCTCAGCCTCCCTCTGGTCGTGGCGTAATTTTTCAAGTTCAGCCCTCACACTGGCTAAGCCCTCTCTTAGTGAACGGATAAATTCATCACTTGAACCGCTATCTCCGGGCTTATTCATAATCTTCTCCATATCGGATCGAAGAATATCAATACCATCGTGGAAAGCATCGAGAAGTTCCTCAGCATTCGAAATAATGCTCTCAGTCCCATCCTTTCTCCTGTTATGCTCTTCTTGAATCGCCTCAAAACTCTCTTTGAGGATAGCAACTAATTCGTCCCTTTCAAAGTTGGAATTCTGTTTCATAATAGTGAGTGCCATGGTTTCGCGCAGATGCTCGAATTCATCTTTAACCATTTGAGAAATTTCCGAGCTGTTGTTATCTCTCGAATGATCATTTCTTGCAAGGTCGCGAATGGTATCAAGTATCTCGTCCTTATCACTGGAGGCATTATTTCGAACCAGCAGATTACTCATTGTCTGCCGAAGATGTTCAAATTCCTTTTCCATAGCATCAAGCAGCTCGACGGTATTAGAGTGGCCACCATCAGACACGTGAACGGCTTCAGCAATGGACTTTTCCAGGTCAGACTGCAGGAGATGGAACCCATCCTTGATAGAATGAATTATCTCGTCCTTACTAGTGACATCAGACGCACGATCCACATAAGATTCGATTCCACCCCTAAGAGCCTCAAGACCATCTTTGACAGCATCTAGTACTTGTTCCGTATCCCTCCCGTTAGCCGAAGAATATTGTTTGAATTCATCCTTGATCTCGCCTAGAAGGGAATGAAGTTGTTCCAAAACCTGATCGTTGAGGTTGTGGTGCAACGGCCCAGAAACTTCATGAAGTCCAGCCCTTACGGCTTCTGTAATATCGTCACGGTTGAATTCAATATCTCTGGACAGCCCGTCTTGAGCAGCAAAGCCTTCCTTGACAGCTTTTAAAACGTCGTCGCGATTGATAGCGGCTTCTCTATCAAGGACAGCAGGAGGAACAGGCCACTCGAAGCTTTCCATGCAATCCCTAATTGTTGCGGTAATTTCCTCCTTTGTAATTGCTTCACTAGGTTCGATTCGTGGAGGAGTGAAGTTTTCGAGGCCTTGTTGGACGGCTTCAAGGACTTCATTGAATGTGATGGCTGGCTGAAGGGATTCTTTTTGAGGCTGGTACGCTTTTAAGCCTTCAGTCAAACACTCCAAAATTTCATCGCGCTCAAGTCCAAAGTTTTGCAGTTCTATTTCTGGCTTGTACGACTCCCATGCTTCCCTAACAGCTTCAAGGATCTCTTCCCTTTCTATGCCAGATCCGATAACTTGGGGAGGAGCAGGCTCAGGCAGAGGGTGATCTTCAAGCGCCTTCTTGACAGTCATATACACATCTTGGCCATCGATCGTGCGGGAAATTTTAGAAGATATGTGATGATTGCTCTCACTTATGATCTGCTCCATGTGCACTCTCAGTTCGGCTAGAGCGCAATCCACGATATGTGCGATATCCTCCGCTCGAGCACCTTGTGTATGCTCTGCTGGTTGTATCCGTTGCGCGTCAGCCTCTTCTAGCTTTCGCGCGATCTCCCTTCCCATCCCCAAAACCTCTCCTCTTAACTCCCGTACAAGTGCCTTGACTTCGTTGGTCAAACCACCACCTTCTGCAACACTACTTTTGACCCTTTTGAGGATGCTTAATATCTCCTCAGAAAGCACCACAGAAGGATGGCTTGGGGAGCCATTTTTGGCTTCCAAGCCAAGGGATTTGTTACGTTCGGGAGTCTCCATCTCCGCCTTTCGGCTCAAAGGACCTGACTCATAATCATACTCCAGAGCTGGCGGCCTGTCGCCGGGAAACAGTTTCGAACGGACAAGGGCGTGGTTACCAGAATTTTCTTTAGCCAAGTGGAGAATTTCTTCAAGCATTTTTGACATGGTGCCGTCGGAATTCTGTTCGCTGGGCCTGGATTTCAGTTCTTCCATCAGCTTTAGAAGCATCTCTTGACCCTCCTTTGTGGCCATTTCACGCAGAACCTTTTCCAGCAATGCAATGCTTGCGGAGCCATCTGTAGAAATGGAGGGAGAGGCAGTCAACTCCCTCTCAATAGTAGCTGCGAAACTGTTTGGGCTTTGCATTCGGGGGAGTATGTAGCTTTTCCGTGATAAAGGAGACGTTGCATCGTGTGCTTTATTATCAAGCATGAAGCTGCCAGCACCTGAATGGAGGTAGGAACCAGTAGATCTTGAAGATTCGCTTTCGATTAACCTGCCAGTTAAATGTGTCGCGAGATCCTTGAGGCTGCGACGTATATCTTCATCCCGAGCATTTGTTGCGGCTTTGAGACTGACCAGATCAGTTGCATTATCTTTACTGCGCCTGCTTAGCTGTGCCATTTCTTGCTGCAAGGCAGTTGCGATAGTGGTCAAGATCGAAATTTGGGCCGACAATGAATCCACTTCTTGAGGCTGTCGTGGAGAAACGTTTTTGCTTGAACCTTTGGTAGGAGATTCTATCTCGATTGGGAGCTGCATGTTCTGCAATGCGAGCATTGTGGCGGACGGCGGAGTGATTTCTCCAAGGATAGGCTTGGAGAGATACCGGTTCATCGATGCACGAAGACTAGAACTATCTTTCCCAGCAGAAGTTGGCGTCTTTACACGAGTGGGGCTTTTCTCTCGTGATCGTTCTCCATCCACATCAAAAGGACTGCGTCTGGTATTTCTCTCAGGGGAGCGTCGTTCCGTGTAGCTTGTAAGCTCTCGACTGCTGGCTGGGGGTTGAAGCGACTGTATGCGCTTGTGATACTGTCCTTTGATCAGAGATTTCTCTGGCGATGATTTCAGTGGCATTGGATTAATCGTGTAAGAGCTTGGAACGTTTTCATTGCTCTTCTCTGTTAAAGTTGCGGCCACTGCTTGTATAGAAGCGGAGATATGTTGTTGTCTGGTTGCGGGGCTGCCAGAACCAGGGTTCAAGGGAAGTGGAGGGGGCGCTCGTTCTGGGTCGGCACTGTCCCACCTACAGCTCCACCCACAATTATATGGTGTTAGTTCATACATGATCCATGGAATTGAATAGCGATTGCGTAAGAATTATGATTCCACGTACATCGGGATAGCAGGTCGGGTAGACATCTCTGAGAAAGAGTGCCGGTGATCTTTGAGAACCAGTTCTCGATCGTGAGATGGTTCTATTTCATTTGGTTTCATTTTAATTCTTCTTCGCGCTGGTAACAGCACCAATGTCCAATTGCTCAAGGTATTTGCGGAGAAATACGTGCGGTCCGCTTGCTTGTTTCGTTGATATGTATGTGGGTCTCTATGGCACAACGACCATTGTCGTTGAGAATTGAGAAGGGGAGCAGGATAGAGAATGTTCCGGTAAGTTGATAGGGAGAGCGTTCGTAAAAAGGGAAAAGCAGATATGCGAATAACAAACCAGGGGGTCAGAAAACCAAAATTAAACAACAAAACCGTAATCAGACAATTCAAGGAAAATATAAGGTTTCAGTCGTCAACAACAATACCAAGGGGACGACTCCACCAGCGCATATGTCCTGATATGCGGCTGAGCGTGGTTGGCCCCAAGATGTAAACAAACAATAATTAAGGTTACCCGGGACACAGGCCAGCGCCAAGAGATACCCCGTGACCTGGCAAGCACTTAAAGCCGCCCTTACCCAATGGAGAAACTTGCCCAACACGACTAGCGTGCTTGTCGGTAAGCGGGCCAATCAACCCTGAGCACACAAACTTCTCCCGCCTCCTCTCGAAAAAGCAGTCAGGAGGAGAGAGACAGACCATCGATTCAGCACACCAACAACACCAGTCGACCTCGCTCACGACCTCCGGGACTTTTGAAAATGAAGTGTACGTTTCGCCGCGTCTTCCATTGTATTGCTGCGAGATTTCTGGAGTAATTTGTCACGCTAACAATGCGAAACCAGTCATGAAAGTAGGCCGTGTGGCCATCATCACGCGAGGACGTTATGCTGGCAAGAAGGTACGACAAATTCACTCTGATTCTTGATTTGTTACTGAAGGGATATGGCTGCTGTCCGGGGATGTTTGATGGGAATAATTGGGAAAGGCAGGAAAGAAAATGGGGGACGCGGTGGACTACTTGTTTTGATATGGGATATCATGTTGCGGAAGAAAAGGCAGCATTAACAAAAGCCGCAACACCACAACTGACTTGTGTTTTCTTCCTTCCGTATTACCAGGTGGTTATAATTCAGCCATATGACACCGGCTCAAAAGCTCACCCATTCCCTTATGCCCTCGTTGCTGGTATTGAGCGATATCCCTCGAAAGTGACCCGTCGGATGGGAGCCAAGAAGGTCGCAAAGCGAAGCAAGGTCAAGCCATTCATCAAGACCATCAACTACAACCACCTCATGCCCACCCGCTACACGCTCGAACTTGAGGGACTCAGAGGTGCTATCACAAACGATACATTCAAGGAGGTATCGCAACGGGAAGAGGCTAAGAAGACTGTGAAGAAGTCGTTGGAGGAACGGTACAATAGCGGAAAGAACAGATGGTTCTTTACCCCTCTGAGTACGTATTCACACTGCAGCTAGGTGGTAACAGCTATGGAGAATCGCATATTAACTGGCCTGACTCTCTCTGCTTCTAGGGTTCTAAATGGGAGTTTTTCTTTTTCCTTGGGATGGTTCTTTTTTAATGGAAGTTTCTGCATTGTGCATAGATACACCATAGCAAAATAATGGAGCACTGCATAGCAGATTCAAAAACCAAAAAAAAAAGGCGTTTTCGAACCGTATGCCAATATTATGACATGATTTTATTTTACCAGTTTCATTCTTTACCATGTGTTTCCGATGGCAGCCATGCCTTCAAATCGGATTTTTGCCCGAAGTGGTGCCCACAGAGTCCATTTCGCAAACTTTCCACATATTTTAAACCCGTCACCCACCAATGTTCTTTAAATCTGTCGGTCTGGTTTTAATGGCAATACGCGATTTCGTATAAAGTTTGACAATAGCCTGGCTGTGTGTATATGGGTTTTTATGAGAAGAGAAGGTTGTCATTCGAATCTACCGTCTAGAAAACCTGTCCTCCCTGATCACATCTAGTTTCTTGTTCTCCATCTCAAAATCGTGCTTCTTTCCCTATCTTCTCTCGTCTCGCTCACTAACCAGCTATCCAATGTCGAAATCATCCAGCAACACACTCTGTCGTCGTACCTTAGATCCTTTGGCATCTTAAGGAGTAATCATTTTTGACCCAAGTTCGAATGTACCATGCCTAGAAGTTTACAATTGGCTACTGAGATTTTTCTATATTTCCCCGCCTGCTGGAGGGAGAACTACTGGCTTGGTGGAAATTCCCGCCGTATGGCAGACTATTGCAGTGGCGATTGTCGATTATGATCGCTCTTACCGCTCATATTCAGAACGCTGTTTTAGGCGTCAGTTACTGTTAGACTATTCGAGCTACAGAAGCAAAGAGCCAACCAACGCCAAATATGTCCAAGGGTTGTTGTTTTGCTAATGCCTGGCACGGTATTTCCACGATAAAAACTTCTCGTAGAATATTGATATCTCATTTCCAGTACTGTGCCACAAACTACATGTCGCCATATTCATCTGCACTTCTAATCAAAAGATGTCTACCAATTGCCCCAAATCCAATCATCTTTCTGCGCTTTCCGGTTTACAATTTCTAAACGGAAAATCCGGCAACATTCCATATTTCTAGCAGCGGCTCTGGTGACTAAGAGGCGAATTGTCCCATATCCGCTCTATTCCAACGAGGGGCAGAAAGTCAAACAGCCCCGCCAGCCACAAGAGCAGCGTTATTTGTTTTGCCCATTGACAAAAAGAAAATAAAAAAGGGTGGGGAACTGCACACTGCTCCAAACTCCCCCTTTCATGAACCTATGAAACTACCCGACATCCGATTTCCCGCGTCCGGTACTCATATATTCTGTTCACGGGACACGATCGGCCGGGAATAAGCGACATTGATAGATCCCCCGCCTCCACGTGTGGTCCCTGCACCTCGTAGCCAAAATGGATTTCATGGATCTGGCATTTCTCGCTCTTTGGATTTATACCACGGATATCAATTCCATTATATGTATTCCTGTGTGTCAAATAAGGGTCCTCATCGTCGACATGTTTTTCCCGCCCCAGCAAAAATGAAACACATAATCCGCTCCCTTGCTATGCGTCTTTGGATAATCGATGTCAATGAACATATATTTTAACATCAATGAAACTGGATGGGCGAATGGCTAACATGAATAACAGTAAAAAGGCCACTTTTCCATACTCTTATCGCTGTCGTTAATTATTTGACATAAATAAACTGCCACTGCCAAACCTCAAACCGCCAAAACATTCCACAATAATCAGCAGCGAAACTTAAAAGCTTTTTGCACCGCCACACAGCCACAACTTAATCTTGGGGCCCTTCGATGTTGGCACGGACCATATGTGCGGCTGAATTAGACACGTTGCCGTTCTTGGCTGGGCTGTCAAAGCGGATTGGCCAGAATTCCCCGCTAAGTCTAGATAGGCATGATGTTATTGTTTAGCGCCGCACTCGCAACTCGCTGTGTGGCACAGTTTCACCGACCGAAAGGACCCGAAGTATATCATTTGTTGCGGTGAACACATCAGAAACGACAACAAAGCATTCCAACGGACCTCACTCCATGAAGTTACAATAGCCAGTGGCTCTAATATTTTGGATATCTACTGACAATAGTACTGTCCACAGCAAGTACAAGCAGCTAGCCGCTATTCAATGGCTACATGTCGTGGTAAATGCACAGGAAAAATTGTGTTGGCATATTGGATCTATCGAGTTAAGCGAAGGGCTAAATTGGCCAATCTGGAGAAATGTCGCCGAGTCTTCTCAGGAGTTCTCCATTTTTATAGGGATCCTTTATTCTTCAGCTTCGTGGTTTCGCACGCAGGCATGCGCGTTGGTTTGGATAAATCTGATAAGCGCCAATGTCCGCAGCGAAGATGCGAAGATGCGAAGATGCGAAGATGCGAAGATCCTTTGGTCAATTATCTTAAATGTGGCAAACCTGTTTTTTGGATCCCTCAGGTGGAGGGGAGTTCCGATACTGAGTTTGCGGTTGGATAAGTTCATGCAAGGGACACTGCAAGGGATTTTCAAACAAAATTTTATGTTGCTTCTCCATCGCTCCATTCTTGCTTTCTCCCTCCCTGCCTCAGGTAGCTCCAATCAAAAATTAAGGGAAAGCAGCGGCAATTTCCCGCAAACACTTGGAATCGGAATCTATCAAAACTATCAATTACTTAGTGAAAGTGAAAGATCTATGGTTTCGATATGATACCTGAATCAGCATCTAGAAATGAAAGGGCGTGAAATCTCAGAATTGTCCCATGTGGTTGTGAACCTGCCTGAAAACAACCAACCTAATTAACCATCACCATTGACAGTCGTACGGCGATAAAAGGGAAATATTTCCAATAATTATGAGACAAGCACCGGGAATGGATAGCAAGAACATCGAACTCCAACAAAAGTCTTGATATGCCATTAAAAAAGGAGAGTTGGGGATGCTGTAAAGATTTGCACATATGCCACCAGCCACAACCAACCTGTCAAGGGTTGAGAACAGCAACACCACCTCACCCTTCCCGCATCCCCCAATCCTGTGGGAACTGGGACAAGCCAACGACGCGATGCCCCATTGTTATTGGTTCAACTTGGCCGTTATCTTTGATGATTGACCCGCTTGGAATGCGTGGCAAAAGTTAAAGCACCCGGCCGTCAATGAAGAAATGTAAATGATTCTGAAGACGTATGAGGGATCAGAAGCGCCGTTTGTGTGAGTGCCACCTGCATCGATAGCTGGATATCCTCTTCCTTCTACATATAATTGATTGGACGGGACAGTTTCTCTTGCTTGTGTTTCAGGGTTGTTGGAGATGATGGTTGCTTTAGGAGCCGGCGCAGAATCTTTCTGTACCTGATTGTAGCTATCGGAATAGCCCTTAACATGTCTGGATTGTAAGAAAATGAGCAGCCAGAAACAAAAACCTGTGTAAGTCCATGGCATCAAATACCATACTCAGCCGCCCAGCGTTGGGAGATATAAATGAAAATAAATAATGCCAAGGCAATAGAAAAACCGAATGTTTCGATTAAAAAACAAGAAAACAAAACATAGGGGGACTGGTATATTCGCCGCCAGAATCAAAACCCAAAAGAAAACTGATTCTAAAAACCGAGTTGACGTACCTAAAATGCACGCTCCTTTCATCCGTAAAGAGAAATATAAATGTAAAATCAAGGAAAATCTTGGTCCCATCCCAGTCCTCCCAAAATAATCCAGAGAATAGATCAGAACAATGATCGAAAAAACAGAAAAACAGTTTTATCTTTATTAAAACAGGCAAATTCTGCAACGAAACGAGAGAGGATCCACGTGTCCCTCCATCTATCAATCTAGAATAAAGTGAAATACGTGAAATTAGAAACGGCCAGCATTTCTCCCAAAGAAGGATTCCAGTCCCCCTTTTTCGTCATAGCGGTCAGAGTAGAGCGTGCATGTGTACAATAATGGACAGCTTCGTAAAATACAATAACTTATCAAACCACACGAATGCAAGATATCAAAAGTATCTGGAACAAAAACTGGCAGAAGCAAAACCCAGAAAAAAAAAAGTCCGTTTAATGCCAGAATTACACCAGGGGAATATGAAGTCAACCAGGGGGTATATAGCAGGAACTGAAAAAATAGAATTTTTGTTTTCGTTCCCGATACAGAAGGGAAAAAGGTGACGGCGTAGTCACAAGAGTCGACCGTATCGCCTGTGGACGATGTTTGCTTTCGAATATTAGGTTGTTTAGGTTTCTGAGCCAATACAGTTCAAAATGATGCTCAATGACGGATCATCAGCAAGCCAGTGGCCAGCACGGGTATCGGCTGATTGCAGATCACAATGAATTTGACTGTTGGTTATGGCTGCCAGATCCTGCGGAGGGTATTGTAGTCAGTTCGAGGTTGTGCTCTGGAGACGATGGGAAATCTAGACAGAGGGAAAGGAGCTCACGTTATGCAAATTCCAGCTCACCGCTTGTAAATCGACAGTGTGCAATGGGGTAACCTTTTGTCCTTGAAGCACCTGCGCTCGACCCATCATCCATCGCCTTGCTGCAGACATTTTTAGATAGATTCTGTGCGCTCGGAAGCGCCGAACACTTGCGTCACAAATCACCCTGTCAATCAATGGAAATCAGCTAACGACTATTACCTCTAGTGCAGAGATATTTCAGAGATCCTTTTACCACTGGAGTTGCGCTTTTTCCACATCCCCCTCACTGGAGGAGGCTTGCGTTTGTTGGACGTTATATTGCTGATTGAGAAGACTCTGGGCCTCCCCAACGCACTGTGTCATTAAGACATGTCCTTCTTCGAACCCTTCTCCGGTAGGAAGGTTCAATCTAAGTTGTAAGATGTGAATCTGTAGTGTTCGGAAATCATTCATGATCTCGATGACCCGGAGTGCCCGAGCTTCGTTTACTGGAGAGGATGTTAGCAAGATTCTATGCCAAACCCTACAAAGAGCAAAATTGGACTCACGTCCGTCAGCCATGACAGGAGTGGTGTCCCATGGGTGTAGAGTAAATGCCAACATGTGATCGATCGAAGCCAGCGATGTTCACTACTACAAAAACGGCGTGTTTTATTCTCACATTGTAACTTATTAACCAGCGCCATGAGGCGTCTGCGGCACCTTTAAATACAAATCGGAATATATACAAGTGGATAGGAGAATAGGCTAGAGAGGAAAAATAAGTCCCAACCACCAGAGAGGCACAGAGGATCCATCGAGAGAAAAGAAATGGAGCGGAGCATCCAATGGTTTGCTCCTTGTCAGGAACAAAACCATTGCAGAATCGACAGCTTCAGAGCAGTGCATGTTAAAGAAGCAAACTCTGGCCGAAGAGCCACAGACTCGCAGCAAGTCAAACTCCAAACGCTTCAATGATCATCGGAGCTGGAAACTCAGTGGAGCGGAGCGGACAAGGAAGAATCGATAGCGCCGAAGATACATCATAGTTCCAAGTCTGGCGCTCCAGCCACAGCCACATCCGGGCAAGCCACACTTACCCAACGCCACCCAGGGCGGTGGGGCCTGGCCTTTTAGGGAGAGCGCTAGCTGCATCAGGCATGGCGCCGGCTGCTGAGAGCTGACTCGGGTCGAGCTGTGGCCAAAAAAAAGAGACCCCCAGCGTCGAATGGCTTCGTGCAGCACCTTTTGATGCTACTGTGCGATGTATGCGTGCCGATAGGGACTCCACCTGAGAGCTTATGCACGATCTAAGATACGAAGGTCGCACCCTGAGGCAATTCAACCCTGGATCATAGCTGAACGATCCGTCCTAAAACCCAATTATTCAAGGCCGATGCTCTGTTCATCGTCTAAATGTTTCCACTTTGCACCTCCTACAACCCACGAGGAGCACTTCTTCACTCGGGCCTCGGATAAACCTGCTGTCACTTGTAAATATGAAGTAGCGGCTCAAGAGCCTGTTGTATCATAGCACACTCTGACGAAAAAGAAACAAAGATGACATATGTCTAAACATAGTGCATCATCAATGGGCTCACGATCGATTGGACATGATCCTAAACATAGCGTCGTTTGAGAAACGTTTAGAAATTCCATGTAAGCCAGTCATGAGAGAAAAGAAGAAATAGGTTTCGGAGATAGAATTGCCACAGTTATGGCAGACCTGGATATATGGATTTGAAAAGGTTGCATTGATGTTAAAACGCACAAAGATTGGGGGGAGACAAAAAGAAGTCATCACGAAATCTAAGCGAATGGGGATCATAGTTGCAATCAGTTCCTCACTTAAATCGACGGTACACCTGGGATAATCCCAAACCCATTTTTCCGTCGGCCCAGGGTCCATCCGCAATATAGAGAGGTGGTAGTAACCATATGATGTGCGTCTTCAATCCTTCTCAGCAATCGCCTGTAGTCGTTCATCAATCTCCTCCTCCGTGAGGGATCGGAACTCTGTTTGTGTTCCTTCCTTGCCATCGGCTCGTGGTCCTCCAACAATCCCCACCTCTATCTCGTTCTTCTTGAAGTCCACACTTAGTACCGTGCTCAACGTCGATATGGCGAGCTCAACAACATCTTCCCACGTTCCCTCCGCATACTCCTTGTTCTTGAGCTTCTTCTCCAAGTGGTTAAAGATATCCTGTTGCTTGGGACCAGAAGCCGTGGCTCGATATCCCACATAATAGCCTGCAGGGTCGCATTTGTACAGTTGTGGACCCAATTCAGAATCAACTGATACCAACGTTATCGCAACACCTAGTGGTCGCATATACGCCTAAATCGCACAAGTCTTGTCAGAAGCAGCGCTCACCGGGGGGGGGGGGGGGGGGGGGGAAAAGAAAAGAGAAGAAAGCTGTGGTGGCCTGGTAGAGTGGGGAGAGTAGCAAACTCTTTGGGTGTAAACTTGGTTGATATTCGCCAACCGTTTAGCAAGGACATCGCATGGCATTTCATATCCAAACTTGTATCGAAATTCAGCCGCTTCGCTCTGCGCTCTGGATACTGACGCTCGAGCATCAGCTATGGAGCCAGTCATGACACATCCAACCGACGGGGACAGTTGAAAGATATGAGTGACAGATGAAGGGTCGATGAGCTTGTCCTGATATTGAGGGAAATGGCCGTTAAATTATTGATCTGTATAGACATGGTGGTTTTCCCGGGTGTACACACTGGGACTTTCTTCTGCGATAGTACGACTGCGCAATCCTTTCCCTTGATCCCGAGCGAGGTGATATTGGCGGCGGTGATAGCTTTGAAGGCATATTCTGATTAGACGGTACTCATATTAGCATGCATCTTGCTATCTCCGTGGTTTTTGGAGATGTTTCCACCCATGAAGAAATTTTACTTACCAACTTGATACAATCGCCCTTGATCCGAAAATATAGTAATGTGTCTATCGTAGCCAGCGCTTCCTGTTTATGTCATTGCCGTCAGTTGTCATCCAACGGAGATGGGGAGAGGCAATCTGCTTGGACAATGGGATTACACTGACCCGACATCGTGGCTGCAGTAAAACGATTGAGGTAAAGCGGGCAAATGTAAAGAGCGCAACGGTGATATATCAGTATACAAAAGGGACACTGGTGAAGAATGACTGGGATAGCGTTGATGAAAGTTATGGGAAATCGGTGGAGTTGCAGTGAACGCGTTGGGTGAAGCTGCCTGGCACATTAGACAGACATAGGAGGAAGCTCTGAAAGTAGGCTAGCCCCCAATCGGACAAAGCGCACCTGAGACCCAACTCCATTGCTGCACAGCAAGTAGACCTCGAGCATTAAACAGAGAAATATTAAATATACATATATATGTGTGTAAAATAGTAGAAATTTAGAATCTGAGCCTCATATCTAAAAATTACACTTTCCTCAATTTTATTTCAGGTGTGCGTTTAATCAATTGATAACCGGGTCTTACTGGGCGTATAGACAGACCTTTGAGAGTCGAACCGTATTGATGACGTATTCTTTTGCTGAAGCTGAATCCTCCACAGGCTATTTTATAAATTACGGAGTATTGGATCGTATAGATACATCATGGTAAATCTAACCACATATTTCCAACCAAACTTCACCTTCACATTTCCATCCAAAACATACCTAAATTGAAGAGCGGAATTTCCCGCGCCAACACCAATTTAGGCCAGAGACCTCGATTGCGGATGGCTTTCTCGAGCTTGCGACCCAGGTCTCTGCGCGATTGAGGGATTTCTCCCTATTCAGTCGCCACAGGCACCATCCCCCGCAGACTCTGAAAATGGCTGCCCGCATTCCAGCTTGGAAGAAGCTGGGATTACAGTTGAAAAATTCTACTACCTCACCGAATGAAGCAGGCACCGGTCCCCCTGTCGATGCAAATACGTTATCTCCGTCGAAAATACCCAAGAAGAGATCCTTTACGTCAAAAAATGAGGAGCCAAAGGGTAAAAAACAACGGGTGGAGAATGGGATTACTGGCGATGAAAGAAGAGCAAGGAAAGCAAAAAATAAAGCGGAAAGTAAAATACCTAAAAAGAAGGGTCCGGATTCGGAATTGAAAACATCCATTGAGCTATTCCCGGTGGATCAACAAGATCAAAAAGCGTCCTCCAAACTCAAGTTCAAAAAAAGAAATTCCGTCTCCTTCGCTGAGGATACAAAATCAGATGATGACGCAGCACACTTCAAACTTGAAGCTGAAGCTGAAGATGATCACGAGCCTACCTCTGCCTCTGCACGGAAAGCAGAGCTGAAGCGCTTAAAAAGAGAACAGCGGGCGAAGAATCGCCCTGCGTCAAACCAACAACAACAACCACCTTCATCCTCCCTTGCAGATTCTCCTCATACCCACCCTGTCCTGAAATACCTCATGCTCTACCACCAGCATCGGGCTCAATGGAAATTCCAGAAGAACCGGGAAACACACATTCTCAAACACGCTCTCTCAATAGATCAAATACCGTCCAAATATAATGCCTCCCTGGCTGCATATCTTGCCGGAATAAAAGGTGAAGGGGCAAAGAAGAGGGTTGCAGATGTGGCTGCGGAAGCTATCAAGGCAGATGATGCTGATGTCGATTCAGAAAAGAATAGTGAGGATGACGCTGAGAAGGATGGGTATAGAGATGCTGTGGCATCCTTTAGGAAGCGACTGGTGGAGCATGGAACAGCTTCGCACGGTTGGGAAGGGGATATGGCTGATAAGGAAGCTGTGAATTTAAATGCAGATTGTCTTAAAAAGCTGGAAAGGAGGAGGAGGGCAGAGTTGGTTCTTCATTTTGTTGGTGGAAGGATGCCAACTTGTGGAACTGAGTCAAAATCAAAATCAGAGCCAGTGAAGAAGAAGAAAAAAAATAGGACTGTTGTTGTGGAGGACACAAGCAGCAGCAGCAGCAGCGACAGTGATAGTGACAGCGACAGCGACGATGCGAGCTCCAAGCATATGACAAAACAAGTCAACGGGACAAAAAGTGGAGATCACTCTTCATCATCCTTATCCTCAGATCCCAGCTCGGATTCCGACTCTGGTAGGCTTCTCAGCGCAACTCCCTTTGTTATCAGTAACTAACATTATTTCCCCCATGATTATCAGACACCTCCTCAGACTCGAGTTCAAATTCAGGCTCAAGTTCAGACTCGGATTCAAGCCCAGATTCTTGTACGATCCTCAATTCCATATCGTGACTCTGATTATCTACTAACATCTTTATATAGACTCGGATTAGAAGCAGTTATCCATACATCATAGGGGAAAGCAACAAAACGCGAAAACCTGGGGTCATAGAAGGAAATAAACATTGTAGTCATGAATCTGCATCTATGTATTTGCTCATTTTTCCCTTGATATACCCACCTATTGAGAAATGATTGTAAGATTTTGGTTTCAGTGTATATAGTTTTTATCGTTGGTCATCCTTTCGCCGCAGTCCCCCCCGTCAAACCTTTCCTTGATCAGTGGCGGCATTTTAAACCTAGTCAAGAAGCCAAAAGTCGAAGCTTCGGCGTTCTCATCTACAATATACGCCATCTGCATACCCCCATAGTTAGACATGTCCAGGAAGATCCTAAACCTCATCAACCCTGCCTTCTACTCTCCTCAATGTCCTTTCTCTTCGTTCCATTCCCTGCAAATCGACGGACCTTCCATTCATCACATTACATGAATAAGTGATGTATGTATGCATGCAGTGTGAAAACAATGAATTAAGAAAATATATGATAAACATAAAAACCAGAGGTATCGTATCACAGCAACAAAGATCCAGATTAGAAGTCAAGAAGAAACGAAGACATCAACAAGCACTCGGTGTCTGAGAGGAAAGTTGAAAAACCTGGGCCAGAAACCAGAGACTACTACCATTGCCATTGACACACATATGCCCACATTAAACATAGAAAAGAAAGAAGAACTCCCACCAACCAAGATATAAGACGGAACACAAGTAATACATCCCCAATGAAATCAACCACCACCACCCTTTTCCACCTCCTTTTCCTTCTCCCTGCTCCCCCCCTCCGCACCCATCTTCCTTCTTTCCCTCTCTCTATCCTTCCCAGCCCCCGTCCCACCTCTCCTCCTCCTAACAACCTGATACGCATCGTTGAAATTCATAACCACGCCCAAAAACCGCATGTCCACATCAGGCTGATAGGCCAAATCGCCCAGAAGCTTGACGAGACGCGCGCGGAAATCCGCAGAGAGGCCGCGCAGCCGCGTGCGCAGTGAGGGGAGGAGATGGTCCTCGCCGCCGGAAAGAAGAGCCGACGCTGCTGTTGGGGTTATGGGTTCTGATGGTGTTTTTGCGTGGCAGTCGGCACCGGCACCGAAGGATTGAGGAGTATCGGTTGAGGGAGACTGGGAGATTGAGCCTGCGTTCTTGCGAGTGGCGGCAGAGCTGCTTGAGCGGCTGGGACGGGTTGTGGGGGCGGTGGACGAATGGAAGAGAGATTGGGATTGCTGTAGGAGATCCTTTTCTGTCACGCCCCATTGACCCTGAGCGGTGCGGGTTTCGATCTTAGCGGTGAATTCTTGGCGGCGGGTGAATTCTGCGACGGAGAAGGAGTAGAGGCCATCTACTGCGTCTTTGTAGGCGAGCATTATTTTGAGGATCTGGTGGAGTTGGGAGAGGAAGGAGTCCTCCTTGTTGCTGTTGTTGGAGGAAGAGGAGCCCAGAAGGCCCTTGTGGGTGATAGAGTTGAGGTATTTGGTGTGTGCTTCGACAAGATCGTCAAGCGTGCAGCCTGGTTTTGAGATGGCGACTTGTAGCTGATCCCAGCTTGCTTCGATAACTTCGAAGAGTATGTAGTATTGTAGTTGGCATATGAAATGGTTCATTTCGGAAATCACGCAGCGGGCGCGTTTCCAGTCTTGGCCAACTTTGTCTTCAACACTGCCCAAGACGCCCCTGGCGCCTGTCAGACAGCGCCTCCATATACTACCAAGAGCAAATTCTACCCGTTTTACGCGCCAGAGGAAGTTGAAGACTTTTAGATATTGTGTTGAACCCCATGGCGTGATGACAACATCCACTGGGGCGTCGATTTTGTACTCGAGGGTGAAACAATCCCAGCCGATCTCGCCATGACTCAGCTCTAACATACGAGCGTCGAGGCGACGTAAGACGTCGGGGGAGTCATACTGCGCATTCGATGAGCGTATGGCATGCTCCAGTTGTGCTGTCAGGGTATGGCGGTATTGAGAGTTTGCTGGGCGGTCGAGGTTCGAAGCTAGAGATTCCATAAGAAGGGCAATAAAATCCCCTTGGCCCAGCAGGAGATATTTTTTGAGTGCTCTGAGATGATCGAAGAGTTTGAACTTTGAATCCATGAGGTAAATAAGACGCGCCATGGTAGTTTTGTACGCTTCGTCAATCGATGTCTCCAGAGTGGCCGTATCGCCGTATCGTAACTCCTTCGATGCATCTCTCGAATAAGCTGCAACCCAAGCAGCGTCCCCACAGCCGTATCGGATGAAATTCAGAGATTTCCCGATTAGGAAAACCTTCTTCGCAAACTCCTGTGTCATGATCGTCGGCACTAGGTCGTCCTCGAGTTTATACTTATCATCCCAAACACTCGTTGCAGTGCGCCGTGGATCAGCGCTTGGTCGAGCTTCCGGTTCCACAACGAAGAATTCGCGATATGGATCTGAAAGTTCACCGTCATATATCCACTGCCTCAACATGCCGTAAAAGGGTCGAGTTACATGAACCAAAAGACGCTCAGCAAAGGCCCCAACAAAGGGATCACCGTGAGAGGAAGAAAATTCATGGATCATCGTGATCAACTGTCCACCCTTTTTCCCTTTTGACTCTTCGACCATCAAACTCATTAATCGTAACGCCATTGTAGCTTCTCTCATCCACACAACACATCTTTTCAACGTAACGCCGGCCTTAGACGGTCCTGTTGATTCTGCGGAACCGTCTGAACCCGTCGACAATGAGGTCCTAATCTCGCCTTCAAGAGTCGCAACCAAGCCCAGATACGATCGAAGCTCATTCCCTATGGCGGCTCGGACACTCTGTTTCACAAGACCGCCTTCAGATTCCTCAACAAAGCTAGATAGACCCCGATAGAGTAAACAGGGCTCCGCCAAGGTATGTAAAATGGACACAAGCGGTACCGGTAGCGTCTGTGGGAGCATCAATGTAGTAGGCGATGTAAATTTCATATGAGTAGAGGATATCCCTTGCAAAGTAAACGGTAAATCCCGCAACAAAACTGACTCCGTTGATTTCACTCCGCAATATTCAACTCCTGCCTTTTTTGGCTGTTGTTCCGCTTGACTTTGAGTCTGAGACGACTTCGATTCCCCGTCAGGAATGCTGGGTAGCTGTCCACGACTCGTACTAGGTCTCCCGTCTTTCTCTCCCCCCCTCTCGTTTCTCTCAACAGCCCGTTTCCTATCTGCAGACCTGGGACTATAGGCATCTCTATTCTTCCCATTTTTGGAGAAGGCCGTTGGGCCATCCCGAGCAGCCGCAGCAGGAGTATCCCAGCCAACAGCAGAAACCGACGATCCAGGCGCAATATCATCAACAACGGACCCCCGCCCAAAGCGATCCTTCAACAACATATTCTCCAACTGATGATCCTCCATCAACGGACTCCTCGCCCCATCCCTTTTCCCAACCCCACTCTCCACAGTTGTCGTGACAACCGTGCGCCGGCTAACCCCTCCACCTGAGCCACTATTGTCATCCAACCCACTCCTCGCCGTAGCATATGCAGCATCAGGAGCAGTTGCAGCGCCCCCATTCTCCCCAATCCGATAAAGCAAATACAAAATAGCCCACTTCTGCCCAAGAACCGGTTGCGTCAGCAACCTCGAATACAGATTCGAGAACCGTACAGCTTTATCCGGCGACGCATTTTCCCTCAATAACTTGCGCTTAATCAGATCTGGCGCGTTGTTAATAACATCTGCTGAAACAGCACCGCCCAACTCTATCCCCGCGGCATTGGAATTGGGATTAGGATTGCCATTGCCAGCACCAGTACCAGCAGCCTGCGAATCCAGAATCCGCCAGACCATATCCATGCAGCGTTTATGCCGCCTCTCGTCAGCCTCAGCGGCTTCAAGACGCGCATACTCCTCCACAGAGGTTTCGGAGAGGTCTTCATCATCCTCATTGCGACGGGTGGTGGGGGAGAAGGTTGTGGCTGGTATGAAGGAGTCAACAAGTGCGCTCAGAGCGTCTTCGATGCGGCGGGAGCGGTGGAGAGGTTGAGGGGTTGAAGAGGAGGAAGTTGGTGGGGCCATTGTTCAGGGGAAAGGGAGAGACTAGCGTGGCAGAGAGGGCTGCTTCGGCTCAAACCTCTCCACCTGCAACGAAATAGCATGAAAAGACGCGACTGCAGCACGCGGAGCAGCAGCAGCAGCAGCAGCAGCAGTAGCAGCAATTAATGTATCCCAACGTCACCTCAAAACCTCACGGCCACAATTTCCCAACGGTGCTTCCTCTTCCAGATCTTCCATAAATAAAAACCCTTGCCCTTCAAATCGGGTATCTCAAATTCTCTGCTGGCACAGTGTATTGTTTGCAATTGCAAGAGGCGCTACTGCTTGGGTGTGTGCTGCGGAAGCATGACAGCTCAAGTTTGAGTTGGCTAAGGTATAACTAAACGTCGACTCCGCGAGTCCTAGGCTTGCAATCTCAGCCCTTTTTTGCGCTGGGAAAGGGGAGAAGATGAAATTGGGAGATATTTATTTTCCAACCCGATGTCTTAACGGCTGTCCTGAGAGCCCTGCTGCTGTGTTGTTGAAGGCAGGTTGTGGACAGTTATATTAAACATTTTTATTAAACACAAGGTTTAGGATGACGCGCTGTTTGAATCGAGTGACGTTTGTCTTGTTTGCAACCAGTAGTTATAACTAAATGTTACATCTGATTTGGTGTACGTAGAAAGGTCAAGTAAATAAATAATCGCCGAATAAGTACAAAGGATATATATGTTTGTTTCATTGTTAATGTATGTCTGATCTATCTATCTATATAAGTATCTATATACGCCGCACCATGGGGCCAGCAAATCTCGACTTCTGGAAAGCGTTAGAGAAGGCAAATTTCTCTCACGATACCTAGTACTATCATGGATTTTGAGAAACGCCTTGTGGACGCCCTCAAAGAGCAATATCTGAAGCTCTCCAAACCATTAATGACCAGTTTGTACCGCTGATGGCTGAATATCGCATCGCAGTGCATCGCATCTACCTTTTTTTACTTCTTCTTCTTCTGGGAGCTGCATCAAAAGCACCTGAAATACACCGAGGACCTATACTGTTGAAGACACACGCGCTGCACCGATTCCAGACAATACTGGGAGATGTTGCGGTAGCTGCAGACTATCTGCGGAATGTACAGGTGTAACAATAACTGCTTTGCAAAGACTTCCGGAGTGCAATATTCTGCGCTTCGACGGACGGTATGCCCGAGATGCGCTGAGGTTGATCCGCATCAGACATACGAGAGCTCTGAAAACGTTGGGAGGAGAAGCACCTGCTGATAAGTTTTTAAAGATTGTTCAGACGGCGAAGTGGTTCCCAGAGGCCCTGAATACAATTGAGGCCCCCGTCTTCAAGCGGAGTGCAACAAAATGAACCCCGTTTATAACTACCTATTACTTCTTGGCTATATGCAGAGGCACTATGATAAATATATCTTGGTTTCCACGCGCTCCCCGTAAGATGCCTTCTTCATATTTCACTACATGCATGCTTTTTGCCCTCTAATCGAAGTAGTCTCAAACAGGAACGTCTATATCCCTTAAGTAGAGGGATCTTATTATATCAAAAAAAAGTTCATTGCATTTTGTATTCAGAAACACGTTTTCGATATTGAGTAGAAAGGTTTTCAAAACAGATTAAAGAAGACACAAGAAAAGGAATGAAATGAAAAGGACAATAGGGCAGGTTGGCTTGGTTGGCTGGTGAATAGGGGCAAAGAAAAGTCGAAAATCGAGAAATACGTTAGAATCCATGGGTGCTTTCGAAGAACTCCTCCCGCCCTCCTTTCCTTTCGAGAAAAGGAGAGGAATAAGAAAGCGACCAAATGCCAACCACTACAAAACAAATCACTCATTCTCCGGCCCATGGGTTGCCAACATAATTTGCTTCCCACTTCCCAAACCCCCTCAATTCAGTTTCCAACCAAATATTTGTCACAGATCCTCCCACCTCCTTCTCAATAGCCACACAAGAAAATAAAAGGCAAAAAAACTCCATCACCTCTCAGAAAAAGCATAAGCATAGACATAGACATACACAACGGAGGAAAAAAAAAGATGCAGAGAAAAGAAAAAAAGGAGTGCAAATTTCAAAAAAAAAAAAAAAAGAAGAAAAAGAAAAAGGAAAGAAAATACAGAACGAGACTCCATTTCATCCCATTTGCATCCTATTCCCGTCCTATCCATCCTTCCCAAACTAGTCTGAACAAAGGAACGAAAAGAGAAGCGAAACGAAGCGAAGGAAAAGAGTGAAAGCACACAGGCGAAGGCACGGACACAGACACAAGGGAGAGAAACAAAAGCATAAGATGTTACTGTGTAGCAGCCAATCTAGATATTATTTGCAAGAAGAGGAAGGGAGTGGAAGGGAATGGATATGGCGGGTGAACCACACACAGAGACAGACAAGAAGGTACCCATCTGATCAGTCTGTAGAAGGAGGAATGGGGATGGGGGAGATGGAAATGGAGATGGAGGAGAGAAGGGAAAAGAAGGGAGAAGAAAATTTCAAGCCATATAACAGTGGAGCGAAATGCCACCGTACCTTATCCATAATCGCCAGGCCCGTGTTCTCGAAAGCTGAACACACAAACAACAAAAAAAAAAAAATAAAAAAGGTAAGAAAAGCCAACACCAAATTGTATATTTAAAAAGAAACGCAGAATGGAAAGGAAAAGAAAAGACAAAAAAGAAAGAAACTATCCCTTTTGTTCACTTTGCCATTTTTCCAAATAAAAATCCAATCCATCCCGTCACCCCCCACTTGTTTTATTTTTTCCCCCCAAATTTTAATTTCATCGCCGTGGCATTGGTTGTGAGGAGATACCGGGAGGCGCCCCGGCGGCTTGCATAGCCATGTACGGATTGGGATGTTGCGCATATTCGCCACTGATGCTATTTACCATGATACTATTGAGGCCCTGGGCCTGGGAAACCGGGCAGTCCTTGTGGGCCAGCAGGAGTGTTTTGAGATTAACGATCTCCTCCCGCAGCTGCGTCACGGTTGAGGAGAGGGCGTCGTTTTCGTTACTGTAATATTCAACTTTTGTTTGAAGGCTTTGGAGCCATTGTTTTTTACGCTGGCGGCATTTTAGGGCGGCGACCCTGGATGGGAGGAGAAGGGTGTCATGTTAGCCACATAATAAAAGGGTATGTATTGGTTACGGGAGGGCCAAGAAAGGAGAAAGGTGGTAAAGCACATACCGATTCCGTTCCAGGAAATTCTTCCGCTTCTCCTCATCAGTCATCTTCTGAGTGTTCCCCTCAGATTGTTGTTGTTTATGATCCTCCTCTTCTTCAGAGTCATCCATGCTATGATCCACTGCAGTCCCATTGTTCGTCTTGGTCTTTTTATTCATACCACCCTTGTTTACGGTATCGTCTGCCTTTCGTCGCCCATTACTTTTCCCTGTACTGGACTTGCGGCCCTTGCCACCGCCGTTACGAGCATTGGATTTTGTGCGCTCACCAGAGCTATCTGATGTTCCGCCGTTCATATCTTGACCAGCGTTATTCCCATTCTGAATACTGGTTCCCGAATCGGCAGGTCGACTTTGCGCAACTGGCTGTGATGTTGGAACAGAAAACTGTCCGTTATTTGCTTGACCACCCTTGGCTAACATGAAAAGTCCGTTGGCAGCATCAGTCGCGTCATGGTGCGCAAAGGGATCTACCTGTGCCTCAGACTTGACAGCGTCCAGGTTTGCGGGTTGTTGGAGAAGTTGATCAGAGGAATCTTGGGGGTTCGAAGTTCGCGCATTCTTCCTCGCAGCATTCAGGGCTGTACGGTGGAAATCCAAAGTGGCCGGCGTTGCGCCTCCTCCACCTTGGAACTGTTGCATCAGAGCTTGTGTGTTTGGACTTGCAGCAGCGGGGAACATGGAGCCACCACCACCTGGGGTTAGCCCAGTGCGCAACGATGACTCATTTGGGGTGGGGAAGCCTCGACCGATACCATCAAAATAGTCACTCGGAGCAGCGGGACCGGCAAGCATGGCAGGACTAAGGGGTCCAGCGCGAAGAGAGTTGGACCAATTGAAGCCACCAGCTGACGAAGTACCGGGGAGGGCAGGGGAAGTGAGAGCGGCAACGGATGGTAAAAGAGATTTTCCCGGGGCGTCAGCGGGTTGGGTGCCGAAGGATTGTTCAAAGGGATTAGGCTCTAGAGAAAACTGGGTGGTGCCGTGGACGCCCGAGAAATAGTCTGGTGTATCGGAACCTGACTGTTGTGGTTGCTGTGGTGGTTGTTGACCCTGGTGACGAGTATTTGAGGCGGATTGGGAGGTTTCAGCGTCGTTAGGTTGGGTCGTGTCTTTCTGATCGGAGGTGGTGCTTTGCGCGTCTGTGATCAGAATGGAAGGACAAGAGTTAGCATCGCGCCATGATCGACATTTGAACGACATGTAAGCAGAGTATTGGGATAGTTAGTCCCTTCTAAGGAGGGGATAGAGAGATAGTAGACAGTGAGCGGGAAATGAGACGAGATGAGATAAAAATGGTTGAGTCAAAGGAGTGATCGCGGCATATTGAACCGTGAGTCAACATAAAAAAAAAAAATAAAAAAATAAAAAAAAACAGGGTGGGGTAAAAATAGAAACGCCACCAGCAACAGATAGAAAATGGTACAAGATGTGGCGACGTGTGGATAAAGAGGGAAGAATACGGTCGGGGGAGTGGTAAGAAGGGGATTTATTTTCCGAGTTGTTGTGGTTGCGAGGCAACAGCAGCAACCGCAGCAGCAGTAAATAAAGGGAGGTGACGACATGAGATCAGATGCGATCAGATAAGATAGAGGGAAACTGTGAGTAAGGAAGGCACGACGACGACCACCAGCAGCAGCAGCAGCAGCAGCAGCAGCAGCGGCAGGAACAGACAGCACTTACCATCTGACTTCCAAGGGCCCTTTTTGGGGTCCATGGGCGAGTCGGTGCGTGAGGCCGGGGGGCCGATCCGAGGAGAAGGCCGGGTAGCAATGGCAGCGGACATTGGTCACAGGTCTAACAGCAGCCGGGCTCTGCTATAATATATTCTACCTAGGTAGTATGTGTAATAAACAAACAGGAATGGCAGCGACAGGTCCCGCGGACCGGGATGGCGGGATGGCGGGATAGTGAGATTCGGAAAAGGGGGGGGGTGGGGGAATAGCAAAAAATAAAATAAAATAAAGTGAAAAAAGAAAAAAAAAAGAAATTAAAAAATAGGAAAGGTAGAACACGAAGTAAAAGTGGGTAAGGAAAAAGGATACAAACAAAGGGGAAAGGGGAAAGGGGAAAGGGGAAAGGGGAAAGAGGGAGAGTAGGGAGTGGGGTGGTGATGTAACTGGTGTAAAAAGTGGAGCGAGTCAGGAGAGTGAGGATAATAGGGATGGGAGGAAAAGATAGGAATGAGATGAGATAAAGATGAGATGAGATGTGGATGTGGATGTGGATGTGGATGACGACAGAAAAGCGCGTGGCAGAAGGAAGAACGTTTTTTGGGGGGGGGTTGAGAAGACTAAAAGAGACGGAAGAGACAGAGGACGAAAAGGGAAGGGGCAGAAAATGGAATCCGCAGAGGCGGTAAAGGCGGTGGGAACAGATAATAGCGAGACGGTTGCAATCGGTGTGTATTCGGTGGATGGAAACAATAGTATGGTTGTCCGGTTGATTGATGCTGGTTGCTGTTGATAGGTTGATGATAACGATGAATGATGATGATGGCTTGCTGATGATGCGGTGCTGACGACAGCGAAGTTCTGGCGGGAAAGGAACAAGAGGGCGGTTTTTTGGCAGTGTGTTCGCTAGGTGAAAGGGGGGGAGAGGAAAAAAGAAAATCGAAAATCTGACGACACCGATGATGTCGACGGGGTTCCACGGCCTGAGTTATAGCTGGGTTACATAAGCAGCTTATAAAGAGCCGGTGCTGCCCGTTTCGAAGCTCCCGCCAAGTTCAACAAAACGAAGATCAACTAAAAACCCACCACCACTCGGAAGAGAGACAAATATGGAATGGAGATGAGATGAGGTGAGATGAGGTGGCAGAGGAGAAACTGAAGGAGAAGGGAAGTTGGGTAAGATCCAATAATCAATCCGAGTATCGAGTCTTCTGTGCCCGACGCGGTAGATGTGCGCGCTGTTAAAGTGGTCACGGTGATAAATAATGAATGCACCCCGCCGTTTGGCTGGCTTGGGATTTAGGGATCTCTCGGGTTGAGGGAAAACTGCGGGCTTTCCGCAAAAACAACAATGGCAGCAGTAGCAGCAGCACCAACTAACAACTAACAATTCCGTGATCTTCTCTTCCCTTGTCCTTCCAACGGCTTACTCTCTCGCTATTCAGGTCCCTCTTTCAGATACCCACGCCAAGCCCCGGCTTTCGTTCGAGAATCCTTGAAACCTGATCCCACCCAACCTTGTAAGCCACCAGAACCGGGAAAAGGGGGGGGGGGGGGGAAACCAAACTCGTCCGTCGAGAACGCCCCTCGCTATCGACTTATCGACGTATCGAGTTCGAGTGAGTGTCGGAGGACCGACCCGGCCTTCCGTTTGGGGACTGGTCGAGTAATATAGGTGGTATACTTATTTGGTCGAGTGGCGGGTTGAATGTCCGTCCTATCTTCTTTGTGGGAGAGAGAAGGATTGTTTTTCGACTGCTATAAGGTTGAAATGGAAAAATAATATATATTCAAGTATCCCAAGTTATTTGGAGGGGAATGTGTGGGCGGGCGGTAAGGTCGGGACCTAGGGGGGGGACCTAGACTTGCTGGGAAAAAACTTGGAAAATACTATACGCCGGATATATATTGTCCGGGGTATTGATGTAGATTTTGTTTTCCCTTCCCTCTTCTGCCAGGTTTGATGCAATGCAAGCAATGCAGCTGTGTTAGCCAGTGGGCACAGGGACGGGAAAAATACCGTATATATATCGTGGTCGTATATCCTGTCCTATATATATATATATATATATATATATGCCGCGTTCCTGGAAAGTTTGGCAGCTTAAAAAACGGAAATTTCGTTGGATTCGTGCCGTTTTTACGTTCACTTTTTCTCTTCTTGGAATGGAAATGGAATGAGCAGAGAATTTACGAGAAGATGATTGGTGATAAATGTGATTCTGACGGAGGAAGTGCTCTGCTCCCTTTTATTTTCCTGCCAGGATAAATTCTGTCTATAAACAGTCTGTGTGTTTCGAGGGGTGGTTAGTGGGAAGAGGAGCAAAGAGGTGATGATGACGTAGCCTGCTTCTTGGTTTTTTTTTTTTTTTTTTTTTTTGGGGGGGGGGGATTTTCTGCTATCGGACTTATTTTGCTGATGCAAATTGTGCTGCAGTTTGCTCTAACTATACCAAACGAACTTGACTTTGTAATATCTCTTTTACCCGTGTATCAATGGTAAAAAAAATTGCTTGACTTTGGGACACCCTATTTTTGTTATTCCAGCAGCGTGGGCCGGTTAACTTCCCACATTTTGGCGCTCGGGGTGTTTTCTAATTGGCCAATGGCCCATTGCGATCATTTTTCCTCCCGCCTTCCCGCCTCCGGCCCAACAGGTTCAGAACCTCTACCTAACATAAGCTCAAGTCGGAAGCCGTTGCAGAAATCACTGATTTAGCTAATGAATTACGTTTATATTATATTTTTCCATATTCAAAACAAAATTATACACTAATTAAAAACCATAGATAGTTTCATTAGAAAAAAAGAAAAAGAAAAAAAAAAAGAAAAAGAAAAGAAAAGAAAATTGTCAGAGTAACAAACAAATATAGTTAAGCGAAAAACTTACGGTTCTTCTCTTGGTCTCCATATTTCCAGAACAACCACCAAGTAAACAACACGCGCCACCCCTTCCACACCAAAGATGAGATCATTCTGACGAACTTTGTTATCCTTTTCCTTGGCTCCGTCCCCCGAAGACAAAAAAGCGGTGTCTTACCTAAGCGGCCAAAGCGGGGGGTCCACGCTAGTTCGCATCAGGCTAGGCAGTCTTGGGGAGATGGCAGGCGTTGGTTGGCTGGGACGCCGTTTGAGTTCTCGTCTCCACTCTTTGCGTGTGAAGCACGGCTGTTTATTGGCTGGAGGCGCGGGATCCAGTCGCTCGGTCGCTGCGGCGCTATTGATGATGACGTGTTGCAGGACAGAAATGAAACAGGCAGGGGGGGCCCTTGGTCGGATACCAGCAGTCAGTTAGATTTAAACTAACTAGCTAAGATGAGAGATTACACCTACCTTTCCCACCTCCCAGCTTTGGCCGGAGTTTCTTCTTGTTCATTGTCCGTCTATTTTGGGAAGTTTTGGAAAGAATTGGTTAGATTGAGCGGATTAATGGCCCTATTGTGTCTATTAATGCTAGTGTTGATGTGTATGTACTAAGGTTGGATAAACCAGGTCCCACTTGGAAGGGATCCCCATCCCATATCCACACACACACACACGCACACCTGGGCAAGGCTCTGTGGAACCTCTCAAGCAAGCAAGCAAGCAAGCAAGCAAGCAAGCAAGCAAGCAGAAAGCCCAGCTTTCCTGAATAATGAATGTCAATCCGTGCGACCTCGGTCCGCGCAATTGCCACAAAGACAGCTAACAAATTGGCTGGAGACCTGTAAAGGCGATGATCGTCGATGGACAGGACAGTGCCTCCGTTTATATCCAGAGATACGAGAACCAGCTATTTGTGGGCATGACAGAAACAAAGAAGAACCAAGGAAGGCCCGGGTCATCACTAGCAGATGAGAGAGAAAAAAAGAAGAAAAAAGATATACAAATCAAAGGATATCCATAGTGCGTGAAGTGACCATTCCTGATTCCTAAGCAATGATACTTCATGGATAAAAGAAAAGCACAAGAGGAAAAAGAAAAAATAAAAAATAAAAAGAAAAAGGAAAAAAAAAGAAAAAGAAAAAAAGAAAAAAAGAAAAACGATATTCCATCTAAGCACTCGAATCCTCTCCTCCTCCTATCCCAGTTGCAGCAGGATCACAGAAAAGAAAAAATAAAAAAAATGAAAAAAGGTTCCTCAATACCCCTTATTGGTTTTCCTTTCACCCCTTTTCCCCCAAACTTCCCCATTTATATATCCTTCACACCCCTCTCCCCATAACCCCTCCCCATTTATCCACACCCATCCACCCGCACAACCCAAACCCGCCCCTTTCTTCACGACCCCCTATACGTCGAATAGTTCCACGGCCCCAGCAACACCGGCACGTGATAATGCCTCCATCCATCCCACGCCTCACTCCCCTTCACCAAAAACCTCACCTCAACCTCCGGCCAGAAGCTCTCAACCCCTTGCTCCGCATACCACTCGCCCACATTCCTCACTCGCAGGCTCCAGATAGACCGCTGCTGCCCGCCGTGGTGTTCGTGGATGGAGGAGAGGAGTTCCCGGATGGTGGAGGTCGAAGCTGAAGTTGAGGTGGAGGTGGAGGTGGAGGAGGAAGGGGTCCAGGTTTTAACGCGGCCGTCGGCGTCTGTGGCGGCGTGGAGGGTTGCGGGGAGGTTTGGTGGCTGCGGGGCGCCGGGGGGCAGGAGGATGCGGTGGAGGGTTAGGGTGCAGGAGAGGCCTGAAGCTGGTGTGCCGTTTATGGTGTTGAGGATGTGGCAGGTTATTGGGTCGCGATGTGACATCCTTTTGGATTTGGATTTAGAGAAGTCGTAGTTTTGTATAGGAAAATAATATTTGTTTGATACAGCGGTTTGTGTGTGGGTATTTATTATTCACGCGAGTGCTTGACGATGCGGAGAGCTTGGTTCAATTCAGTTGACTTATCTTTCTCCCTATGAAGGTGGGTTGTAGTCTGTGAAGAGAGAAATGAAATTCCGATGGTCGTGGGGCGATTTGTGCTTTTGTTGGGTGGAGATATTGATCTCGAATGCGACAGGAAAATGTGAGACAGACTAAAGGATCAACAAAGGTCTCGAAGATGTTGCTTTAAGTGTCTCAGTTGGCAGCGAATACAGCATGTGTTTTCTGTACGAGCCAAGGAGTTAACTAATGAAACGGAGGCATGGAATTGGGTGAACAATATACCTAACCCCAATGTGAGCAACAGTAAACAACAGGAGGACGAGGGGCCGATATATTTATTTACAGAATTACCCCAACATTCGGGAAATCGCTAATAACCATGTAACTAGTTGGCTAATTTCGGGAAACGCCGACGGACGATCTCTGGATGGCATCATCAGTTTATGATTATCGACTGGGGGAAGGGAACCACCCACCACCTACCTATATACCGGCGTCACATACACGGACCCTCTCCAAGTATCATCCTTATATAGAAAGTATAGGGAGTCGATTCCCAGAGTCGTTTAACCCCTCCGGCCCTTGTCCTGACCTACCCGCCTAAATGTTCTGTTCCTGAATCAAAAATAGATAATCTATACGAGCTACAACGTCACTCGCTAACGTCGTTGGATTTAAGCTCAGCAGCTTCTCTGCTGCTCCGTAGACAATCGCATGGATTAACAGTCCATTGTAACTGACATTAAAAAAAGCCAATTGATTGTCGGCCACGCTGGATCACATCGGTTTCTAGGTAAAATATATATCCCAACGCAACACGCAAATTAGGTAGAATTGTATTCATGGTTTGTATAAAGCATAATTCCGTCGCGTCTCCAGCTTAGCGCTTAGTTTGTCGCCTAAGCGGATCGGGAAAATGTATCCCCGGTACTTCAAAGAAACTTCCAACAAACCCAACATAGAGAACTTTCGGGATGAACTTTGCTAAATAGACTGCGTTTGAAATACAACTTCTTAAAGAATCTTACAACATCTATCATGACCCCTGTTGAGGAGTTTCATCAAATGCCCTTGAAATAATTTGAATACTCGGTATGCTTAAACAGAAATGCTTTAACGCTTGATCTTTGGGAATCTTCCAGAAGCGGCCGACATTGCGAAGCTAACAAGCTGGAGTGTGCATGTATCTGACGAGAGATAGTCTTCGATATCTTTAGTTTTAATACAAAATATTCGTCATAGAAGGAATACAACGCACCTTGGAGGAAGAACGAACTCAAATACCTCTCCGCCGGCATATCCCACCGACGCAGGTTGGATAGGAGACAACACCTCCATATATTCTAATCAATATTATATAAGTCATACATTTAACCACGTTACAACCGAAAAGTCGATAACCTGCGCATCCTTCCCTTTCCCTTTACCATCCACACCAAAAACCCAGCCAAACGCATCCTCACGCTCAAAAACAATGTCATCAGCCGCGATGGTCAAAGCCGAGGACTCCCTCGAACCAACCCTCCAAAACCTCCTTGACCAAAAAACACTCCGCTGGGTCTTCGTTGGAGGCAAAGGCGGTGTTGGCAAGACAACTACCTCATGCTCCCTAGCGATCCAGCTCGCCAAAGTCCGCAAGTCCGTCCTGCTTATATCCACCGACCCCGCGCATAACCTCAGCGATGCCTTTGGGCAAAAGTTTGGAAAGGAAGCGAGACTTATCGACGGATTTACTAATTTGAGTGCTATGGAAATCGACCCTAACGGCAGCATACAAGATCTTCTGGCTGCGGGTGGTGGCCAGGGGGATGATTCTATGGGCGGACTGGGGATTGGGGGGATGATGCAAGATTTGGCATTTAGTGTAAGTCCCTTTTATTCTCTTCTCTTATCTTTTCCCCTCATTTGTCTGAAAGTGGTATTGGGAAATGCGATTGTATCTAACATGTTTAATCGACGCTGTCAATAGATCCCCGGTGTCGATGAAGCCATGTCCTTCGCCGAAGTCCTAAAACAGGTCAAATCTCTATCCTACGAGGTTATCATATTCGACACCGCGCCAACAGGCCATACGCTCCGCTTCCTCCAATTCCCCACCGTCCTCGAAAAAGCCCTCGCCAAACTGGCGCAATTATCAACCCAGTTCGGCCCGATGCTAAACTCCATCCTAGGCGGCCGAGGCGGTCTGCCCGGCGGCCAAAATTTGGACGAGATCCTCTCCAAAATGGAATCACTGCGAGAAACCATTGCAGAAGTAAATGCGCAGTTCAAAGATGCTGACCTGACCACTTTTGTCTGCGTGTGCATCGCGGAGTTTCTCTCACTGTATGAGACGGAGCGAATGATCCAGGAGCTGACGAGTTATCACATCGATACTCATTGTATTGTTGTTAATCAGTTGCTTTTCCCGGGGAAGGATAGTTCGTGCGAGCAATGTAAGGCGCGGAGGAAGATGCAGAAGAAGTATTTGAATGAGATTGAAGAGTTGTATGAGGATTTTAATGTGGTGCGGATGCCGATGTTGGTGGAGGAGGTTAGGGGGAAGGAGAAGCTTGAGAAGTAAGTTGCTATAGTCTTTAGACATCTATCTGTTCTAGTCTGGGGAGGTACAACAGTTGAAGCATTTACTAACGAGTGCCCCTTTTTTTAATGATTTAGGTTTAGCGATATGCTTATACACCCATACGTCCCGCCTCAAGAGTGATTGATTTCATGATACAAATGACCTCTATGAGTATAGTTCTGATGTGTAAAAATAGTACCCTTTTGCACAGAGAGGAATTCTCTTTATTCTTATTTTTACCTATATGATATACAGAGCTCTTCTTGTTATCTTTATGTATCAATATAGTATGGCTAAACTCCAATACAGAAACCCAGCCTTTCTTTTTACGACGGCAAAAAGGTCTTTCAGTTCCCCCATTGCCGTTCCATCTGCAGAAGCTAACTGTGGCAATCTGTTGGAGGGAGACGGCTTTGAAGGGAGTGAAGGTAAACCACTGCACTGACAAAACAGAACTACCCGTGTCCTTGTCCAATTGTGTCCCATATCCCTGTATGCCACATATCTTCGGGCTAAATCCTCCACTGAGACCTAACACGCCCCGTCAGTGCCGTCGCCGAAGGAGAGAAATCGGGAAAAAAAATAACTCTGACAGGAAAATTATATTTGACTAGTAAGAGATCCTATCATCCCTCCCCAACTATTGAATCAGCTATGATTGCACCGGATTGTCGTCGCTGTTATTGATTGCCTCACTTGTCCTAATAACCTCAACACTCCTATCGCGAAGGGAGAATATTCAACTCCTTTACACCAGTAGTGTGATTAGCAAGGAGCACAATCCGGGAAAGAAAAGGAAAGGAAGTAAAAAGAAACCAGATTAAAACATGAATATCAAGTTTTCAGAAAGTTTCGAAGTCCCGTATATAATGACAGGAAAATTTTAGTGTGAGATCGACACGAAAATGAGGCGATGGCTTCCAAGATTTTATTCCACTCCCATATCCCCATCTCCCCATCCATCTAACATTTGTTCTTATTTTGGACCCAGCTGTCTTTCCGTCGTTTTATTTTCGCTTTCTGTTCGCGTTTTTCTCCCCCTTCGTGATTGTTATCCGGTGAGATTTCCCGAAATCAACACACGCTTCAAATCGGTCTTTTGCCATGGCAATTTGTTTTACCTTGTTTCATTACTGCCTGAACAATGAATGATGTGTGAATTCCTTTACTGCATAAAGGTGAAGAGCGTGACTTCACTTGCATCCCTTTCTCCACGACTGATTCGGGCGGTTCTTACTAACTCCAACCCCGGGGTGACGATTATATTTTGCACATCCAAGTTATTTCTGATGGAGCTATTCCCCGTGGAAATACATGGTACTGCTAAGTTATACCTTGTTTTCGACATGATATACTTTTACCTCCCCCCCCTGTGAAGAGGTGGGAAATTTAGAGGACGGATTGGGAGATGCACAGGTTAACAGTACATTTGTTTAAATTTCGCCGCTTGGAAGATGGAGCATTCATCTGACTCAGTGGGTGAAGAATGGGTAGATGCTTAGGTGCAGTTTTAACACCTATTCCTCAATTTCTTTTCCAAAATCAGACTCCATTCCTCCTGCTCCTCACGCCCCTGAAAGAAAGTTCCAACACATATGAGCGCTATATCCTCCAATCAGGACTGTGTGGCTTTTGAAGGATTTCTAGAACAATGAACCTTGCATCCAGTGGCAAAAAACATGTGCGCCTTGGAAAGGAAAAAAATGCAATACAACATATGTGCAGGTGGTAGCAATCGAGGAAGCATGGATTCTACCCCAGAAACAAGGACGTGGAATTGAATCATTTTCTTTCCCCTCATTACTCTCCACCCCCACCCCTCTCCCTTCACCCAGAGCAGCTTTTACGATACACTGAAGTGGGAAAAGAAGAAAATCAATTGAGAAACGCTGCTTGATTGTGCTTGTTCCGATGCAGAGCTGCCGAATAGTATGCGCTGCTGGTCTTCTCGTGGTGTGAGGTTTCCCCCGCTTCAGAGATACCATCTCATTCCCAATGTTTCCGTGGATGCTCTGCCATGCGAAGTAGCAAGACATGCAGGGCATGCATAACCGTTCTCCTCGGATGTCTTGTCTCGTTCTCTCGGTATATAGAGTGATTTCTGCATGTTCTGTTAGAGTATGCATCCGAGAAGGAAGTTGAACTGGCGCAGCACCAACTTGCAACCGTGATTAACCATTGTCTCCGTCTCGCTGAATGAGTCAGTATCTAAAGTCTCGAGGTACTTCTTATGCATCTCTAGCCTATATTTTTCAACTTCCAAAGCGATCTAGATTAAAGCAGCCGAACGATATGCGTGAGTAGAAACACCCCATAGTACAGCGCATTGTAACATAATTCGGATTTAGAATTTGAGCTCAACTGCCCCGCTTCTACGCAAGTACTCTCTGTGTACCAGTCGCTAGATAGATGCGGGAAACATTCGTCCCCGCTCTCAACTCCGCACGTAATTCACGAATAGGCAGTCAACTGAAGAGATCCCAAACCTTGTCGATCTATTGGCCTCAATTTTAATCGATTCCGCAGCTAGAATTAATCGAACTTATTAACATTGAAGTTTGCTGCTCCACCATAAGTTTGTTAACATGTGTGGTTGACATGTTTTGCACTGGGATCTAGATGTGGGTGTATTTCCCCTAATCTCTTAGGGGAATCAGCTGTCTGTTCGCTGTACGCAAATGATTATCCGGACTTTTCTTGCGTCTTTCTCATCTTCGGTCCGCCTCACTTCAAGGCTCAGGAACCAAATACCAGGGAGGGGCTCAGCTACATAGCATGCAGCTAGAAGAAGGAATCGACCCTACAGGTGTAGCCAATGTTCTCTAGCAGCCCATTAAGATTCAGAGTAGAAAGTGTGCCGTTTTATTAGTTGCAAAAATTAACGCGGAAATTAGTATTCATTACTATTACTGTGAATTTGCCTAACGGTATGAATTTTTGCATTGCCAGAAATGCCATATATATCGACAATAATGAATTATCATATGATAGACTCCACTTCTTGTTAACACATTTTGTTCACGTCTGGAGGTTGACATACTAAGATCCTCAGGAGTATATCCAATTTAGTGGCCAATGGGAAACAGTGGACAAGGTTCCATTACAGTTTTACACATAGGAGAAGATAAGAGCCTATAATTGTTGTTTTGGGGGGAGATTATGCCACGTATATAAGGCTGTCATTCTGAAGCTCCGCTGAGATAGACGACGTCTAAATCGTAGCGGAGCCCGCCCCAAGAAACTCTACTCAGCAATGCAAGGAATTTCAAAATGGGGGCTTCGTAATTTCGCGTGCTAAGATATGTCCACGTTGCTGGTAAGTCGCGACTGGTAACATTCCAGATGCTCTTAGCCAGCGACTTGGGTATGTCAATTGGGGTGCAAATAGAGTCGGAATTGCAACATTCAACAATTTCACCATGAGAAGTTCTCGAACAGAGGAAGGCTAAATTTCTTTACCATCCTCTTCAATAGAGCAGATAATGGAACCACCCAGCATCGTAGGTAGTAGCCACACAACGGTTACAGGGGGTGTTAGACTGTAATTCACCCTCTTCAGTGAAACTTCCCGTTTCACCCGAAAAGTTTGCCCCAGCTTTCCGGGTAGAGATTTGCGAAATATCTTTTGATAGTTATCCGGCTTCAATGATGATGTAACCGTCGATCTCTATTATTTAACTAAAGAGACCCAAAGTCGCGTGTCGTTGAATTCAACTACAGCGGAATAAGCTTTTTATATGTCCGTGCGTTGGGCGAGGCTAAATAAATAACCTTCGGTTGAGCCTCCTGAAAGTCAACCCTCACGCCAACAAGGGAAAGACGGCACAAAAAGTTGAAAGTAGGATGTTCAGTAGGACTGGGGAGATATGAAATGGAATGTTTTTCATAACGGATAGGTTTTATTACTATGCCAGCCTCAGTGGGGTTTCTTCATTCTCAACTTATAATAAAACTCGCTGCATTGAACCGATAGGAGCTGTGCAGTAGGGACATCATTTCGGCCGGTGAATCTAAACATCAAATTGTACCGAGTAGTTTGAAGCCACTTCCAAATAGTGGCGTTTCTTGGGAGTGCTCGAGTGGCATAGAATGTCAAGGGGCTGGTGCCTGTTATCTGTTACATACATCAGATAAAATTTCTCATTGGCCATATCGCTTTGCCCGTAAGCCTTTCAGTGAAATAATGCAGATGAGCAATAATCCGAGCGATGTGTGGTGTGACTTTGCACAGGCCGATGATCGATGGATTTAGGGCAAGGGGAGACACGTGATCAACCACTGACGTCATTTCTGTGCTGATGCTCAATAAGTTCCCGACCTCTCCCAGGAATGTTCACAACAACCACCATCAAGAAACACCCTTTCAAGTTTTGAGTGTCCTGCCATCCATCTAAGCACTAAATACCGATGTGCTGATCGATAGTCGTCACATGGATCTTCACCCAATGAAGCTTGTGCCAACCCTTAGTGGCAAGAGTCAATGGATGTGAGCATCCCACTTCGAGACAGTCCTGCGACCCCTGTCAAAGCAAAGAGTGGGAGAGCAGGATTGCAATTATAACACTTTGAAACAAGAGCGGCGAGTTTCGTGGGTTATGTACAACATTACGCGAATGGAAACAATCCGAGCCAAAATCGAGGTGCTATCTGCGCTGCTGAGTGTAACTGGCGTCAGTTAGTACCCTCTCACCGCAAGATCAAACTCGCGTTATTTAACTGGGGCATAGGTACAGCTCTGGAAGCTCTACAGTATGCCGCCCTCTCATGGGAAAATACAGATTACTCTTCTCCCGCCATTCTCCGCTCAAAATCAGGCCAGTCCGTCACGTTTTCCAAACCTCATCGATCTGTGGAAAACTTCGTTTATAGTTGAAAAAATGTGACATGCAAGCATTCCCAATCAAACTGTGGAAAGGTCGGAAGTGTTTCAGGTGGTCTGACAGAAATATCTGCAACAGTTGGATTTAGCATCAAATGGTGCTCGAGACCATGGTAGCAATGACCAAATAGTGGAAGAACACGATGCATTTTGCTGCTGCACATTGAAAAGAGAAGTGCATCAGAGATCGCACAGTGTTTCGTGCCGGGCAAGTGGACCGGATCTGGATGGGCAAAGACGAACTAACTATATTCAAAGTGAGGCGCCCAAACGAGGCGACCCTTGCGTGTAATTTCGCTGGAAGTCCCAAGGGCGAACGGGGAAGGCCCCGCTATCCTCTATCAGGCCTAGTGGCGCAAGCCCTGTCCAAAAGCTTGGATGAGGTCATCCACAATGCACTGCTGCGGAGAATGAAGACCCAGCAGCATTCGCAAACTTGCAATTCGACCTAGGCAGCTCTATCATGGGTTCCTCTCAGGGAATAAATAGGGGACACCTAGCTGTCGAGTGCGGTGGATTTCTTTTTAAACCACTTCAACTCTCAAAAACTTACTGTATCCCAGCGTGCTAATTAATTCTGCCCTCTTATTCTTGTCCACTCCACCGTCTGACGGAGCATATAGGGTCTTTCTAGCTGAAGGTCTATTGAAACCATCTTTTGATCTCTTCATAGAATGACAGAATCTCAACAATATTGGCTCCCGGGATACGGGCTGTCACGACACATCGTTCTAAGCCAGATCCAATATTTCCTGGGACCTACATCGTCCGCTAGGCCCTATAGTTATCAAGTATGGACTCCTCGTCGATTTTATCCTTTGCAATCATATCTAACCAAAACTTCAGGGACGCGAAGGCTATCTTGTCACGGGAACCCCTTTGACTCGAGTATGTTTGTCAATCGGGAACATTGACAGGAGGAGCCTCCCTCACATATTGAGAGTACAAGCTAATTTCTAGTGCAGCAACAAATCGAGGACCTGGCAAACATGTCATTAGAGTATGAGAAAGGAGCTGCCATGCGGATGGCTCACAACAACTTCAATTTCAATGCTGACGGCAAATCTTCGGAGCAATACGTCAATGAATTGATAAGCGTTGGAATGCGCGAAAAAGAACGAGACCGTGTCAGTGACCGAAACGAAGACCGTGAAAGAGAAGGAGAAAGCGATAGATGGAGATGTAGAAGATTCTCGCCCTTAGATCGGCGTTCAAGACATAAACAATCGTGGTGAAGTCGATGATGCACGAGTTTGTTGTTCGATAATATACGTTAGATATACGTTAGAGACAGACACCTGCGAACGCTCTTGTTGAACCACGACCTTTCCCCAAGGAGTTTCGCATAATATTTTTCACCCACAAGGTGGGGTGATCCTTCTCCCAACCTATTCATCTTTGGAGATTGAGGTGGAAGCGGGCCAAGGATTTAAAAGAGTCGAAAGGAGGGAAAGGTTATCGTTCAGGCGTTGGGATATGAAGGAATATCTTTGGTTACTTCAGGAAATTGGAGAAGTGACGGAACATTTTAAAAAGCGGTATTGGATAGCGAAAATATCTATAATCGCCTATTTTGATTTTTTCTATCCAAATCGACATTTTCGTGCTGAAAAATTATGTGCATGAGTCTTCCGAAAAACCTTTCTCCCACCACCCTAATATCGGTCCAAGATTACCTCCACATGTGGTAGTCCGATACGCACCTGACACCTCTACTCCTGAAAACGCCGACAAGCCCTTTGAGCATATCGTGTGGTTGATGCTTGAGAACTGGGACAATCATCCATCAACTCCCTAAACTGCTTTAACTTCTTTTTGTCCTAGGTAAAATTCCTAATCTTGATTTGGTTGTCCAGGGGTAACTAGGCGGCCTGTTCTACGTTCTCATAGAATGTCGATCCAACACAGGCCACTCGTAATGTTTCTATACATGCCCTTGCTTTTGATCCGATGAGGTGTGCCTCTGGCCAATGCTCGACAAGCTAGGGATGTGTCATTATATCCGTTTCCTGGGAGCGGCGGGAGAGTCCATCAACGCCCGACGATAGTTAAACAACAGCCTTACAAATTCTACAGCTCGGAATCTACGCGACCTAGCAATACTTTAGTCTACTGTTATCTCATTTTAAGGCCCACCTACAACTGTCGATTTGGAGCTTCCCTGAGGAATTTTGAAATAATTAGCCGGAGGGCCTGCCTCACCCCTGTTTTAACAGGAACCACGATGTCCTTCGTATTTGGTGCTTGTATCAAATACAGACAGCACAGGAGAAATGTATCCTAGCTACAAGAAACATCTGCTGCCTAACAAAGAGGAAGTATGAAGGCTTAAATAATGCACAAATCCTCACCAAGCGACAAATAGAACCGATCTCTACCTCGTTTTTGGTGTAATCTTCTTTAGCCTAGGATCTCCTCCCCCAACACGGACAGGAATGAATAGATTAATTATAGACCTTCTGGCGTGGTAGAATCTACGGGATACCCAATTCTGATAGCTAGCCCATACATGGGCTAACATACTAGAATAAAGCGGTAACTCCATTTACATAGGATTTATCTACGTAGTAGTTAAACTTCAGAGAACTTGAATTTAAGCTTCACTGCGGGATTATCCTTCTACTCGGATGAAACACCGCGTCTTTTAGATGGAGAGTGCATACTAGTTGTTAAAACACAGACGTGGCACATAAGTTAAGACCATCAAACCGGCTCTACAGAACCAGATATGAAATGCCCGTTTCCACACCCCAGTTTATATTCGGCTGCCCATTCCTCTCGGTTTTAAGGAGAACCTGCAATTCCTAGCACCGTCCCCTATGTTCAACACAACATACCCATATCCACCCTGTCTCAAGATTCTCATGGACCTTGCCCCCGTCAAAAATCCGAGTTGCAGCTGTTGGTCGTGGTGTGAATGTAATAATCACAAATTTGCTCCGGGCGGATGAGGTGCGTCTAAAGTCCAAAGCTAACAAATGAACTAAGTTCAATAGATGAGAGCAAACCCTCTACATAATACCAATTGATATCCACATCTGTTATGAAAATCGTGTATAAAAAGGGGACGAGGGAAAATATCACTTAATTAAGGAACATTGAGAAGCGCAAAAGAAACACGTATAGGAATTTCTGAGCTGAATAGGACAAGATTTGTAGGAAGAAAAAACGAAACGCCAGCCAGATGCCCAACATCCATTCTCATAGAGGTAGATCAAAAAACCACTTGCGCAATGAAACACAAAAGCAGGAACGATTTTGGGTGTGCAGAGATCATTCTTTTCTCTAATGTATAAAGTAAGCGGAACAGGTAACACAATATAAAAAGTTAAGAAAGTCAAGATAAGGTCATGTGGTATATCATGAAATCCCATTGGTTTCCTTTCTGTCTTTACTCTTTCTCCCTCGAATTTTTTTTAAAGTCGTATTCTCCCAATTTTGTTTAGATTTATTTTGCGACAGCCGCACTGTTAGGCGGAGATTTAAATTAGTACACATTTGGTGCAGATTTTAGCAACAAAAACAAAAACAAACCAGGCTTACCTTAATACTTGAGTTCTGAAAAATCCTCCCTTGGTTCGCTCGATAACTTGTTGATACACTGATTGTGGTGGATGGTTCATGAGAACAGTACCTTCTTTGTAGTCGATTTTCGCGTCGACCCGAGTGTCACGAATAAGGTTGACAATCCATTTCTCGCCTTCGTCCTGGTTGAGGCCAAGTCGAGTGGATAGATCCCTGTAGATTTATTTTTTAGTTTGATATAAATATATAAATTTCTCAGGGATATAGAAGTGCTTACTTAATATCAATACGTTGGTGGATCTTGCAATAACTCTCGGAGATCAAATGTCTTGCCGCATCCACAAATGCATCACCTGCAGCAACAAGAAAGAAATCATTCTTAAGAATCTCCTCGGCCTCCCCTAACTTCTTCTGCGCCTCCTCGAAGTCAAAATCGATGTAGAGTGCCTGAATGAATTCCGTAATAGGATCCTGGTATTCATATTGTTCTTGTCGTACAACACGAATTAGGTCCTTCAGTTGCTTCTGGTATAGAGAGGTATTCTTGTGTGCGCGTCCGCGGTTGGTGATGACTGCTGCAGCAAGGTATCTAAGAATCCAGGGGCAGGCAGTTTGGATGGTGTTGATGTAGGCGGGGGAGAAGAAGAGGTCCGTTAGGGTGTCACGAGCAGGGTCATGGTTAAAGAAAGGGAAAAGCGACCAGTGGATCAGCCATGTGCGGTGCTGGAGTTGGGCGAGGGGGTTGTTAAAAAGGCGGGTGTCAATTGATTCCTTGACTTTCTGGATTTCTTCCATGGCAGCCTCCCAGTTGGTGGTTAGGATTTCAGAAGCAAGCTTGCCCCACGTGGCAGAGGCTACCTTGTCGTTATCGGTCGACAGGACACGAAACTGGTAAAGGAGCTCAGCAGCATTGGCGTAGCTGCCACAGCTGTATTGGAATCGACCATAATCGTAAAGAATATTGACCATATCCATCGTCACACCATGTTGCTCTTCAAGGAACTTCAAATTGGCAGCTTTATCACTTCGCAGATTGCTGACTACGTTGTCGTCCTGCAAAAGTTCCGTGATCTTGCTGCTGTCCTCAACGTACTGCTGCAGTTTCTTCACAACTCCCTCCCGTTTCTTGACAAATTCCTCGGGTATAGTGTCAGAGTTATGAATTTCCTGCCACAGGTTTGCAACATAGTCCGTCATGTTGGTATGCTTCAAGAGCTCATACTTCGCCTTGGTTATCTCATCAACCTCGTCACCTCCTTCTTCTTGGCCAGACGCAAATTCCAGTAAGGGGAAGACAAGGTGGCGGTCGAGATAGGGCATGAGTTTTGGGAGGAGGTCATTTTCTCTGGCAATCTCTTCGGGGGTCGTGGCGGAGCGAGAGGCTGCACCCTTCAGCAGGGTGTCAGCACACGGAGGAACATTTCCTGTCATGGCGAAAAATACAGCAAACGGAGGAAACCAGTGGCCAGGGGAACCGGTGGAATAGCGAGGTGTCTGGCTGGTCCGTTGCGGGCTGCTGGCTGTTGGCTACCTTTACAACTGTGCGAGATCGCTGAAATGAAGGCGATTGTCGAAAATGTGTGGAGTGATGAAAAGTTCGCGCTAGCCCTGATGCGCTCTAGTGGGTTGGGCACTTGTGATTTGATAAGCAAAAAAGCTTGGAGCCAAAACGTGTGGATGTCAGAAAGACTTCAACAACCAACAATAGATGTGTATATCCATCCGAAGAACGGGAGAAGGGGTATAATAAAGGAGAGTTAAAGATCAGGAGGTTGTTGTTGTCTTCTTTCCCTTTAATCCCATATTTCTATAACTTCTAATTCATTCAATACCCGTCTTTATTTGACACAACGTCCTCTTTGCCTCTCCGCCATGGCAGCTGTTCTCCCTCCATCAACTCTATGCCCGGCCCTTCGCCAACAATCCTCATTGCTCTCCTTATGTCTTAGATCCAATTCGATGTCTCTACAGAGCAAGCCATCAACTTCCTCACTATTACAAATTTTAACCCGGACGCGAATATGCAGATCTCGTAATACTCCCTCCCTCCCTAGCAGCTCCATCGAGAAAACCAAACAATGGAACATATGAATTCCAATTTGATATCGATTATATTAGACTCAAACGTATCTAACTATATCCATAGAATCTCTAAACCGGCCCTTCCAATTGGCCTCTTCTCTCTCATCCCTTTCCACACAATCCCGACACCTCACAACTAAAATCCCACGCCCTTTCTCCAAATTCAGCTCTACAAAAACCAACCAACCCACCACTCAACCTGCTCCTGCCCATCCCCCTCTTCCCCTTACGAATCTGCCTTACTTCATCCGCCGTACTCCTTCCAACCAACTACCCATCTATTTGGTCACTAAAGCTGGTGGTACCAAGCAGGAGACGAAAATCCAGAAAACAGAGGGAGATGTGGATGCGCTATGTTCAGATCTGGCAAAAACTCTAGGGATTGAGCCGGAATCCAAAGACATATATGTCAATCGATTAAATGGACATGTGGTTGTTAAGGTATGCATCTTGTTGCCTATTTTCCTTCTTCAATTCTACGAACGGCGTGGTGGTGGTCGGATACAGAGAGAGTGAGAGAGCTCAACAAAGTCTAAGCATAGCTAATCAATCTCCAAAAAACAATCTAGGGATGGCGGAAACCGGAAATACAACAATTCCTATTAGACCGAAAATTCTAATATGAATTTTAAGGAAAACAGCACAAAAGTTTCTACTCAAATCTTCTCGAGCTTACCACCCCCCACCTGTTCCATTCCACCATTTAAGTCCAAAGCTTCCAACTCAAAAGGGGACGTAAAATCTCAATTCATCGTCATATGAAAAGCAAAATAAGTCATTGAAGCGTTCTGTTTCCATTCCTTTCTCCCTTTTTATTTTTTTTGGGGGTTTTGTCTATAATCATCGAGCAGGCAGTCGTGGTGCGCCGTAGGAAAAGTGAAGTGCCCGAGATTGTTTTTGTCTTTTTTGAAGCAGGTCAGTCTGCGTTTTAGCCTTTTTGAATTTTTCTCCCCTCAGTTTTTATACTCTTGGCTTTATTTACGTCAGTATCCGTTCCTGTTAATCCTTGCACTTCTCGTTTCCCATTCTCCATATTGAATCATGTTAGGCATTTGATTTCTGCATTTTTGTCCCCTTCGTCATTTCTCTACCCTTGCTGTCTGTGTCTTGTCTGTGTATTCTCCATTATATCCATACCGTATGACCGTCTCCTCCCTTCTCCCCACCTCCTCTCTCTCTGTCTGTCTGTTTGTCTGTCTGTCTCCATGTACTATACAGTTACGAAAATGGTTCCAAGTTGCTAGCAAAGGGAAGGAATTTAGTGTTGTATTCAAGAGATCAAAAATATTAAACGAAGAAGCATTTTACTCAATTTATCCAATATTTTGAGCATCTGCTTCGTTCCATACTTTCCCCTCTTACGACATTACTAACCCTGAGAAAGGGCAAGAAAACAATGGCCAATGAAGAGCTACCCCACGGGGGTTCATGCATATTTAACGAAGCACATACAACCCGTTGACACCTTTCTAAGTGACATTTAATATAAGAACTTAAAAACTAAGAGTTCATATTTTACAGAAAAAAATCTTAAACCCGATGAGATAATATTTAAAAATCAAATTTATTACTCAATTTATATCAAATAAAAAATTAATAAAATAATTATATATATTTTATATATAACTATATTAAAAATATAAACGTTTATTATATATATAATTTTAACAATTATTCAAGTAATAATTTAGTATTTTTAACTATAAACTTAATTTTAAATTAATTTTTAAATTAATCTTTATTTAAAAATATTTACTTTTAAAAAAAAAATTATTAAAAATTTAATAAATTAATTAATTATTTTAATAATTTAAATTTTTTATATTAAATTATATTTTTATAAAACTTTTAAATTTTTTTTAATTAATTTTATTTTTAATTTTTTAATATTAATTATTTTCTCAATATAATAAGATTTTAAAAAATATAAAAAATAGGATTTTTATTCATCTTAATATTTAAAAAATCATTATATATATATATATATATATATAATACAAAGAATACATTTCAACATTTTATTTAATATTCATTGAACTAGAAATTCATTTACATAAATCTTTCTGCTGCTGATAAGCTATATATCATAACTAGTCAGTTTCATCAGCTAATCAAAAACCATAAAATGACTATTGAGGGACAATGAGCTGCATCTGCAGCTGCAGCTCTAACAAAAGAAAATAAAAAGTCATTTTTTCTACTTCTTTAATGTACTTTTCGAATAGATATTTTTTCGTAGTTGAAAGATTAGAAATTTATGTTTAAGTCACTGAGAGAGTATGTGGTCGTTACACTAGACAATATCATATATAAACCAAAAAATTGATTTCTTAATACAGAGCATAGAGAAGTAAAACAAAACTCTATGATATGTATTAAATATATATTTAAATCATTAGGCAAAGACAGAACAGGGTATGTACAGACTTTGATATTAAAATAAAATACGCCCTTAACCAACCCGATTCGTAGCATACCACACTAAAAACAACACGAAAAACCGTAGGAAAAGAAGTGGCAAAGACCGTTTAAAGGATAAAGAAACAAACACGAAAATCGGTTCCTTTTTTCTTTTTTCTCTTAGTTTGCTTAGGTTGATAAAACTGTTATGATAAATAGAAGAGGTTGGTAGGTAAGGTACTCTCAAATGTTAGACATACACTTCCCCTCTCAACCCCCCCAACTCCCACAATCTCCAGCAGCACATACACTCTACAGACACAAGAGAACACATTACAGACATACACAGATAGAAGTAGAAGAAGTCAACCAAGCAAAAGGAGCAGGGGAAAAGGGAACGGACACAGTTAAAAGGAGAAAAGGAGAAAAAACACAGATCCGCCTTTGGCAAAACCGAATACCAAAACCAAGGACCATAACCATATCAAATATCAAACATCAATATGGAGGAAAAAAAGAAAGAAATCAAATATCACAATTCACAATTCACAATCCACACAAATCACCAAAAATTTTTTTTAGAAAGCTCAAAGCCCATCACCTTCAACCCACCTCAAAATCAACATCAATACCCCAATCCCGCATACTCGCAAAGCTGCCTCACAACATTCGGATCAATATTCGGCGTCAACAGCGCACCAAGCAGATTCTCCTTCTTCGGGAAAACACCCAGCGGCGGAATGGGCACCTTACTCACAACACCAGCACTCCCACCACCACCATCCCCAACCCTTGCCTTCCCCGCAAGCTTCACTAGAACCCCCAAACCCCTCGACGTAATAGATCCATACCCATGTACATCAGCATCCGCAGCCCTACCACCATGCCCTCCCTGTCCACCGCCTCTATGTCCCCCCGAACCCCCTCCACCACCCGTCCGATCCGTACTCAATAAACACACCAACCTCAACAAACTAATCGCAAACCCATCCGTCGACTCCAGCCAGGCACGCGCCAGCGTATTATCCGCAAACGAGGCGAGAATGTCCGCTGCCAGCATGGACTGGATGAGGAGCGGCTTGCGCGCGTCGACGATGGTGATGATGTTGCCGCGCATGTGTTCGGGGATGGCGGCGATGGAGAGGCCGAAGGTGCGGGTTAGGAGTTCGTTGGGGGCGGAGTAAGGGGTGGACGTCTGTATTGTGGTTGTTGTGGTCGGGATTGGAGACTGCGTTTCGGATTGGGGTGGGGGTGTGCTGCTGTGCCTGTCGCAGTTAGCGTTGACGTTGCCGTTTGTAAAGTTGGTGTTAGCGTTGGAGCTGATGTTGCTATTGCTGTCTTGAGCGAATATGGATTTGAAGTAGGTGCGATTCGGGTCGTCGCGCGCGAGGAGCTTGGCGAGGCTGTCTACGGCTGCGTGCATGTATCTGTGTATGCTCGGGTTGTATGGTGTGAACATGATCGTGTTGGGACCGAAAGAGGTCGGCATGGGTGTTGGAGTGAAGGAGAGGAGGAAGTGGAGGATACATTGCGCTTCGTCTTTACCGGGCAGTTGGATGTAGTGGGACACATTGCTAAGATAGATGACGGCGTCTTTCATGAAATCCAGTGTGTTTTGGTGGTTTCGTAAGAGCAAGTTTCTTGTCCCTAGGTATCGTATTATCGTTGACATAAAGCGGACAACGAAGGGGAGAGCCAGTAGCGGGTAGTTCGATTCGGCGAAGGAGAAGTTTCGTATGATGGTTGTAATACAGATTAGCCGGTCCACGGCACGATCAAGTTCATAATCTAGACTGCCAAACTCGGGAACGTCGAGTAGCATTTCCATCTCCTGTCGACAGCCACGAAGGACCTCTTCATACGAGGGTAAGAGCATGACATCAGAAACTTCAGCTGCGTTTTCAGCCAGAAGCTCAGCTTGTTCCTCCGCACACTCAATCAAAGCCTCGACCAAATCTTCGCAGTTTTCTAGTGAGACCTGGATTGATCGCTCATTCGATATGACCGTTAAAGTGTCTAATGCCATTCGCATTTCTGCATGAATTCCAGATTTAATGCTCATGGTCAATGCGTGAATGTCGATTACGCCCAATTCATAAAAGCTAGGTATATTAGGTTTTAGTCGAATAATTTCCTCTCCTAATTGAAATATCTCTTCCACAAAAATAGGTCCATGGTATTGACTTTCAGGAAATATAACAGGCTTGAAAGGATCCTCAATAGGACGACGATATGATGTGCTTGGTGGCTCCTCGACAACACCATCGTCACCACCGTGCTGGGATTTTGTTGTTTTAGGAACTGACTTTTTCTCCGTCTGGATGGGCGATGCAGAAAACTGCGCAACCCGCCCGTTGGGCGACATCGACTCAGGAGGTCGGGACAAGCTCGATCGTTGCTGGTGATTTACATGTCTCTGTTGGGATTTGGATTGGACGGGTGTCGAGAACCCGTTTACTGGCATAGGCTGCGCATGGTTATGCGGTTGCATCTGCGGCGCCTGCGCAGGAACTGAGGAGAATTGCTGGCCCATGTCGAAAGAATTATTATGGTTGCCCATGGGTGGTTGCTGCTTGACAGGTGGTGATATTTGTTGCGGGTTAACACTTATAGCACCTTCGCTGGCATCCCGCTGCGGACTACCATGCATTTGATCGGGGAACTGCTTTTGTTGAGATGATAACCACGCTTGCTCGTATTGCGCAAGGATCCTCATGTAATGTTCGCTGATTTCTTGTACTGCCGTTGGGTACTGCATGGGAGGGAACTGTAATTGTTGAGCTACTATGGGCCATGAATTCGTCGCGGTAACCTTCTTAGACCCGCCCATCTTCATGACAATCGCATATAGCTGCATGAGATTGAGCGGTCGCCCACTAACGATAGGAGCAAGGTTTACTTGAGGTTGACCACGGGAGAGCCAAAATCGCTGCAGTGTTTGAAGAAATCCGTCTGCATTCAATGGTTTTCCCATGCTCTGCTGCAGTTGTCGCATAGCAGCCATATGGGAATGTGGCATAGGTGTTGGACCCCCAGCGCCCATGGGCCGTCCAACTACGCCAGCAGGAGAAGAGGCAGCAGCAGCAGCGGCCGCCTGCATCTGACGCGCTTGGTTTTGTAGCTGTATCTGATACAGCCGCTGTTGCGAAGACATTTGTTGCTGTTGCGGGTAACCTTGCGGGAGATGGCCAGCGTTGTTCTGGTTCAATTGCGCCTGGATAGCAGGATGCATGCTAGCGGACGTCATTGCGGGAGATTGGGAGAAATGAGGAGGAGCGACAACCTGGCCATAAGGTTGGCCCTGGGGGAAGCTGTTACTCTGCGGGGTATTGACGCGACTGCCATGATCTGAATGTGAAGGAGATATTTGCGGCACGACATGCATTCCAGCAGGTGAAAAGGGACTGGGAGACGCAGTCTGCATCCGTTGCACGCCTTGCACACCCTGCACGCCCTGTACACCCTGCACACCTTGTTGATCAAATTCCTGAAGGATTGGAGATGGACTGGCATTGGCAGAGCCCCCTTGCTGGAGATGTTGATAGGGCGTTGGAGCATGCTGCGGCTGGGGAAATTGCGACGCGCCATTGATCTGTTGTCCCTGATATCCCGGATAAGGCACTTGGGGAGTATGCGAACGGGAATTTGGCAAGCCACCGGGTGCTGGCCTGGGAGACATGGACATGCCATCATCGGGACGAGGTCTTTTGGACGGGATCACGGAGGCCGGGTTATGGAAACCAGGAGACATGTTCTGGGGGGCGCCACTGTTGTTGAACATGCGCTGGAACTGGGCAGGAGGGGACTGATGGTGGAGGAAGGCCATTGAAGGATCGATAGTAGGGTTATTGGAGAAGGTGCCATTATCGTGGGTAGGGATATTCGCAGTCGCGGCGTCAGTGAGCCAGGCATTCATGGCGTGAAGATTCTAGCAACCCATCCGTCTATGGCATGGAGCATCAACCATGAAATTTGTCAGCACACGTGCCAGCAATCGATAATAATCGCATAGCAACAGGATGGAAGATAACATTCCAAAAACGAAAAGAAATTAAAAAAATATTTGCAGTCGCTAGGGGTTGTCGGAAGGGTTATTTTTTTTAAAAAAAAAAAATAAATCAATAAAAAGTAATAATAATGATAAAATAAAGATTAAATTAGAAAAATATATGAAATAAAATGAGGGTAATGCAAAAAAGAGTGTTTGACAAAATTAGATGTGTTCAGCGGACAGGAATGGGGATGGAGGGAGGGAGGCACACAGCGAATAAGGAAGCCAGGACAGCAGGGGAGGGTGACAAGAAGGCCCTTGGGGAGATAAGATGAGCCGCGAAACCGCGAAGAGAGCGCGGCTACAGGAGATGGAAACGCACGGGAATATTATGGGAGGTGGGGTGCGTAGAAATAATGGGGATAGGGAAATTATTGGGGAGAGAGATACAGGCGATGCGGGGAGAGAGACAGAGCAGAGCACACACAAGTCTAATAATTTAATAAAAACTAAAAACTAGAAACAAGCGTAAATGACGGACGGTGATGTAACAGGATAAGAGGATGATCGGATGATAGGATGATGGATGAAACAGAGGGAGCAAGCGGCATCAAGTACATACCTGGCACACACTGATCGGTGTCTGCCGGCTGCTGCGCGGCAAAGCGTAGGTAGCAGAAGGAGGAGGGCTAGTCGTAGGAACAAGTAGTAACAGTCCGTGAGAAAGGGGCTGTGTGCTGGCTGTGTGATGGCTGTTGTGGATGCTGGCTGTTGGGGATGCTATGCTTGCTGGCTGGGTGGTTTGCCGTTTGGGTGTTTTGTGTGGTCGTTGCCAGCGGCCCGTTGCCAGCTGCGAGGGTTGGGCTCTGTCTAATTTTTCCCAGGGGGGGCGTTGTTGTGATCTTTCTGGGCGTGTCCTGTTTGCCTTTGTTGGGGACAAGGTGTACCGTAAGTGTCCGTAGCGTAATAACCAGTTGTCCGGATACACACGCTCCTCGCTGTTCCTCGCTGTTCCTCGCTGTTCCTCGCTCTTTGCCCCGCCGTCCACTAAGAATATAAGAACACTAATAATAATGTAATAAATAATGACCCGTATGTATGTATGTATGTATGTATGTATGTATGTATGTACTGTACTGTACTGTCCTCTGTATGTATCTGTACCTACAGCGAATAATAACGGGCAGGTGCGGTAAGTCAGTCGGTCGCTTGTGAACGGGATATTTTAAAATGAACAGGACAAAAGGGGAAGGAGAGGACTTTTCTGCCCAAAGGGTGAAACCTACCAGGTCGGAAGGCGGCAAAGGGGGGCAAACACCAAATTCGACACTCTTCTTCTTCCAAACCCTCTCGAAGGGCCAAACGCGTGTTGCCTGAAATGAGGAGGCGGTGTGAGACGAAGCGAGCAACCAAGGACGTCACGTGGAGGAGGCAGAACCGGATTGGGAAGTTGCTGGGTGCTGGATGACTAATCAGGAGGCAGCGGGCATACGACCATGTGACCTGCGTGTTGGGACCTTCGGGACGTTACTGAGTGGTGAGCGGGGCAGAGGCAGAAAACGAGAGAAACAATGATAACATAGGTAGGGAGGGGAAAGAAGGGGAATTGTCCTCCGTGCGGTGGAGTGTAGGTATACATGCATGACGACGGGAACGGGTAGTGCAGATCATTCAGGGTCGCTGCTGAGATAGAGATCAAGGCAGGAAGAAAATATAATGACCGACAACAGGGGATTGCTAAATTAAGAGAGTAAGAGAGGGGGGCAGAGGATAGGGATAAGCTAATCCATAATGATACTAAATATTTCAATACGGTATTTGGCTGGGCTGGCTGGACTTCTAGTGGTCAGGGACTGAGATAGGTTTCGGGACTCTCTCAGTATGTACCAGGTTGAGCCGGTGGCTTACCGAAAACAGACGCCCAGGGACCAAAGGAAGGGTGTGGGGGAGGGGAAGAGAGGAAGAAGAAAGATACAGGTTGAGGAGTAATAGTGAATATCGGCAGTGGGATTTTTTTTTTTTTTTTTTTTTTTTTTTGGGGGGGGGGGGGGGGGAAATAATAATGAATTTAAAAAAAATTCAGATGTGGGGAAGAGGAGCAGGGAGGGATAAGGAAACAAAGCTATTATTCTTATGGGATGGATATAATCATCATCAAGAGTCATAACTCGTACCTGAAGAATAAAGTTGTTACGGGAAGGAACCAAAGCTTGGAAAGCTTGTTTGGTATGCTGCCAACAGAAAATGGTGGGGAGCAAGACCAGAGCAAGAGTCAGTGAGGCTCGAGAACTTGAGGCGTGCTGGAATCTAAATTATTATAACTATAATAATAATAATAATAATAATAATTATTACCAAGGGCGCATCGTCGGGCGCATCGTCGGGGTCGGGAGGGGGAGAGGGGGGAGAGATGAACAGAAAACGGTAATATACTTAAACCTCAAACCTCAAACCAGAGAAAGGGACCACGGTTAGGCACAGGCACACAAGCAGAGTCAAGAAGGACAGGGGGAGGGTGTTGGTGGATGCGAGGGAGTCCGTGGGTGAGAAGGGATAGATGCTTTTTGCTGCAAGTCGAGAGGGGAGGATCGTGGTCAGGCCAGAGCTTGTCAGGATCAGGCTTTCGGCTTGGCTGATTGGTTTTCGGTTTGGGGGCAGGGCGGCGGGAGACTTTGGACAGATTTGGTTGGGGTTCAAAACTGTACGGAGGGATGGTTGCGCCTGTTTGGTGCCCTCAACCGCTGGTGGTAACAAACTAACAACAGCGCTGAAACCGGACAGCAGTGGGAGCTGTTACAGAGGGGAGGGAGAAGCAGAGCAAGAGAGAAGGTGGGTGCGTGAGTGGGTGGGTGGTGTGTGTGTGTCTCATTTGGCGCTCTGGGGGGAAGGGGAATCAGAAGACTCGGGGGGGGAAGGGGGGGGGCGCCCGTGGCCCGGGGCCGACGCCTCTCCCCTTCTCCATTGGCCCCACGGCCCCATCGGCCGGCCAACCCTCACCTGGTTGCTTCTTGTTGTTTATTCTCCATTCCAGCCAACCCAGTTCCGCCGCAGGTTCCCGCTAGACCCCTTCTGGTTTGGCGCCATCGCCGCTGGAATTCATCCCTTCCGTAAGCCGCGGCCAGGGGGAAAGTTTGGTTCAAGCCTCGGCATCGGAGCTAGAACCACCAATTCCACAGTATATGCCTTTTTTCTTCTGGCCTTCTCCGCAGAAAACCTCTTGTCTCTCTCATCTGTTCCATCCATCATTATGCTAAGGATCTTGGCGGCTCCCCACTCCTAGCCGCTTGTGCATAAAGGAGGTCAAGGCTTGCTCCCTCTTCTTCGACGAACTTTTCTCCTGGGCTTCTACTTTCGATCATCATAAAATAGTTGTTTTCCGAATGCAAAATAGACAGACACATGTAGTTAGCTCTGCAGGTTGGGTTAGGTGGCTTGAAAGAGTGGTCAGCAGGGCTCAGCAGTTAGTGAGGTTAGTCAGTCTTATGTCTTTATTTATGTCAGTTAGAGCCAGCATTGACGGAGGAGGAGGGAGAAGATAATGAAGAATGAAGAAGAAAAAGAAAGAGAAGCAAAGGAAGAGGAAGGTGGATAAGGATAAGAAAGAAAGATGAAGAAAGAAAAAAGATCTTGCTCCAACTTCTAATTGATTAATCATAATGGTGAGCGTCTGATATCAGGGATAACTATGATGCCTGGGGAGGTCGGTAGGCGAGGGCATGCATCCCAGTGAACTCCAGGCTCCAGACTTTAAACTCCAGACTCGAATTTTGCTTTCATGCCATGGTCATAGAAAATGAACAGGAATCAAGGAAATGATAGGAGGTTGGGGGAGGGAAAGGGGCACAAGAGGGCGAGCGAACCCAGGCCTATTCAGTCGCTTCTCCTAGGCAGTGAACTGGAGATAGATACATTTCGGATGCGGAAAGAAAGAAACACGGAGAGATGAGACAAAACGAGAGGGGGGGGGGGTGTAAGGGGAGAAAGAAAAGAAAATAAATCATATATGAAAAATGAAAGAAGAACGAAGGCATTCTACACACTTATAAAAGAAAGAATTTCAGAAGAAAGAAAACAATGGATGGACAACGGAATATATATATATATTTTAACTATAAAATAACGAGCTATTCAAAATAGTTTTTTTTGCTCCGAAGTCAGCACTGGCCACTTGCGCTGCCTCGCTCGTCCTCTCTCGCATTCCCCCCCCCCCCCCAATAATTATTTATTACTACTATCAGGCTCACTGTCCATCCTGTGGATCTATCCATTGGATCCCTTGAAAATATTTTTATCCTTTTCGTTCGTTACGGGACATGTATTTCTTCTCCCTTCCTTTATGTAGGGCAATTCTCTATCGAAACCAAGCTGCTGCCGCCGGCGTCCCTCGCCCGTTCGCCTTTTATATATATATATATATATATATATTATTATTTTATTATTTGTTGTTTCGTCTTCCCCCCGAGTCATTTTTTTCCTACGGTCTCGTATCTTGTGTCTTACTCATTCCGCGACATGAGAATTGGATGGATAAAAGCGAATAAAAAGGAAAATCCCACGACATTCCATCTGGTCAACTTAGTCTCCATAGCAAGGGGATGTTGTTGGACAAAAAGCACAGCTTTCCCTCCTTTTCATAGACATATAAATCTCGACTCTGTGCGTATCTCTAATGCGCCCAGAACTCCCCCGCCTTTCCATTCTCTATTGTCAGCAAGTCATGTGCCTCATGTTCACTCGAGGCTCGAGAGCGATTTTTTTTAATCTTCACGAAGAATCTAGAATCCAATTCAAAGAAATAAGATTCTATTACAGTCCATGGCTTCTTGCACCCATCGGGATATGGGTATTTTCTTAACCCAAGGAATCAAGAAGTAGAACTCTAGTTTTATCATTAAGATAATACGCCAAATGGCAGGCAGGCTGTCTATCCTTACCACCCTGCTCTGGCTTATACCTAACTACTTATAAAAGCCTTACGCCCAGGTGGTTAGCTATTGTTCGAGACCACACAATTATCGTCCGTGTCCGAAATTATATGCCACGGTGGTCTGATCTGCCATATCTATAAATCTATCTGGAACGGGAAACTCTTTTCCCAATTCCAGCCATGGCGAATCCGTGGTTTTGAACCACGAAAGCCTTTCAGGGGTTTCTGACTTGCTTTCTAAGCCCCGTCTCTTAATGGTGGTATAATACTTACATCCTTCATATGACAAATAGCTATGATGGTATTGGACAGTGGAAAAGGATATAGGGTATATAAAAGTATCAAAAATATTTTTCTATTTTTCATGAGCTTAGTTAAAAATGGGCTCAGTGATGGGAGATAGGAAAAGTTGTTGGGGTGGTTGTTTTAAATGCAAGAGTTAAAATTGCTTCCCCCCCCCTCGTTCGCGTGTTGATAATGTGGTGGATGATTTGTATTGTTCTATCTACATTGATATTTTATTTGCATCTACAAGCTCTTCGCCACAGCTTCACCCAGCCCTCCAAACCCTTCCTGCATGACCTTGTACGCGGCAAGGCGGTTCGCAAAATCGAGTGTCAGCTGAAGACTGAAGTCACTGTCGTCGCCATGATAGATCAAACCGTACAGCATTCCCGCAATAAACGTGTCGCCAGCCCCGATCGTACTGTCATGGAGTTTTGCTAAAAGTTAGCAATTAATCTGAGAAGGAAGACAAGCTGCTGAAATGCAGGCACTATTTCATATATATATATATATATAGGGTAGGCAAAAATGGGGCAATTTGGTGTCAAAACGCACTCGACGACAACTGGACTTCGCAGATCTATATACGCTGGGCAATGGATGTATGACATGCTGCGCGTGTCAAGGCATGCGGCGCCCCGGTCGCCCCATGTGCAGCACAGAATTGACCTAGAGGACGAAAAAGCATCTCGGTCAGCTGTTTGTTTCCGTCTAAGTGATTTAGGGGAAATAATTAGACGGAGAGCTCATACGCTACGGGTGTTAAGGGGGCCTGCCATTGAAGAAAATCTGACGGCGATTGGTAACCATTTGCCTTGGAAATCCGGGGAGATGTCAGTGGACAAGCCCACATCCAGAGATACATATATATGTAGAAATGTTACCTGCGCCCATGTTTTGGAATAAAACACCACATCCACCACAGCAGCTAGCTCCTGAAGACCTGAGCGCCCAGGCTTCTCGACTTCCACGCTGACTTTATCGGCTGGGAACTTTTGACGAATATATCGTATGCATTCCAGTGTGACATCTGGTATGCGGCCCTAGAGAGAAGGGGATGAATATGCATACAAATGTAAAAAGGTGTAACATTTAATGCAAATGGAACAAACTTCTTTTCCATTTTGAAAAACTAAAGCTTACCTCAAAATGAAACCATCGAGGACGGGCGGGGGGTGTAGTTGCGGTAGACAAACTCTCCGCAATCCGCACAAATTCAGCCACAGTCATCTCCGGCAACTCGTTGTAGTTGACGATAGTCCTGGTGCCTGTCGAGGTACTCTTGATGATGTAGCTGGATGCTGGCTCGCTGCACTCTTCTCGGTATATGAGGTGCTGGAGGTCAACATATGGACCAAAGGATGCTTTTATTTCCCTGATTGCGGGAGATGATTTTGCTGGCAGCACTGCAACGGCATATAGAAGGGGAGTGTTGTCAACATCATTTCGACTATTATCACCATTGATGTTGGTATGTCCATCGCCTTCGGCAGCCTGGGCATTTTGTGATCTGCTTTCGAGGAGTTGTTGGAGAACTTCAAGCGTGTTGAGGGTGTTTCCGCCCCGCCGTCGCGAGATGCTGGATGCACGTAGCTTTTCGTCTTCTCCTGGGTAGTGGTCGACGCTGTGTGGGCAGAAGGGGTTGTTAGTAGATGACATTGATGCACTGGTTCGCCGTGTTCTAGTTAAATATTATAGATAGATCTCACGTTAGGATAGTGTCGAGATAACATGCACCAATAGTCACAAGAGCTCTCATCGTGGATGAGGTTTCATTTATCTTGGATTTAGTATCCAGAGAATGCTTAAGAGTCAAGTTTTAAAGAGCAACGACACTCCTGCTGGGTATTATGGGAATGAATGAGTATATATACATGGTTTTGTTGCTATGGGCGTAGTCAGTCAACTGCCAGGGTGGTGATAATTTGGAGGAACCCTGATTCTGCATCTTGATATTTGATCTATTAGAAGAAAAAAAAATATTTCACGCTTCAAGAACCAATTTCATTTGAAATATGGCCAGGATACCCAATGTATTCTGCCCCTTTCTATATCAGAGAATAAAACACTGATAAAATAATATATCTTCTTTGGCCTTGAGTTGTGAAGATTTAAGATGCAAATGGTACATCACTGCACCCACGTGATATGCCTTGGCATCTATGTTGTGGTTATCCGCTGTTGAGCTCAATGAACACTCCGAAAATCTCAGATACCCATACGCCTACCATTCTCATTCTCCTCGTGAGTTTCTCAGTTGAAGCTATCCCAGACTGCAGATCTTTGTATTTCCCGGTTCGAGTTTACCCAGTTCCTTCATCCCAGAAACAACAGCCATGGGAGACGTCGTGGTCGAGAATCCAGCATCGCCTGTGCCGCCTTACAGAAAGTCTACGCCAGCAGACGCTATTCCCAATATCGATTCTCTGGAAGGGATTGGAAATGATGATGGCGATGACTATGCCACTCTCAAGAGATTACAACGGCATCTAGAGTATGTGAAAAGTTGGCTTATGTTTTGCCCTGTTGCCACGTACTGACTGACTCGATTGCGCAGATACATAAACCTCCAAGAGGAATACATCAAGGATGAGCAGAGGTATGGGGACCTTTAGAAGGCCGTGGAAGAAAATATGACCTTAACACTTAATGTTTTATTTTACACAGGAGTTTGAAGCGTGAACTTGTTCGAGCTCAAGAAGAGATCAAGCGGATACAAAGTGTTCCTCTGGTCATCGGCCAGTTCATGGAGGCTATCGACCAAAAGTATGGCGCCGAACTGCAATTCCCAACTGTTAATTATATTCCAGAGATACTAATCGTTAAATGTGTGTTTTCTTTTAATAGCACTGGTATCGTACAGTCATCAACAGGCTCAAATTATGTCGTCCGGATCCTATCTACTCTTGATCGCGAACTGTTGAAGCCATCCTCATCCGTCGCCCTACATCGACATTCGAATTCCCTTGTTGACATACTTCCACCTGAAGCTGATTCTTCTATTGCCATGCTTGGCGTCGATGAGAAGCCAGATGTCACATATGCAGATGTGGGAGGGCTCGATATGCAGAAGCAAGAAATTAGAGAAGCCGTAGAACTACCACTAACGCAATTCGATTTATACAAGCAAATCGGTACGCTGTCAAATGCCCTACCTTTTTTATCTAATTTATTCTTTTTTTTTAGTGGCTAACTAGGTAAATTCGTGCACAGGGATCGATCCTCCCCGCGGTGTACTGCTATATGGACCCCCTGGAACTGGTAAAACCATGCTTGTCAAAGCAGTAGCCAACAGCACAACAGCCAACTTCATCCGCGTTGTCGGCTCCGAATTCGTCCAAAAGTACCTAGGTGAAGGCCCTCGAATGGTCCGCGACGTGTTCCGCATGGCCCGCGAGAACTCACCAGCTATCATCTTCATCGACGAAATCGACGCTATTGCCACGAAGCGATTTGACGCGCAAACCGGCGCAGACCGCGAGGTGCAGCGTATCCTGCTTGAACTGCTAAATCAAATGGATGGCTTCGACCAGACAAGCAACGTAAAAGTCATCATGGCGACCAACCGCGCTGACACGCTCGATCCTGCTCTTCTGCGCCCCGGTCGTCTTGATCGTAAGATCGAGTTTCCGTCTCTCCGTGACAGACGGGAGCGCCGGTTGATATTCAGCACCATCGCGTCCAAAATGTCTCTGTCGCCTGAGGTGGATCTGGACTCTCTGATCGTACGGAATGATCCGCTGTCTGGCGCTGTTATTGCGGCTATCATGCAGGAGGCCGGTCTGCGGGCAGTTCGCAAGAACAGATACAATATCATCCAGTCGGACTTGGAAGATGCTTACTCAAGCCAGGTCAAGGGAGCCCAGGATGCTGATAAGTACGTTACCCTCTTGTACTTGATATTACTATTAACACCCCATTGTGATAAATTATATTCTTGCTAACACTCATCACCAACAGATTCGACTTCTACCGCTAAAAAGAATCGACCCATGTTCACTTGGGGAGTTAATGCACTTGTGTTGAATATACCTTGTTAGTTAACTTGTTTCCTGGCATCTTGTTCCTTTTTTTTTTTTTTTTTTTTTTTTTTTCCCTCTTTTATCTACAATTGCTAGCAATGAAATGAAATGAACAGAAGGGAAAGAAGGATGGCATCCCGATCTTTGTTGATTTAACTACCACTACAGAGCTGTACTAACACGCTTCCATTTCGCCCTTGTTTTTCACCAATTCATATAGAGGTTCAATGAAATGATACTCCTAATAGAATCTGCCCTGCGTATTGGTATGAATGGAAACTCTTTAATGTAAATGTGATAACCATTATCATTACTCATCGCAAGAGGGAGAGGGAATCAAGAGGAAGAGAGCTCATTTATACAAATAGCGGAAAACGAGGATCGAAAATAAGTAACCAAATGAAAATGGTAAGTAAACATGGGTGGATTAGCTTAAGATTTCCGGAAGAATTCAGTAGATTAGAGTTGAGGCAAAGAAAAAGGAACCCCTGATACAATGACCACATTACCCCTGATAACGATTTACATAAACCGGTAAAAAACAGCACGCAAATCTCAGATAGCCTTCCTATAGCGTAAAAGCCAACTAACCACCGTCCTTAACGAAAACAGCATCCAGGTATAATCAGTGCCTATATAAGTGAAACAAGCGTAGAAGCAAGAGATTATGACGAAGTGCAGCCATATTTCAAAGAAAACTGGGGAAGAAAAAAAAAAAAGATGAGAACGAAAGATCACAAAAACACCACCCTATTGAAGCAAAGGGATTCCCAACAAGAGAAAAAACATGACGGACGCCTCGAGCGGAAGCATTAAAGACAACATGCAGCAGAAAGCTCGATGATGGATCATTCAACCCGCAGCCAAAAACCAGACCATCTTGGATGAATTCCCTGACGTAGTGGCGCCGCAAAATGATGAGAATGAGGTAGTCCGGGTTGGACCCGGGAGAGGAAAAACAGGCAGAGAGTAAGCGATGATAACGCCACGCTATGCGGATAGATAGGGTGAAAGATATACTATGAAAGAAATAAGAACACGGAAGAAAAAGCGCGCTTGGGAAGAGGGAAGCCTGATGCAGAGACGGTGGGAACCTGCAGCTGCAGCTGCAGCAGTGTTGCGCCAGCGGGGATTGGGGGAATGGACGACTTCGACAAGAAAAGCTCTCCTGACGACGTTGGGTGTATATTTTTCATGGAAATGATGATGGTGGGAGTTTCAATTGGAAAAAACCACACATGCAGACACACACATCCCCAAGAAACCATTCCCATAGCCCTGCTACTCCTCAACATCCAACCTTCTTTCTTCCTTCTCCTTCCCTTCCTCTTCCCACCCCGCATCCTCAAAAGCAGCCAACATCTCCCTCTCCAACGCATCCTCCTCATCTTCAGGCTCCATATCATTATTATTATATCCAGTTGTGGATTTCCCGGTCGTATCAGAGTCACCGCCTTTCCCGCCCACTTCTCCATCACCATCGCCATTACCATCAGCACTCCCAGCATCATCATCTTCGTCATCATCGCCATCGCCTGCTCTATCATCAACAGCTGCTGCCTCTCCATCGGAAGAAGTGGCAGGCGCCTCAGAAGACCCCCTAGACCGTACCGTCGCAACATGCTTCAACCTCGTATTCCTCTCATGCAATAATTTGATCTTTTGCGAAAGACGCGATCCCGACCCCGACCCCGATCCAGAACCTCCACCTCCACCCTCATCTTCCGCAGCGCTCAACTCCCTTCCACTCTCCCCCTCTTTCCCCTCCGCGTCGCGTTTCCGCTTTTTCCCACTAGGTATTCCCTCTTCCCTTTGCCCTTCCCCTTGCCCTTCTAATTCCCTTCCCTGCCCAAACGACCCCCCCATCGAAAAGTCACTCTCACTCTCGCTCCCCTCATCGTCACTCCCCAAAAACTCCCTCAGCTCATCATGCACCGCAGCCCGTTCGCCAGCATCATACCCAATAGGCGAATGCTCAGTTAGACCAGCTGACTGCAAAATCTCTTCATCGATATCACGCGTTCGTATCCTCAATCCCTTCCTCGGCGCTTCGCTCTCCGTATCTTCGCTATTATTATCCGTGCCACCATCCGCCTCCGTCTCCCCCACCTCCTCCTCCTCCTCGTCGTCGTCGTCATCATCCCCATCCTCCGCATCCTCAGACGAAGAGAGCAAAGACCCCTCATCGAAACTCCCATTCGAATTCGACACAGAGCCCTTATTCGACCCAGACGACGACGAATTTCCCTCGCCTTCACCAATCGGCTCCCCCCTATCCTCCGGGTGGACATGGACGAGATACGCCTTCTCATCCAGCCGCTTCCACTGCGTAATCGAATCTAAAAGCCACTGCACCGTTACAATCTTGACATTTGGATACCTCGTCGCCTCCCTTACTTTCGCCGTCCGATTCCTCCCCGCCACAAGATGTGTTGTCCGCAAATTAATCTTGTTCGAGATGGTTGCGCCAAAGCTCTTGGCCCACATCGAGATGTCCGCGTTCTGCATGTCGGTTCCCAGCGGTAGGACGCCGGAGAATACAAGGACGACGGAGTCGAGGATCACCCGCTTGATCTGCGGCATTATCACTTCTACGTCCGGGACGATATGGAGATCTATATCCTTATCCCTAGTCGGTGGTGCACGTTCACCTCGTAGCGCAGATACCCTGCCTCCCAGGGAATTCGTCCGTCGCCGATCATATTCGTCGAAAAACGCCTTGTGGACCGCCTTCAGCCGCTCCTGGAGTCTATATAGTTCACCATCATTGTCTTCTAGCAGGTGATGCCGGTGGCGCGACGAGTCATGCGATTCCTCACTGGATGAATCGCCATTTTCGCTGCTGGAAGCTAGCAATTCGGCCGCTTCATCCTCCGCGTCGAGCTGTTTTTGCTTCTGGAGCAGTGGCCGTTCTTCCACTTGATGTGCGATCGCTTCTTCCTGTTCATTGGCCTGTTCCTGGAGTAACTCGGGATCGTCACCGCCGCCCATGGTAACCAGTTGTTCTAAAGCGGATACTTCCGTGTCTGCTTTCCCATCTGTACCCGTTGCCCCTGGCGACCCATTAACCGCTGTTCTCCCCGCTGCAGAAGCAGTGCCCTTCGTCGTCGCCTTGGCACCTCCCTTGGGGGGTGTCTTAAGATCCTGCTTCTTCGGCAAAAAGCTAGAATTGATATCCCCGATCCCCACAAAGAAATCATACGGCGACACCTTAATCAGATTATCAGACCACTTCCACACATCCCCCCGATCATCAATGATAACAACCATCTTCGTATCGACAGGGAAAAGCCGCTGAAGATTCTTCGCCGTCAAGCTCCCACTTTCATCGCGACTTAGAATCCTATCTCCGAAAATCTTCCTGTCCGGATCCACGATGGCGGCTATATTCTGCGCATACGCGCGCGTCCCCATGGTGTAGATATGCAGCTCGTACAGCGCGGAGATTTCCTGCAGGAACTCTTGCAGCCCCGGTCGCAGCTTAATGTAATACCAACATCCCTTCATGCCTGGGCCGTCGTCCACGAGCTGGAAAGCGCGCACGTCCTTGACTGCTTCGTGGTTCGGGTTGTCTCTGTCCTGTTGCCATTCTGCCACCGTCGGGTCCACGGTCGCGTGGATGATGGTCTGGTCGAGGTCGACGACGAGGGATAGGCGTCTCGATGAGAGGAGGCGCCGTTTCGCATCTTCTTCTACCCGTGTTGCTTCGCTTTTGCTGACTGTTAGGGAGGAGTTGTCGTGGATCATGCGAATTGGGGCGCGGGAGGAATCGAGCACCTCGGTGTTGTAGTTGAATCTGTAGTGTAGTGATGAAAAAAGGCCGACGTTAGCAAATGCACGAGAGCCGGGGGAGGGGGAGGGGGAGGGGGAGGGAGAAATAGATGGGAATAGAAAGACGCATAGCATACTCAGTCATATCCTTCCCACAGTTGGCGCACATGCCGCCAAACTGCACCTCATGGGAGCACGGCTCATGGATCTCTGCAACGTCAATCCTGAACAGACCAAACCGTAGTCAGTATCACCTATCAACCTGTAGTTGCAGAAGCGCAATTGGATTATTTGCACATATATATATATATATATACACGCAGCATATCAATACAATTAACAAAAGGAACCCAACTCACGGCCTCTCAACAACCTCACCAACCCTAACCTTCCAGCCAACCAACTCCCCATCAACCACAGACTCAAACCTCGTCGGGAAGGTCTTGAGGACATCAACCTTGTTTCCCAACCCGTCACCCTCCGTCACTGTTGTGCGGTAGTAGTACGCGAAGATGGCCTCGCCTTGTTGGATGGTGTCGCCGGGGCTCTTCAACAGCTCGGTGATGGTGATCGGGTAGTGGAGGCTCGCGGATAGTTTTAGAAGCATTCCTTTGCCCTTTTTTTTTTTTTTTCTGGAGTGTGAGATTGGTTCGTTCTTTTTGAGAGAGGTTTGTTTGACTTCCTTGAATTTTCTCTAGAAAGCCATACTATTGTATGTATGGGGGGTTTTGGGGGTAAAAAGTTGTTTTATACGGGGCTGGTCGTGTGTGGTGTATTTTCTGGCTCTCGTTGTCTTGGCGAGGGATAAGTTGGGAGATGCGGCAAAGACTTTTTTCCAGGGGGGGTTTAAAAGTGAAATTGCGACGGGTGGTTAGGTAGGTAGTTATATGGTGGCGATTGCGATTGTTCTTGGATTTTGGGGTTCGCGCGAAGAGTTTTATAACGGGACTGAAGCGGGTTCTTCGATGTTTTGGTGGTTCGCGAACAGGCGGGAGCCGCCCCGGGGGGGGGGGGGGTTTGGGGTAACTAATGTGATGATGGATGGATGGTTACGGCGGTCGGTTGCTGCAGTGGCTGTTGCAGGACGAACAGGGGGTAGCTGGCTGGTAGTTATAGGAGCTGGACAGACCCGAGAGCAGTAAATTAGTTATATATAGTTAGTTGGTGAGATAGCCAAACTACAGCGGCACGATGTGGCTTAGTTGCTGCTGGCTCAGCCTGGTTTAAACAGCGAGGAAAAACAACAACTGAATGAGCAGCATTGTAGATCTCTTAATACTTTTAATAATATTTGACGGGTTAAACACCCACGCTGTTATTTAAATAGTTAATGCAATGACTGCCATCATACTCGACAATCACTGCACAGTACTAATAGCATTCATTCTCCGTGGCTCCAGTAAATGAGTATCTTGGTGCATTCTCCTCCACATCCTCCCTCAAGTTGCCGGTTGCCGGTTGCCGGTTGCCTGTTGCTCATATCCAACAACCGCCTGAGCTACATGTAGAACAAACACACCTTCAGACTGCAGCTCCAGTTAAATGACGTTGCTTGATGTTCTCTGTAACTATTCATTCCATTTAGATTCTGCTGTCTCATGCAAAAAATATCACACACATATTTTAACTTCGCAAACCGAACAAGCATATTGTATAGCGGAATACATGAAAAGTATGAAGAAGATGAAAAACAGGAGCAAGGCAATCAGGGTATGTATGTTGTTGGGAGTGATTGCTCTGTAGCGCGTTACGGAAGCTTCAAAAAGTCAGATGCTGAGATCTGATATTTGAGCCCTACAACATGAAATCTCAAATCTGATTTGTTTCCTGATTGCACGAAAAATAAAAAAAAATCAAAATCAAAACAAAAAAAAAAAAAAAAAAAAAAGAAAAAAAAAAACATACCTAAACAAAAACTGAGCAGCTGGAAAAATATGGAGGCAAAGACAAGAGTATATTGTATAGGATTATGATAACGCATTGCCTCCATCCTCCCCTTATAATCACTGATGCCCTATGAGGTACGGAATACTCATCCTCCTCTCCCTTTTCCACACAATCGCCCTCTCAATCCCTCTACCTATACTATGCTGGCAGCTTTTGACAAAAGCCATTATTAACAGAAAAAGGAAAAGGGAAAGGAAACACGGAAACACGAAAACACAAAACACCCGACGTTCACTGTCTAGCCTTCGCCAACCCAATCTGATGATTGCCCAAATCATACACGCTATACCACCGTCTCAGGAACGCGTCGCCGAGAATAGCAAGGGGACCTACGGGCTCGGGGAAATCCATGCCCATAAAGCTGCTGATGCAAGAACCCTGGACCTCAAGGATGTAATCATAGGATCCAATGGTGAAGTTGTGGCCCGCCAGAGTGAATGTTATATCGGGAAAGGTGCTGCGCTTAGTGCAGTCGACGGTGTATTGGCCGTTGAAGGACTTTTTGGCACCGATTTGTTTGTTACTGTTTTTGGGGTTAGTTGTGCTTGGGCGAAATATCTTTTTAACAAGAGCAGACGGCAGGTGAGGAAACTTACAGGAGCTCAGCGATGGTAGATGGCAATGCAAGAAGGGACGTGCCGGTGTCGAGGATGACGCCGGTGTTCTCTAATTCGGCCATCTCATTACCGAAGATAATGGCATCGAGATCAACCTCCCAGTAAGCCCGGCGGCGGAGAGAGATCGTGGTAAGTTCACCGGTAAAATGACTCTCATCGATGCCGCCAAAGGTAGCCTCAGAGTCATCGCCGTCGACGTCAGAATTGCCCAAATAAAAACCAAACACTGGCATATCCAGCAATTTCTGGTTGATCATCTGATAGAACAGGGGTACAATGTGGTTGACAGAGATGGTGTCATATCCCAGTCCAAGGATGCCGTCAAATCGGCCAAAGGCGAAGGCAAGACCTGGCTCGCTGGTGGCCTCTGCAAAGTCCTGATTATTCACCGTCATGTCGCCGATGCGGACGACATCCTGGGAAACAAAACCCGAGAGACTTCCGGAGCCGTAGCGGATGGCAAACTCGGTGCCATTTTTGCGGTGGGTGGAAGAGACGGATGAATCGTATTTGTTGTGCAGGAAGCAGGCGATGGACATGCATTGGGCCGATGGGACCCAGAGGTTGGAGCTTCCGGTATCGAGGACGACTTTGAAGGTCTGAGGGGGAGTACCAATGGAGATCTCCGAGAAGTCTGAGGGGGGGGGGCAATCAGAATGCGATTTAAGGACAAGGAAGGGGGTTGGCTGGATTGTGGAGAGACCCAAACATACATTGGGCGTTCAGGAAGTTGTCTACGAGAACGCTGTGTCCGCCTGAAGCCTTGGATGTATCCTTAAACATCTCATTAAAATGCTGGGATGGTCTGACGCCCATATATTTCTGACCAAGGGCCTTGACCTGGGTCTCAATGTTGGCATGGTCCTGGATGATTCCAACATCATCCGGTCAGCAACGACATCGTATCAACAGCAAATAGATAACACAAAAAGAGGGAAATGTCATCTGCTATCGACGACTCCTACTTACAAGCTGTTGTGATAGAGATATTTTGTTAAGCTTCAGTTTGTGTACCTTTGCAGACGACGTACCCAGCAGGGTGGTGGTCGCTGCAAGCAGCAGAGAGAACTTCATAGCAGCGGGTAACAACCGTTGACGCAGAGTGATGAGCAGGGGGGAGTCTTAGGAAGACACAACTTAGGGGTAAAGGAAAGAAAGGACTGAAAGAAAGGAAGGGGGGGGGGTTGGGGTTGTGATGAGGAGTTTGATGGAGAGGCAAGAGAATGAAGTGGAGAGAGGCAGAGGCCGATGGATGAGGTTGAGGATGAAGATGAAGATGGGGGATGAAGGTTGAGGTTGAGGTCAAGGTCAAGGTCAAGGGTCGCCCTAGTGAATGAGGTAATCATGCCCTTGGGGGCGACTGGGCGGGCTGGGTGTGAAGGTCACTCGTACCGCTGGGTTACTAGGTTGGGGTACAAAGGACTGCAACGCGGGAAAACGGGGGCTGCCTGATTCGGGGGGTTGGGGGGCGGCCGGAGCCAGAGGCCTACGTAACGGATCCCGTGACCGCGCTAAGTCCCGTGGTGGGTCGGAGATTTGGCTTTCGAGCCGAAGCGCTATGCCTGATTGGGAAGGGGGGGGGAATTGGCTTCAAGCTGCAAGGTTGGAGAAAACCAAAAGGCCAAGTCACAACCGGCCGTGGGCAGCAGTCGCAGGTTGAAAACCCGGTGTCGTGGGTCCCCCCCCTTCCCAGTTCCTGCAAACCAACAACAAACAGTTCCACCTGCTGCGTAGGCTGGCTGTCACCCTGTGATAAATCCAGATTGAAGCGTTCTTTCTTGTCGGGGTTTCCCGTAATCTATGCCTTTGTTTGTGGCAGTTGTGGGCATGGACTTCGTTCGGGCCGAAAAATTGGCGCTTTCGTCTCAAGTCTGCCCTTAACCTATAAATATTACTCGAGTTTCGATTTGCATACGAAGCAAGCACATCGCCTCTGAAAGTTATTTCAGACGGACGAGACACAGAACACAGGTCCTCTCTCGATATACACATCGTTCCCTGTCAATGAGCGAGACCCGTCTCCGAGAGCCCTGGAGAACATTGCTCCCGAAGACAAAAGTTGTTGACATCACTGGCATCGGGAATAACTATAATTCTTATGAGGAAGGAGGAGAGATATTCACCGTTTAAGAGAGCTTAGGAAAATCGGGCTGTAGTTTTATGATGAACTGGCGGACGACAACATGAAGTGTCAGAAATCATGATACAGGAGAAATATTATTGCATCGTTTCCCTTATTTATTGATACCGATATTGATTCCGACGGGAGCAGAGGCCGGAACAGGAACAGAGAGAAACAGGAAACATAATTGAAAGTGACAGGACGGTTCCCGGTGCTCTTACGCATATCATACCAGTCAATAACGCCTGGCAACAATATCAAAATAACAGAAACTGAATCAACCGCAATGTATACAGACAGACAGACAGACAGACAGACAGACAGACAGGCTATCCTTTCCCACTCGTTCCATAAAACTGTGGGCCAGCCGGCCATTTCCCCCCATATAAGGTGAAACAATATAAAAGGTATAAAATGACAGATCAGACTCCATCCGGATGCTGTGCGAAATATGAAGACGCTAAGTGACATGTACCGTATTGTAGATAGATATATTATCAAATGACCATCAGGAGAGAAAAAAAAAAAACAAAAAAAATGAAAATGAAGTTGAAAAATGGGTAAGATAAAAGGGTGCTAGGAAGACGTTGGAAAAAAAACAAAAAAAAAAAAAAATTGGCGAACCATCAGTAGGGATCCGTGTGCTTTCGGACCTGGAATGCCATGACAAGCATCCAGAGGAGGAAAACCGATACGACTACTTCAAATGCAAATGCGGTCTTCCAGCAGTTGCCTATTCGTTCGTTTGTTAGATATTGTGAAATGACAGAGAAAAAAAGGGGGCCGCCGAGTTAGGATTTTAAGGATGTAAAAAAAAAAAAAAAAAAAAAAAAAAAACCCAAGGTTGAGAAAAGGGGACATACAAATTGTTATATTCGTCAGCCACGCAAGGGTATTTATACTTGCGCCCTTGTACTGGTAACCAGACACCCAATTCTGGCAGTTTGAATTGATGTTTGCTTTGCTACCGTATAGCTGCACGGACGTGCCTATTAGGCCCGTGAACCATAGCACGAAGAGAATGAAGCTGCCCAGTATTATCATTTCGGGTATTAGCGAATGCTGGATGGCGAGGAAGACGATCAGGAAGAGGAATATAAGTGATAAGGCGGCGGCGGCTACCATGAAGGGGAAGACCCTGTTATTCGTAAGTCCGTTGGTCATTGTGTAAATCGGGATATTGCAGGTATAGATATAGAGATCAATAGAATCTATGTATGTATCAATCGGCCCCAGGTTGAAAACAGGAGCTGAGAGTCTTTGGGGAAGGATTTGTTTATCCATAATATAGAACTTACCAGGGGGTCGGCAGCTCCATCTGCGTCTGCACTGTCATGAACCAGCTGAAGATTCCCAGACATGTTGCTGAGCCCGCAAGCACGACGAAGAACCATATGTTCAGCTGTATCTCTGGCCAGTGGAACTTGCGCGTTGCAGGAACCATTGTTCGCGAATAGCTAGAGCTTGACATCCAGGAAAAGGGGCGGGGGAATGTGTTCGCAGGATATCAATTGAGTTCCTGTCCAAAGCCTGAAGAGGGACGAGGTAGGCGAAATATACTTCAAATATACTCGACCCGGAGCAGAGGCGTCTTTCCCCCTTCCGACAAGAGGTTCAAGGAGGGCCAGAGATATGCGGGATCGTACAGTATGAGGAACAAGTGTCGGTGTCGGTGTCCGTTTGAATTTACTAAAAATAAAAGAAAGTATACTCAGGCCACTCCACAACCCGGGATACGACTGGAAAAAACCCCTCGAAGTCGATTGCGAAGATCGTTGTGCCCATGGGGAAATTGGGTGATGTAGAAGATGCCGGAGGAGCAGAAGGAGATTGAGCGGGAGCGTGAACAAGAGGAGAGGGGGGGGGGGAGAAATAATTCCCTCCCACGTTTCTACGCTGGAGACAACTGGTCAAGCAGCAGCGCAGGGGAATTATAGTTGGGCGCGCAGTGGTGGTGGTGGTGGTGGTGATGATGATGATGATGATAATGTGGACTAGTTAGCAGCTGTTGGTTTCGAGGCTGTCTGTAGCAATGGGAGTCGACCACGACAGCAGAGCAGCGGAGACAACGTGCTTGGTTCAAAACTAGACGACGCAGGGGAGTGGTAAGCCGTTCATGAGAGTCAAAAGCGACCACGGATATAATATTGGGGGTATTTCAGAATCGTGTCCCAATGGCCTGGGAGTGTAGGGGAAGAGATATGTTGTTATTCCTCTAGAGAAGATATATAGATACGTAGAAATATACAAAACGCTATGATGTAGCACGGAGTATTTACCAGATGTGTGGATGAAGAAACCGAAATCGAATAATTTTGTCATTGAATCATAGCTGATCAGTTAACTGTTCGAGGAAGATATTAAAGATGCGTGCACATGGTTGTTTTTTTTCTTTTTCCAACACATGTTCATATTTTTCATTGGTTTGTTGTCGCTGAGTAAATAAATGAGGGGGTTGGGGATGGATAAATCCGGTGGCAGGGGAGTATTTAAAACTCATCAATCGCCGCCCAACGCGAAATACATTTGCTAACACGAGGTTGATGTCTGGTTACTCCTTGCTCGAGAGGAGGCCATAGCAGTTAATGTTAAGCTGGTTTCGAGTTTTGCGGCGTAACAACTCATTGTATATTTGTTTTTTGTTGCCAACAATGACGTCTAAATAACTAGTTAACGATCAATTTAACAACGGCTTTCCCCGCAAAATCGAGCTTTCGCAGTGAATAGAGCGTTAAAGTGATTGCAAACAGAGAAATGGAAGAGAAGATCTGGCAGACAAATCAGTACGAATATATAGCAAGATACATTATAACATCTATCTGGATTTTTACAAGCTTGCTATGAGTTTATATTATCATTCCAGTTCCATACACACCTCATATTTTGCAATAGACATTTCTATATAGATCTATTCCAACAGCCAACAAAAAAGATAGTCCCAAGGCGATCCATCTTCAAGCGGCAAGACAGCTCTAGAGAAGTGTATCCCCCAATGCACAGCGGACTAACGAGCAGCCCGCCCGGATGGTCTCATTGGCACCCATGATTTCCAGGCTTGGGTTCACTTCCACCAAGTCCATCGCAACCAGGTTCCCCGTTTCGTGAACGCATTCAGCGATGAAGTCGCCTTCACGGAGAGTCAGCCCGCCTCGGACGGGAGTACCCGTGCTAGGAGCCCATTGGGGATCAAGAGCGTCCACATCAAACGAGAGATGAATTGGTGTATCGGCTCCGATATGCGCCAGAGCCATCTCGACAACACGTCCAATACCATGTCTGACATCATGGTTAGCAGGGGCGTCAAAACAAAAAGAGGACATAAGAATGAAGATAGATATGTATAGTAGGGTTTGCCCGTTGGGGGGGGGGGGAACATGCTTATCAATATCATGCATACTAAACGCCCGAATCCCATTCTCTCTTAGAATCTTCTTCTCCCCGCGATCCACATCGCGCAAACCAATATACACCAGCTTCCGAGTGCTAACAAAGTGATCCCTCCCCAGCCACCCAAAGACATCCGACCTCTTCTCTCTCGCCAACCCCGTGAGAAACGCCACTGGCATCCCGTGTATATTCCCGCTCCCACTCGTCTCCGGCGTGTTAATATCAGCATGCGCATCCACCCAGATCAGCGCAATCTCCCTCCCCAGCCTCTCCCGCATCGCCTTCGCAGTTCCCGACACGGTCCCGATAGCGATGGAATGGTCGCCGCCCAACGTCAGGACAAACTTGCCATCTCGCGCGTGCTCGTAGACTTGCTGGCTGAGCTTCTCTGTCACGGCGCTGACAGAGAGGGGCCTTTTCATGCCGCGGAAGTCGGGGTCGGAGACAGGGACGATGTCGCCGTAGTTGTGGACTTCGTTGTCGTAGTTGACGGTGTAGCCTAGGTCTTCTTGGAGTTGCTCGAGTAGGCCTGTTTCGATGAGAGCTGTGGGGCCATCATCGACTCCTGGTTTGCTCTGTTGATTAGGGGACGGGGGATGTTAGGTACACTCTTTGTAGTCTCTTTTGATGTTAATAGATGTTATCTACATACCTGGCCTCCGGAAAAGCCAACGGCCACTACCCCCACCTCCTTGGGTTTGGAGAGGAACCTGTGTTTGATCGTAGACGGCGAGATCACATTGTTCGTATTTTCCTGCGTCATTTTGCGCTTCCTTTCTGCGATATCCCTTCCTTTCCTTCAATAAAACGGCTGGATGAATCCTCCAATGAATGTTTCGAAACGGCGCAAGGAAGCTTGGTCGTATGCAAATTATATGATCTTCGCCTTCGGTCGAAAGGGAAGAGAAATTGTGAAGTCCGATAAAGGGAAACTTTGCAAGATATAGTGATTTGGAAAAGCAAGCAAGCAAGACAACTATGTAGCCCAAAATTGCGCCGCTGTAGTTACTTGTCTCAACTTGGTGCGACTGGGAAAGAATGAATTTATCTCAACTGTTTGAAATACGAGAGAAATAAGAAGAGCATCGAGATGAGAAAATGATAGAGAGCAAATAAAATAGAAACTAGATGTTCTTCTTTCCCTTGCGGAACGGTTGCTTGATGTGTGATTAAGATACAAAATTGAAGCGCTTCTCAACAACGGGCAACGGATAGTTACCAGTGGAGGTTTCAAGAATAGCAGTTAAAATAAGAACTCCTGAAATTACAAAAGAAGATAACGAGAAAACTTAAATGTAATGACACGAGAGAAGAAGGGAAATACCCATAGAGATCCGGGACCATCGCAGCGTAGGAATCGCCCTTCTGTCCCTATTCAAACCCTCATGCTGTCCCCGGTTCAACATGCTTTTAGGGGAAAGGAGATGAAGAAACTTGTCTGTCATACCGAATGAACCATTTCCCCTAAGTACATGTTTAAGAGAGATGTCGCCACTTTTCCGCACCAACGCTTCCCACTTAACCATGGGCGGGTTGACATCATGTGGACGGGGCTATGAATTGTTGATTCGGCGGTGAGTTATTTATATATTTTGTTTCCAGAGGAATTGAAGAGGTATATCGCCTCTGTAGATTTTGCCGGGAAGGGAAGCCAATACAAATAGGATGTTCTGGCTGCTAATTTTGCATTCAACAGTAATATACGGTAGTGAATGAAACTACACACTTTTACCTATCTAGATCTTCACTTGTTTATATCATCCAACCACAGTTGCAGACGCCTATTTAAGTATAAGCTCCCGTAGAATCTCCTCAGCCTTTTGTGCCTCGACTCTATTCCTATCACCAATTTGCTTAATCTGTCCAACCAACCAGCCAATCTTGCCCAGCTGACGTTTCTCGCAGATTTCCATCACCATCTTCGGGTTCTGGCGCATGACCTCCTCGGCTAGCGCGATGTATTCTTCCCGGGAAAGGCTCTGGAGAAGGAGGTTTTCGTCCTCCACAATCTGACTGATAGACCGCTTGTCGCCGTCAAACACCATTGCAAGGAGAGATTTCGCCGTGCTGCCGGTTATTTTATTTCGGGAGAGCAGGTTGATAATTTCCGCCAGGCTTTGTGCTGGGACCCGCTCTGAGTCCCAGTGGAGGTTTGATTTGGTTAGCAGGCCTCCGAGTTCATGCAGCACCCAATTGCCAACCACCTTCCCCCCGCCACTGAAATCGTCGGATAGGTCTTTTTGGAGGGTAATTAGAATATCAACAGCATCTTTGTAATAATCCAGCCGATCTCCGTCATCGAGTTCAATCAATGCCTTGGCATCGTCAGTAGAGAGTCCGTATTTCGGATCTTGGACAAGACTCTGTAAGAGCGCATCGGGCAGAACTGGCAGCTTCGCCTTGAGTTCAAAAAAAACATCGATTCCTATTATCACTGGCCCCAGATCAGGATCCGGCATGTATCGGTAGTCCACTTCCCCCTCCTTCCCTCGTAGTTTCCTGGTCTCGGTGCTGCCAAGTGTCCAGCCTCGTGTCTCTCCCTCAATGGCGCCACCTGCTCTAAGTACCGCGATTTGACGGTCTCGTTCTGCAATGATAGCATTCTCGACAGCTTTGAAACTGCTTAGATTTTTGATTTCGGTTCGTTGGCCAAGTCCTGTTATTCCGTGGTACTGATGGTCACCGACCCCCTCGCTCCGTTTTCTTACAGATACGTTCACGTCTGCCCTGAGGCCTCCCATTTCCATCCCCGTTGTCACTGCTCCGACGGACTGAAGGATCGTCTGGATTTTCCTCACGCAAGCAGCGGCTGTTGCTGGCGAGTGGATCTGCGGCAGCGTTATTATCTCGATAAGAGGGCGCGAAACACGGTTGAAGTCAAGAAGGTATGTGGACGATGGAAGTTCTTGTGATTTCGCCGTATCCTGCTCCAACTGTATCTGCTTTATACCGATTTTAACGCCGACCCCGTCCTCCTTAGCAATGCCATCGTGTGGGCCCAGCCAAATGCTGCCATTTTTCGCGTACGGTTCTATTTGTGTTTTTGGAAAATTGTTAGAGGAACAGACTCTCATTGGAAATATATATGTGTGTGGGGTCTTTTCAAGTACCGTAGTATTGGGTTATCTGATAGCCCGCAGGCTGGTCCTGATAGAAGTAATGTTTTCTGTCAAAACGACTGACTCGCTGCACATCGCAGTTCAGTGCAATGGCCGCGCGTAGTGCGGGTATCAGGGTGGCTGGTTGAAACAACTAGTTATTCGTTAATATAACTGCACTCTAGGTGCCATTGGTGTACGTACTACTATACACAGTCAAAAAAATGAAGAACTAACCGGCTGGCTCCCTGGTAACGCAATATCAAAGAGGGCTACGTTTGAGTTTGGGACATCATCAATGGCCGCAGAGGCTCCTGCTCACAACGGTCAGATCCAAAGAGGATACCAGATATCCAGCCACTAGCCACATTTGCCTTACTTGAAAATAGTTTTGTATCCGTATCTAATTGCGCATGTATCTCAATGCCCACAGTCAGTTCCCAATCCTCATGTTCTGGCGGTGAAACCTCGCCCTTCCTTGTCGCTGCCCGCCCCTCCCTAGCCTGCTCTTTCAATTGTTTACGCAAAGGAACGTAGTCTGCGCCGTTGCTCGCCCCAGACGTCTGGGTATCTATAGCCCGTCGAGAAGTAGAGGACCAATCCCTCCCCCTCCTCGATATGCGGGAGCTCTGGGGATAGAGACAGCCCGTGAGCTCAGTTCCACCCGCTGCAATTCGGTAACAGGGGCAAGCAGCACGTCGGGATAGGCATTGTCGGATCATAAGTATAAGTATTAATAGGGCAGTCAGCGCCGCCTCCAAATGGTACTACTGCCTTTGGAACTCTCAAAGAGCAGCCTGCTCTCAGGGTTGAATGATGAACAATTGTGAGGTGTTTGGCGTTGGAAGAAATACTATCGAGACCTTCAGGAACCTTTTGGAAGACATCGATGGGCCGGAAGGGGAAAAGCCAAATACGAACCTTGCAAAGGGCCGTTCTCCGCAATACGGGTGTATAATACCAACCCTTGAAGATATTTTATGTGTCTACCAAAAGAATTCAAAAGTTGACAGATTCAAACTGATTACTGTAACTAAATCACTGCTGTTAAAAAGCAATCTGTTTTCTCTGATGCTGCACGCAACCCCCAACGACTCACGGTTTTCTGATTTGGTTCGCTCTGTGGCTTATGCTGCATAACCTTGAACACATGCTTAATTTGCGCCCAGCTTGTCGCCGTGGCATCGGGCCTCTGATCGTTGCTATTCGCTGGTCTCCTGGGCCTCATCGCCAATCAGTTTATTAATGGAAACCCGCCGTGTGACACTAGTCACCGGAAATCTTGACCACTGTTTGAGCTCCTGGGGGCCGATCTGATCAGTCTCAAAGATCATTCCCCAGGGTGTTCGAGATGCCGCAGGACGGAGTTCAAAGTTCCTTCATATTACTGCTGACTAGAGACGGCTGTAATAACTAGCTAACTAGTTAGCTGATGGTAGTATTAATAGCAACCTGTGTCTTTGGGCTTGAAACCCAAAAGATATTGGAGCGTGTGAGCAGCTTATCATCGGGCTCAGCGTGGTCGCACTTGGCTGTGTTTCTGTGAATTCAACGAAATATCATTGCATATAAGGGGCTCACTTGTTTGTAAGGGGGGGGGTCAAATTACCGCTGCGAACGGAAGCGGATATTCCCACAATTGACTTTTGGTGACTCTCTTCTCAAAATGCTGCATTCTGGCCAATTGGAGGCAATGCATAAGGTGTCCTCTCGCCTATGATCCCGAGATCATTTGATAAAAACACATGTGGGCAGAGTCACTATGTGAGTTGGCGGCGCATTGCAGGGAACAGGGTTAGCTCGAGACCATGAATAACATACTCCGCAATACAAACCCGGAACCTCTCAGCTTGAAGGGACAGCAGCATTGATAAATTGATGGAGAAGGATGGAATTATCAAGTCCATGGACTTCCCCCATCCCTTGGTTGGTGGGTGGACAAGCGAGTCGCTGCTGGCCAACGCAGCGCAGCGCAGCGCAGCGCAGCATGTCCGTTCGTATGTGCGTAACTAAGTATGCGCATGTCTTGACGGTGGTGGTGGACTCAATTTCGCCAAAATACATCATTTTACGTGCAGCCGCGGTATTATGATTGAAATCAGGCTCCTTTTTTGTGTAATTAAGGTCCCGGGATAAGGAAGATGATAAAGATGACTTTTAGCTGTTCCCCATGACTTTGGGGAGGGCTAACAACTTTTAGCTGGGTGAACGTCCAGTATTAATAGACCCAACCAGCGGTTCTAGTCGATCCAGTGGCACAGCTCCAGATCGCCAGCTTTGGGCTCTCCATGATTCATCACTGTGTCGCATCTTCCATTATCGCTTGACCATCACGGCCCAGGCGCGTTTCAGAGTACGCAGCTGGGCGCTGCGCATGAACCCTCCATCCTCCCATACATAGGTACTGATGGCGCTGGGCGTTATTTCTTTTTCCCCTCCTCGTCCTTATTTTGATTCTTAATCCCCTTGTGCGCCCCATGTTCATCGGTTTTTGCCCTGCTTCCTTGTGTGCATTTCACCTGATAGTGTTTCGTAGTATCAGTTACCCCTCTATCACCCACGCAGACCACTTATCAGCGCATCACCACATGGTGTTTTGAGGTTTTTCATTTCCTTGTAGGGAATAGGGAAACTTATACTTGTTATCTGGCCTCTGGCTATCTCGTATACATTAGTATTCTTGGTTGTTTGCTCATATCGTGCCTGGGTCTGTGATACCCCCCGCCGCGCGAAGGAACAGCTTTTTTCCTCGAAGGAATTTATACCGTTTGGTCATTGAATTCCAAGTCCAGGAAGAAGCCCAAAACTTGATATATCCCCTTCACCTCTCTCCGATATAATTGCTTTCCGTGAGATATACGGAGCATCTTTCTCCTTCTGATACTGCTAGACTTTGGAATATGCCTGGGAAGGGTCATAGAAGGGACGGTTCGAAGAAATTATCCCTCTCCTCCAAGGCCTCCGTTGTGGACCCAGCTCTTATATCTCGGGCCAAATCTTCTGGAGATTCGAATGAGAGCTCTTCTACTGCTGTGCGACCCCGACCACGCTCCAAAACCCTCAGTGCCAAACCATTGATCGATCTCACTGCCAATGCCCCCCCAATTCTGAAAAGAAGCGCAACTACAAGAGTGAGTGAACCAGGAGCTAGACAGCCGTTGCCGAACGTCTTTGAATTCCTAGATAAGGACGATTCAGAGGATCCCAGTGCGCATTGGGCCCGGGCTATGAGTGCGAGGCAGTCATCTACCACCTCTTCACCATCCAAAACTTCGAGACGGCAATCTATTGCATCTTGTAGCTTCACCTCGGAGCCAGGATTATCGCTTAGGGACCACAGTCCTGATCGGGCTTCATCGTCTTCTTCCACTGAATACCAGCCCGCAACACCCCCTGATATCTCTCTAGATAACCCCAGCTGGAAACTTGCAGATGAATTCCAAACGCGCCGCCGCCTCCAGATGGCTGGAGCGTACATGACCGATACAGAAACGATGTTGGAAAGCCCTACATCTCCTGGCCCTGGATTTTTTGACCTCCCAACCCCTGAATCATACTACATCCAACAAAAACACTCCTTTTCCCCGACACCTCCAAATACCGCCATCCATCCTTCATATCAATATCGTCGGAGTTTCGATATGGGCAAATTGAATATAAGTAAGAGCAAACAGCAAGGACGGGCTTCCGTGCAGTCAGATTCCAAACGAAGCGAGTCACGAGATGGCGACCACCCATTACTGTATCGAAAGTTTGAGTCATTGAACCATCGCTTGCTGCACCATCTCCAGGAAGAAATCGCGCAGATGGAAGAGGACCTCTCCATCCTTGACGAAGTCGAAGAGGTACGACGAGTCGCCGTCAATGTTAGAAATTCTGGAAGGCAGAAGCTGCTGTCAACCAAGCATCAGGACCTTCAGTCTGAGGAATTATCAGCTCTTCACCAGAGGAAGCTTGAACTGGTTGAAAAACTAGTGCTGAAGACGGAGCAATATAGTAAGAAAGACTGCCTCCTCACCGTATTGATCCTTTGCGGCTTTGACTGGCATAATAAAACTTACCCGTACATCATCCAGACCGTGCTCTCTGCTCATATCGTGAGGTCTCTCGCAAACTACCCACTGCCACGACCGACGAGGTCGACGCCTACCGTACTTGGATCCATGAGAATTCCTCGTCGTCCAAGTCTGATCTGAGGTTCCTCGCCAATGATAATGACCTCATTCTACTCGGGGACCGTTCAGCGTCCGCCCGCTCCCCGAATCCAATATATTCTACAATTGCCACAGCTTCAGCTGCCATCCTGTTCCCACTTCTTGCCTTTGGTGTTATTTCCGAGTTCTTTGGTCGCATTGCCGTCGTATCCATTGTTGGAGGTGCGACGGCTTTGTTTGCATCAAATGGACCAGCTGGTCATGAATATTTGATCGATCCACATGATGGGTGGAGATGTGCCGCACTGTATGTACCTGTGACCTTTGCCTTTTTCCTTTCCTTGATGTGGTTCTTCGTCAATATGTGATATATCAATAGATGTCTGACTGTTTGTTGGTGTAATAGGTATTTCGGCTTCATGGCTGCAGCAGCCATCATTATTTAACGGCAGTTTACGAGTGACGAATCTCGATCACCTTTTTTTTCCCGATTCCGATTTTTCATCTCGTTCAATTTCATGGCGTCCCTTCATTGTCTTCCTGTCCTCATGTTCCTCTTTCTCTAGCAATTTCGTCCCTTTTGATAAAGAATTTTCTTTTCGATACCTCTCCGCAGTACACAGCCTGCAATGTGTCTTGTCATCAATCAGCGTTGCATTCTTGCATCTTTTTATTCGTATCTTCTTCACATGGTTTTCATGGTTCATCCCTTCTTCCACAAATGGAAAACAGCTAGCTTGATTTCGGTCCTGTCGCATCCCCAGGGTAGGTAAAATGGAACCTGGTGCCACTAACAAAACACACAATAGTTATATACCTGCTGGACGGGAGCAGAAAAAGGAACTTGACACCACAGCCAACTTCTTCTGTTGAACGTGCGTATGCGGAGTTATATATGGGGAAAGGGGGCTTGGAATTGGGAATTGACTGGGGTCGTCAATTGACAATTCATTTTCAACGTTGTTCATTCTTTTTACCCCTTCATTTATTCGTTCCAGAGTATGTGGTGATTCATCTCTCTCTCTCTCTCTCTCTCTCTGACTACTTTAATTTTTTCTTCTTCTTCTCTTCCTTTTCCAGGGCTATTGACCCTTGGCCTTGGACATCCTGACTGGTGCCTTTTGCCAACTTCTGTGTGGAACAGAAGATGGTTTGTTTTGTATTGACGTACATTTAGCGTTTCGGATGTTATATGTCCTTTTAAACATTATAAAATGTTGAATGTTGAATGTTGGCTAAATGGTCTTTTAAATTTCTCAACGCAGATTTTGGTATCTGGGAGTGCGTTGCTTCTCCGTGCTGCATCTGTTGGCGGATTAGTTACTCCTGACACATTTTGGTTGGGGACTCTGAGAAGAAATGCAAATTTTTCATCAATAAAATCGAAACTGCATTACCCCTAACCTATCTTTAATTAGCAGAGCAAGATTTAAGAAGATTTACGACAAAGCTTCTCCGTAGAGTTGCAAGGAAGCCCAATAATAGCAATCCGCCCGTTCATCCAGCCTGTGCTCGTCATCTTCCTTCTTCAAACAGATAATGTAAGAGAAAAGATATATCTCCAAATCTAATGAAAGAATTTGACAAAACAAAACAAAAAAAAAAAGAAAAGAAAGGGGAAAAAAAAGGAATAAAAAGGAAAAGAGAAAAGGGAAAAAAGAAAAAGAAAATGGGAAAAGGAAAAGACCAAACAGGAGCAGAAAATAGATGTCCTTCTACCATCCCTTGCTCCCTTTTCCGATTGCTCCAATCCGCGCCTTGTGCTGGAAGAAAAGAAAAGAAATGACAATGTGGACGAGAAAGTATGTCAGCGGAGGAAGATGACGTCCACTGCCGTATTTTTGGGCGTCCAGACCAAGGAAATATGAAACCGCAAACACCATAATATCACATGAAGAAATAGGAAACAAAGTTAAGATGGGGACGCAAAACACAACTAATTTTTTCAATTACCTAAGGGGGGGTTCTTCGATAAAAGGGGTTATGAAAAGAAAACGGGAAGTGGTAGAATATGAAGACAGGGTAAGATAGAAATTGGAACAAAGCAGGTCATGGGTAAAATCTGCCCGACGATTAAGAAACAGTGTGCAGAATACAAGGTGGATACTTGCTGGGACAAGAAACCAGAATAAAAAATAGAGTAAAGCAGAATAGTAAAAGCTTGTAATAAAAAATCCCGTGAAGCTTCTCTTTGTCCTTGTTTTGAAGCCAGAAGTTTTCCTCCTCCAAGCTCCTACTGCTATTGGTTTTCATTTCACTGAGTTGCACCTGTTGTAGATCCCACTGGAGCACCATTCTGCCGATTACTGGGTGGTAGGTTCCCTTGGCCGCTGAATTGCCGAACAGAGGATGGCTGTGGGGTGTTGGATTTTTGAGGTTGATGCTCGGCCAACTGTGCCTTATTGCGATCCATAAGGGCCGCTTGCTCCGCAGCGCTTCGCGCATATGTCATTGCAGCTGCGCTGTTGGCGTATCCTGCTGGTGCTGGGCTGGCTTGTGAAGAAGGAAAGTTTGGGAAGGGCAGCGGTTGTGGGGTTTGTTGCTGGAAGTATCGTGGTTGGGGATTGTCAGGAGTAGAATTCACGTACGGGTGACGCTGTGGGGATGCACCAAAGTTTGGATGTCTCTGAGGAGGAGAATTGTGTGGGCCAGCAATGGGTGAGCCGTATGGGTTATCTTGCGGTCGTTGTTGATAAGGGGTTTGGTGGTTTGAGCGATTGGGAAAAGGCTGAGGCGATCCCTGCGCTGGGGAAGCTATTCGTTGCGAAGGATAAGGTCCTGTACCGTTCTGGGTTGGTCTTTGGAACTGCTGAAGGATCCCACCTTGGTTGTATTGCGGAGTGACGGGTTGAGAAAATTGAGGCTGTGCATACCCAGCTCGTTGGGGTGGTGGTTGCCTGGACGGATTGTACGGCTGGGGAGAATTATTAGGAAGATAGGGGATAGATGAAGACCGCTGGCTCGTCCCATAAGCTTGGTGAGGAGGGTGATTCATTGGGACTGCTTTTGCGCGAGAATTGGATGGATATCGTTGCAATGGAACATTAGTCGCCGTGGGCGGTGTCTGATATGGTGATGTTCGCGGTGTGTTCACGTTCGGTGTAGGTGTACGGACCGCATTTGGCACCTGGGAAGCTCTGGATATCTGTTTCTGCTGAAAGGTATACTCATCCTCGTCCATTGTTCCGGGATAATCAGCATTTTCCAACAATATCATTTTGCTGGCATTTAGTTCCGCTAATTGATCCCCGTCTAACTTTGAAACAGCATATGGAGGTAACGTGGCGATCATCGAGGACAAACTTGATTTGAGCGTCTCATACACGCTAACTTCCACACCAGAGGGCAAGGAGGGATCTACAGACGCTGAAGCCTCGTTGTTCATTTTCTCTGACGATATGGGAAGTGGTTGCCCGAGGATTCGAATTCGACGATAAGAATTTAGCGTACGTAAAAGATCAGATATGTTTTCGAGAACCTCCTCCATGTCCTTCTCCTCATTTTGTCCATCAGACTGTTCCTCTTGATTGACCAATTCTTTATCGACTTCTGGCTCATACGACTTCACAGCTTCCTCTAGACTGTTTTCATCCAGTGGTTGGATCGGTAGATTTGAAATCTTATCGTCGCTTTGTTGGGTTTCTATATCGCTTCCACTCAACAATAACGCATGGAAATTCTTCGCCCCAAACTGGTCCCACCATATTTGCTCCTTCGCGTCCACAGGAATGGATGCTCCAGAGCTATCAAACGAGGGAGCAAATGACGCATAAGCACTGCGGAATAATGAGTCGCCATCATTAAGAGAGTTCTGAAAAGGCTTTTGCAGCTTTTTGCCGAAGTTTGCGTCAGTCTTTTGAGTTCGGTTTTCCGATCGAACCGAGGGTTCATAGCCATAGTGTAACCAATACCCAGAGGGAAAAGGCAAGTAGGGATACCCCTTTTTTTCAACTGAAGGATATTTTGCAGCTACGGTCAAGTCGTATGGGTCAAGCCATGTAACGTTTGAATTTTTTGAAGAACGCGATTTGCGGGGAGGCTGTAGCTGTGGAAGGTTGTCACGAGGTGAAAATACATCCGCTATAGTCCTCGACTTCCCCTTATCCGAATCCAAGTTTTTAATATTGAATGGAATGACTTTGGATGTAGTAATGCCGTTTGGCAGTGCTGCTTCATTGATTGTGGCTTGTATGCCCACAGCGGTTGGTTTAGCTGGATTGTGAGAGTCGGGTTCTGCGTTGATTGGATGTTGCAGACTAGAAAACAAATGCCTTCCACGGGGCGGATTCCCAAAGAGGGCCAGAACCATTTTGTCCTCCCGATCGTGTGTCTTTTTGCTATTCTCCTTGTTCTGGGATGCATTCTTCTGAAGCTCTGGAGACTCACACTTTACAATGGAGGTTCCTTGGAAAGGGTTGCGAAGAATGAAATTGTCCAAATGTTTTTTAAATATGCGCGAAAGGTTGACTAACTCGGTCGACGAACGAAAATTTTCCAGCCTATTTGCAGTAGCTTCAGACTCATGCCGTCGTTGCACAATTCGAACGGAGGCAGCCTCAACGTCATCGACTACCTCCTGGATAGTCTTGTATTGCGCCGCAATGATTTTGGACTCTATTGTTTGCGAGTCGGCTGTGGCATCTGATAACTTCGCGCGTTTACTATCAGGTTCGACGGGGGAGTTTGGAGGAAGGGGAAATTTCAGAATACCAAGATCTGAATCATATCTGTATTATCGAGATTAGAAACAAAACCCGAGACTAGTCTTTGGGAGTAGCGGCAAAGGGGAGTTCACTGGCACTCACTTTTCTAGAACCTGAAGGAGATCCTTCAAGGTTTGGTGGAGAGGCTCTTTTTTTGAAATGCTGGATAGATTAGGGGTGTCAACGCAATTGGGGGGTTCGTCGCCGGGACTGGAGACGCGTTTTCGCTTTCCTGGGGTTGGGGAAGAAAGTGAATCCGAGTTTAATTGCGGAAGAATAGGTAGTCCGTTTGTTGTCGCAGTTGCGACCGGATCATTAGCCTCCATGCTTGTTCAGACTTGTTCTTGTGGATCAAACTCCCAGAGGGATGAGGGAGTCAACAGTTGTATCCAACTGCGCAAGTTTTCGCCTGCTTGTAGAGGCCAGAGAACGCAAATACAAAACGAGTCTCCGATAGCATCTAACGCGATCGTTCACACGCAGGTTGCGACACTCGAGAAGCTCCGGCTATCCAGCTAAGGCTTTCAGCGTATCGGATCGACGGAGGCACGCCAGGCTTTTGCGAAATTAGTCTGGCATGCAGGGGAAGAGAGACGTGACAGGATGCCAAAGAGCAGCAATGAAGCACACACAAGTACCTGCACAAGAAGAGTGCAATATACTGACCAGCGGACAGCAGAACCACGGATGATATCGTCACCAGAAAAGTCCTAGGGTAGGGTGTTGGATGGTTGAATAAACCAGATGTTGTGTTCTTCTGGCGGCGGCGATTCAGGAACCCCATGGTGATTTTAAGCTTTGCACGTGACCAGGCGGTCAGAAATGGATTTTCCACTATGCTGACTAAACATAAATATATCCCATTCCAATGATTGGCGAGAACTTTATTTCAAGGGATATTTCTCCGTCTTTTCTTCCTTGCTTGGGGATATTCAATACAAACTAAATCAATTAACCGGTCAGGCAATTAATTGCATGACAGGAGAAGGTAATTTGGGGAGCTGTCATTTTTTATTGATGCGGAATTGCCGTGCTGTTTATTTCCAGCTCCCCTATTCCGTCCTCGGTTCCCATATAACAGACATTTTTACGGTGATATCGATGGATGTCCTCCATTAGCACCCGCGTTCTAAACCGACTGGCAAGCTATCGGTCTAGTCGAGCGGCCCATAGCCTTCCTTCATTGCCACTGCTACAGGTATGCGCTTATCACCCTGAACAATCCTTAATAGACCTTGATCTCATACCTACATAGGATGGACTTCCCAATTTCACTGCGCTGCGGAAACATGACCATAACATCACCACTGTTAGGTCTACCCATTCCGAGTCTACTCTTACATCGTCCCATAATGGTCGCGAGGTGGATTTCAGCTTCACTATCCGCAGGATACCCACTACGCCAGAAGAGAAAATCCGGGCCAAGAAGAAGCTCAGAAAGACTCCTTCAGAGCAGGTGCACTTAGTGACTCCTTCAGAGTACCTGATATCCGTAATGGAAACTTACCGATACAACGTCGGCATTACGAAGCCGAAGCAAAAGCGGGTGGACCTTTCACACTGCAACCCCAGCGCCGTAACCTGTTTCTATAGAGGGCCTCCACGAAAGGTAGAGGACGGGATCCTTCAAGTTCTTAAGCCACGTCTAGCCTGCACGACCGTAGTAGCGGACTATCTACGATATGTTTATCCATTGCTGAATTTGGAACCCCTCGAGGGCTTACCCAGGCAGACATATGAAAAAGCCTTGGATGACGCTCTTCGCTCAACTTTCGATGACAAATCACTCCAATATTTATCGAACCGGGGTTATTCAGTAGGTGACGTGATGACTTGGGCATGGATCCTTACCTCCTCCAGTCCACTGCAGGCCGCTATGCGCTACAGGGTTTTTGAAAAGCAAGTTGTTGATAAGCATTTGGACGGCTCTAGAGTTCCCTTTTTCGTGTTGCTTTTCACTCTCCGCCGGAAGCACATATGTGCGAGAGCTTTCAGGATCCTATTCTTCCAAACTTGGGATACAATAAATGATAGCTCCTCTGCGAAACCTCTTACTGTGGAGTCAGGCCTCAGAAAGCTCCGTGCACCTTCTTCCAATAGAAATTTTACCTGGCATCGATCCGGAGATGACAACACTATTATGATTCTTGCTGTGCGTCTGCTGCGTCTTGCTCGAGAAGTATGGCCCCAAGCCTTGCCCTCTGTAGCCGCTCTGTTTACCAAGACACTTGGATCTACCTCTGTCGAGATGATAGTGGGCGAGGCCTATGACAAAAAGATTCGACTGCTGACTCAGTATTATAACAAACTCATTTCTCTTTTGGCAATTCCATGTCGACTGAATCCGTACCACTCAGTTGTATTTCAACAGCGTGCTCAGTTTCAGCTGTTGAGGGCAATGTCAAATTTTAGCCCTCCCTTGCCTGTTACTAGAGAAGGGTATCGAGCAATTACTACCGTACAGCTTGCTCAAAAGAAAACAATGTTGGAGCGCCAATGGGCGGATTTTAAAGCCCAATCATGGCCGCCGTGGAAAGAGGAAAAGCTTGGAATTGATTTCGAGAGGGATAACGTGGGCAGCGAGAGTAAGGCGCTGAAGTCTATTTTCCATATGAGGGAAGCTGGGTATGGGATGACGAAATGGGAACAAACTGCCACCATTTATGCCGGGTGGGACACGGATAGGTCACCAACAATCCAGACAAGAACCTTTCTTCCAAAGCCGTGCTATTTTCGGATTTTACCTTCCTCAGCACAAATTCCGGAGAACCCTTCTCCAAGAACTGATGCGACCAAGTCTGGAGACAAGGAGGTGTCTCTGAACGTCTGGTCTGCTCGGATCCGCGCTACACGAACGCTAAAGGAGGCGTGGGCATGTTTCCTGTCCTACCAGGACAACGGACTCCCCCCTCACAGGGATATATACTTCTCAATGGCCGAAAAAATCATCTTTTACGACCTTTCTCAAAATCCCAATTCGAAGCTCTCAACTGAGGCTCTACCAGGTGATGGAATGGAAGTATTCCCCGAGCCTTCTTCTCCACAGGACGTCATCTATGTCCATTCTGAACCTCCCTCATTGGATGTCTTGCTTCACCAAATGTTCTCACATGACCTCAAACCGTCGGGGAAATTCCTCATCCTCCTTCTTGTCCATTCAAAGTCTCTTGAGGCAGGTGTAGAATACCTACTTCATAGCTGCCTACCCTACGAGCAAAAATATGCACTTGTCTCCGGCCTCCTATGTGGTCGACTAGAGAACGAAGTTTTCCTTGCTGATGTTCCGGACGATATCTTTGCGGCGTTCATACGACTTCTTTGTAAATTCTCGGCGTTGGGCGAGTCGTCCGCAAGGGATACAACCACACCTATGCGGCATCTATTCCCTATTTTATTTTTTCTGAAAGAAGAAAGCAAACTCTCAGCTCCAAACCCTAATCAGTCCACCGAGACTGAGCAGTTTCATCACTACAGAGCGCTCACACACGCTGTCCGGCTGATGAAATCGAGGATGACGCGATATCTCCCAGCGTGGAATAACCTCTTGTTGGCCTTGGGTAAAGAGAGAGTTCATTTCACTAGCCACAAATTCTCTCTCTCAATGCAACTTGTCATATCTTGGTGGGAGATTTCCCATGTTGTTGAATGGATGCGTGATGCAAATATTCCCATTGAGAACCGGAGCCTCGAAATTCTTTGCTCTACCCTTTCAAGGATGATTTTGGCAGCCAGACAAGACATTGAAGGAGCTGAACGTGGCTTGAGAATCATCGAAGACGTCACTCGACAAACAGGCAGGTCTGCAGATTTGCTGTCTTATTCAACAATCCATGAGATGGTCCAGCAAGGCATAGCTTTCCTTAAGCGCCAGTTTAAGTTTATTGAGGTGACGAAAGTGGAGAAAGTCCTGTCATCATTAAGGTCGCTTGATGAAAATACTACCGATGATCCACGCGTGGCATTACCGATCGTATATGAATATACTGCACCGTCTCTGCTGCACGCTTACGCTCGCGCTCTTGGCCTTGCCCAAGACCTCTGTGGGTTGCTGGCCCTTCTCCGTTGGATGAGGGAACGTGAATCTGAGTTGATTTTAGCCTCTGATGAACGCATGGGGGGCAAGAGACTGATACGTCGAACCGTTGTGGCCATCAGATTGTTTCTGGACTGCCAATTGGAGCGAAAACCTGGTGTATCCGAACCCGGGTCTGCGAACACATTTCCTGCTTCAAAACCGCCGACCTTCGGCTACGGGAAACATTCTAAAGAGGGCCCAAATATTGCTGGAGGCGCTCAAGGGACAATGATCTTTGAAGATCCCATTACCCAGGAAGCATACAACATCATTGAGAGTACGGAGCTCTTGTCGCCTTGGCCGGCGGATGAAGAAGTTCGGGAATATGAGGCTATTCTACGTAAATCCCGGAGATGATAGACATTTTTTGTAAAATATATTTGTACATTTATGCTTATACCCATTTTTCTTCTTTGTATGTCTAAAGATTTTTCTGCCTATAGATTTTCAGCGAATTATAAGAATCATTGCAACTGGTACATCCAGCAGACAATATTCAACGTATTAGCAGTGTCTTCTTTTTTTCCCCTCTTATTAAACATGTCTAGGTTAAGACATAGAATCAAAGGCAGTAACAGCATTAGCCATACTGGGTGTAATGTGCAGTACCAATCATCATCATCATCACTTGGGTTCGGTGATTGCTCCCAGCAGCGCCAAGAGACAGCTAAATACTCCGCAGAAGCGGGCGGCATTCAGCTAATCCCGAGACCAGCGACGACCAACGCCGATACAACGACCCTCAATTGATTTCCTCACACCTTCAACACCCTTAACCCTACATTTATTTATTTATTTATTTATTTATTTATTTATATTATTGTTTTGTTTAATCCCCTCTGATCCTCATCTAATATTATGTCTCGCCGCCTCCTCCCCTCTCCAATTTCGCTGAGACGGGTCGCCCTTATCCAAGTCCGCCACAACAGCACTATTGTCGGCACCAGCGCGAAAGGGTCGGTAATCAATGTCCAGCAGATCCCCGCGCCAGGAGCAGGGCATATCCGAGTGCTTCTATTGAATAGACCAGAAGCCCGAAATGCTATTTCGCGCCAGCTACTGGACAGCTTGACCAAGCATGTCAACTCGGTTGAGGCTGAACAAGGGGATGGGCCGACACGAGCATTGATTCTCGCTAGCAATGTGGATGCGTCATTTTGCGCTGGGGCAGACTTGAAAGAACGGGCGGGGTTTACAAGACAAGAGTAAAGAAAAATATATTTTTATTTTTATTTTTATTATTATTATTATTGTTTGGATTCTCCCTCCCCCGGGTCCTGTCTTCCGATAATCTTCTTACCCGCTCAGTTGAGCTCGTGGCTTTCGTGATTTACTTTTAGCTGTACTTGATTGTTGCTGGCAGTTGTATGAATATATGAATGTCTTGACACTAACCGCCCAACCCACCGTCGTCGGTGTAAATTGTTTACTAAGAACCGAAGCATTCCTTGCCCAACTCCGTCAAACGTTCGCCAGCCTTGCTGCCCTTCCAATCCCCACAATCTCAGCCATCTCCTCCATGGCTTTAGGAGGCGGACTCGAGCTCTCCCTGACCACCAACCTCCGCGTCTTCAGTTCAACAAGCATCGTCGGCCTGCCTGAAACCCGACTGGCCATCATCCCTGGTGCGGGAGGCACCTACCGACTGCCCAGACTCATTGGCGAAAACCGGGCACTGGATATGATCCTCTCCGGTCGCAGAGTCAGTGGCGCAGAGGCATACTTTCTCGGACTCTGTAACCGGTTAGTGGAGATCACCCCGGAGGAAGGTGCGAAGCCAGGCGCTGCGAGGGAGAAAGTTCTGCAGGAGAGCATCAAGCTCGCTCTAGATATCTGTGAGGGCGGTCCGATTGCGTTGAGGCAAGCCCTGAAGGCGGTCCGTGGGTTCGAGAAGGGCGCAGAAGCGGAGAACGAGGCATATTTGGGCGTTGTGGAGACGGAGGATCGGTTTGAGGCGCTCAAGGCCTTTGCGGAAAAGAGGAAGCCTTACTTTAAGGGCAGGTGATGTGATTGTACGGGATATGCGTAACTATACGAAAATTGTCCATCTGGAGAGTATTTGGTGGCGAGAGGAACAGGGGCTTGTTCGCTTTTTCTTCACTTTCTTAATATCAACCGTGTATATTATTTGCTTGATTTCTATATTTGTATCTTCTGGCCAACCCGCCCGTTTTGCGGTTCACACGTGCTCTTTTATTGTGTGTGCTATATTTGTATCATCTGGGATCTAACAACACGTGCGAGATATCGATGCAAAGGAACAATGATATTTATTTGCCATCGTCATGGATTGTTGTCTATTTTCCCTATAGCTCACCTTCGCTCAAATTCTACTATGATATGACTCAACGGCGATTCTCTTCAACCGATTCAGCGTCATAAGAAACCACCCAGGCTGCAAGAGTCATTTTACAGAGTAGATTGAGGTAAATAACACAGATGGGCAATGCTGTAGTTAAAACGTCAGTTAAAACTGCCTGGCCTCTATTTGTTTTACTTCTGTTTAATATTTTTTCCTTCTCTGGCACATCTTTTTACAGGTTGACTCGACCACCTCCTCTTCCAGATGCTTCCCCATAACATAATGATTGCTGGGCTTACAGAAGCTCGATATTTCCAATAGCCTCTCCTGACGACGATCTTCCCCACCCAACACCGACGCTGTGACCAGAGGGATTTTTTTTTTTTTTTTTTTTTTTCTATTGTACTGAAGATTCAAGGTGGTCTGTAATCAGGGGAAGTTGGCAAAGGGATGAATGTTTGCTTCTCGCAGGATGGTTGTTCAAACCAATCGGGGACAAATTTAGTTAGAGACGGTCCTCCCCATGGTCGTTTTCATTTATGCAACAAGGGCCCCGTCTAATGCAGGAACTCGATTTCTGCTGTTAACAAGTAGTTAGGGGTGAAATTAGCGTTTGCAGATATTTACTCTCGCTCTAACGAGCTGCTTTTCTGTGCCGTCTACAGAGATCTGCGTGGCTCGTCGTTACATTGTGGCTTAGGTCTGTCTGATCCTCTGGGATAGTTCATTTTTTCCACAAGAAGAAACGCACCAAGAGCTCGCCCTTGAATAGCTGGGCTTTGTACAGCATTAAATTATTCAAAAATGCGTGTTACCCTGTGTGGACACGTAGAGAGTAGTTTAAAACCAAATAGGTTGCTCTCTGGCGGCTGAGGAAGTTCCTGTCCTGCTGTGTTGCTGAGAGCTTGTACTTAATATCCTTAGCCGTGACACCGATGTTGGACACAACGGTAAGAAGGGGTTGCTCTGAAAGGAGTATCCCTGGTATTATGAGACCCTTAAAATAGCCTTCAGGGTGCTCGTGCGGCCGTTGATAACTATCTAACAGGATCTGTCACCCTTGCCTCCGTGATGGATTTTTAGAAAGTCCGTCGTGTAGTCAGCAAAAATCACCTCCGCTGTTTAATGGCGAACCATAACCAATAACTATAGCTAGCTAGTCAGATAGTTTAAAATAAAGTTAACATTATTTAGTGAGATCGAAACTTCGCAGGGCGATAAGACCCATATCCCCTGCGTGGTTAGGTATGAGATCTCTCGCGCGCTGTGTCAAGATAGGTGACAGCTTCGGCCAACGGGTTCCCGCAAAGCTTCCGCGTAATCCTTGGGTCTGATCCGTCGGGGGGGAGCCTAGGCAGCATCGAGTTCGGCAGGGAAATTTGGGAGGGATCAGGTTCTATTTTAGACCGGGAGCGCAGGGCTTCTCTTCAGGACCCCACTAGCCGATTCGCCCCATGGCTGTACTCTTGGCACCTTGCCTGCCCGCCCTCTGAAAGAGCCTCGCAAAGTTAGCAAGCGAAACAACCAACCTGGCCATGGCTTGTAACCAGCTAGTCGAAAAAACTCCTGCAGACCTCACTGAATTAGACCAGGCCCCCAAAAAACGGGACCCAGCGATTTCAGCGCAGGCAAGGCCCACCCCATTCGTAATGTTGTCTGTTTTCTGTTTTCTGTTCTCTGTGAGAAGCGGTTGGACCCGCGGTAGCGTCAAGAATTAACTATCCAACCCGACCACAACAACGCCCGAACACAGTAAACCAATAATAAATAGCAACGGCCCAATGCGAAATAAAAGGCAGGCAAACCAAATAACATTCATTGCCTGCGATAAAAGGAACAGCCCTACCGAAGTAGCGTGACTTCCTGCCGGGTGGTTTGCAGCCTTTTAACCAGAGCCGAACGGGCCTGCCTAGCTACTCTACTACCCCAGCTGGCTAGCTACCTTAGCTTGTAGACAGCCAGACAGCGCCAGCCAGACAGCGCCAGCCAGACAGCGCCAGCCAGACAGCCAGCCAGCCAGACAGCCAGCCAGCCAGCCACCTTTACATCATCTCCGATTCCACTCATCAGTATCCGCTCACGCTCACGAGACCGGGGAGTCAGCCAGCCCAGCCCGGTCAGGGCTTGCCAGGCAAACAAACTATAGATAGCTACAGCCTAACAGTGATTCGATTCCCTGGGTTTTTGCTTCTTCCCCCCCCCTCACTAACTGTCCCCTCCCGCTTGCTCTTTTTCCTCTCTTCGCTTGGCTTGCCTTCTTCCCCAGCCCAACCCCGTAATATATTATTACCTCCACTGGTTAGAGTCATAGAAACCATCGCTATCTATTCACTCAACGTCTAACCTTCCTCCCTCTACAACCCCCACCCCCTTTCTCCCTATTGTTGTCTGCAGCCCAGATTATTCCAGACATAGATATATATATATGTGGGGATGACCCCCCGAGTCATTCGTGGACTCCTTACAAACCCCCATGAATGTGACCAACTCTTAAGCAGCAGCTATGACCACTGCAACTGCAAAACGGTTCGACATCAACCAGTATGGCTTGACGGAAGTGTACCGTTGCCCCGAACCCCAGGTACCACAGGTTGAGTAAGTCGTGCTCCTTCATTTTCATTTTTTTTATTTAATTTATTTAATTTATTTATTTATCTTTTATTTTATTTAATTTATTTTCTAATTTATTTTCTTTTTTATTTTCTATTCTATTTTATTTATTTTTTTTTTGTCCTTCCGTTTGTGCCTAGTACTGCACATATAACTGACATGATATCTCTTTGATATATAGCATCGTGTTCGTTCATGGCCTGAATGGTGCTTCCTATAGTACATGGGCAACTAAGAAACCTGAAGTTTTCTGGCCCGGTGATCTCCTTCCTCGAACCCTTAAAGGCCTCAATGTTCGGATCTTAACGTATGGATATGATGCAAATGTGGCTTCGTTCGCAAAGGGGACGTCGAGGGAGAGACTGCATAACCATGCTGAGCATTTGGCCGCCCAACTCCTCGCCAATAGGAATGTGAGTTTTGCTGTGATACCTGAAGGGCAGCCAGGTAGAGTACAGAAGAGAGATGTACATGCATGCGCCCATGTTTTGGGCCGATATGCTTGTATATTCTCTCGGTTGTATGAGAAAGTGAAAAGTGTTCCGGCAAGGCGCTGATTAGAGGGAATAATACATAGTTGCAACGTGCGCTTGAACGACCCATCATCTTCGTATGCCACTCACTGGGTGGCATCGTGGTGAAGAGGACCCTCCTCCACTGCGAACATCTCAGACACCCCAAGACACAGCACATCCGGTCAACATATGTGTCGACATATGCCATCCTGTTCATGGGTACTCCCCACAACGGCTCTGATCTGGCAAATCTAGGTACTTCAATACAATCCATATTCAACTTGGTGCCGAAAAAGTTCTTCGATACGACTCCCAACCTGCTAAAAACCCTCAGACCTGACAATGAAATTTTGCAAAATGTTAACCGTCAGTTTGCCGAGATCATGGGCAGGTTTCGTATTTACTTCTTCCACGAGTCCAAGCCAATGGATCTGAAAGGCACCCGAAGGTTTATCGTGGAGGAGTCCTCTGCTGCTCCGATCATCGAAGGGGTAGAGCGTATGGGTATCGAGGCGGACCATAGTGCCATGTGTCGGTTCGAAACTGCAAAATCCCCTGGCTATGAAGCGGTGGCAGAGGCTATCCTGCGTTACGCGACAGAGGCACCAGCTGAAATCGCGAATAGATGGGTGCAAGAACATAGGGCTCGAAGGAATAATATGAGAGATGAAGCTGAGCGGCTTCGTAAGTGACATTTTCCTTCTTCCTATTTTTGGCTGGGGTTCTTAGAAAAATAAAAACCCCCTTGGGAAGCCGTTGCTTCGGATTCTAACTTTTACCACCAGTGATCATGGATGACCCTCTGCGGCAAAGCCTATCGTCTCTCCACACTGAAAGAATAGATTCTCTTGGTAGGATACGCCCCTCTAATTGAAGACCCGTTTCCCCTTCACAAACTTATCTTCGCCCTCAATCTATGTGCTTGCACCCTCACTTCCGCTCGGTAATGTGCTCGACTGTATCAGCCTGCTAACAAGTGGCTTATATAGGCAATTCATTATCCTCACTGCACGCTGGACAGAATTCAGAGTTTCTGGCGCTTACCAAATCACAATTGATGTCCAGTACTGAGCTCCCTCCTCCCCAGCTCAACGGAGACCCTCTCCTTGTTGCACCTCCTGGCTTTCATCCGAACTGGGTATTCTTTGGCATGGAAAAGGAATTGGAAGAACTGCATAATCGGCTGTTTAGGGTAAGGAGACGAGCAGAGGATGTGGTTTCGGTTCTCATTTATGGTGGGTCAGGATCAGGAAAGTCCCATCTAGCCCGCCAGTATGTCTTCAATCACCGTGCGGCGTATACGGGCGGCATCTTCTGGATCGATGCCAGGTCCAGGGAATCGTGTTGCCAATGCTTTTGGGACATTGCTGAAAGACTGTCCGCAACCCAAGAGAAAGAGTCCCAAGATCCAGACTGGCATGACCGGGACAAATACATCGGCAAGGTCCTGAGGTGGTTTGCCTCGAAACAAAACTGGCTTGTAATCTTCGACGGACTCTCCTGCGATGACGACGACGAAATCAACGAGTTCAAAAAGTTCATTCCATACAACACAAATTCAAGCATAATATATACCTCTGTCGATCGCACCTTGAGGAAAAAGCAAAGGCTGTTCGAACCTTTCGGTCTCAAAGTTAGACCTCTGTCAGTCGAAAATGCCCGAAATCTCCTTTTCAAGGATCTTGGCATCAAACAACCGACATCAGAGCAGATGCGAAAGGCGACGGAGTTGGTGGAACATTTTGAATGTTTACCATTGGCAATCCACGCTATAGGTCATCGACTCAGTGCTACTGGAAAGTCATTAGAAAAGTATCGTATCAAGCCTCAAACTACCGACAAACGGCTTGCCGAACCATACCGTGGAATCATGGCTGACCTACAAAACAATAACCACCTGGAAGCTGTCAACTTGATTACGATTCTCTCCTTCTTCGGACACGATGTTCCTGTTGGCATGATCTATTTAGGCAGGAAAGCTCTTGCTGATTGTGGTGTTGAAATTCGCTCACTTGAGGAGGATGGGAATCACGGAAGGCATATAGACAACACCTTCGCCATCCTTATCAGATACGGTTTGATCGATCGCTTACTCGATCCTTATGTCTCGGTTGAACGAGGACCCACTACCCGACGCAGTACGGAATTTTCCGACAACCAAACCTTCTCAGAACTAGAAAGTTCTCAAGCAAGCGGGAGCCAAAACACGTCATCTCTCACTGCTAATAGCTCAATTGATGTAGTGAAAATACACACCGTTGTACAAGCGTTTTTCCGTGATGAACTCTTGCGACTGGGAGTTGGGGCTTTTGCCTGGTGGCTTGTTGTTGCGACAAGACTCCTTTGCTTGTCATATGCCAACGCTGTCTCTAGGATCAAAACGCAGAATTCCCCTGGTCTCGTGAAGGATTTTGGAGAGTATGAAACTCACGCAAGTGTCCTTCTGGGCCACTTTAAGCAACTTCGACCTTACAAGGGAAACCCAGATCTTCCCCCTGATTTGAATTCTCTCAGTCACGCTCTTGTTCAGGTCAGGAAGGATATATCTGAGGAAATCAAACACAGGTCCCCCGAGACATCGCAAGAGTTCATCAAGCAACAAAAGTCGATCTTCGATCGAAGCAGCAGCATATCCTCCATGGCTGATACACCAAACAGCGCATCGTCCCTATTTTCCTGGGAGATGGATGTGGACCAAGACAAGGACCATTCGCCAATCGAATTCCTGTCGTCTCGTCCATTGCTGCAGCGATTTCCGTCTGACCATTTACCATTACCTCCTGCGGAGGATCCGGGCGATGAATCTGAACTAGAGGATAGTCGGATGGCTCCCGCGATATCTCCTATTCTTTCCCAAACCACGGAGGTACCTGAATCCACTGCGACCGAACAAGATGAGGATGGCTGGAAGGTTGTTGCGAAAGCTTCCAAACCCAAGGATTGTAGACTAATTGGCATAGTGACACGCCGCTTAGGGATAAGAAGAGTTCGTGGCCAAAGAAATCTGGGAAGTTATAGGCCGGTTGACCCCGTTGTGTCAGTTTCCTGTGTTCATGGTCAAGGGTCTTCCAGTCGTCCTCAAGATGTTCCTGGACCCAATCACGATTCGGCCAAATCCGACGCTGAGGCATCCCTTGCTGCGGTGCATCATGCTAGCACACCTCCAAGTCGCGGTGGGGGAGTAAGGAATATAAACCCAAAATTAACACAGAAGGAGAACTACCCAACATATGCAAACGTGCTCGCAGGAAAACGTCCGAATGCCCCTTCATCATCTACGCACTCCTCTCCATCACTGGGATGGGGGTCAGAAACTAATAAACCTGCTGAGGACCATGCTTTAATTCGTCCCGGAAGCTTCCCATCACAGGGTGGCTGGTCGCCCAGGTCCTCATCTGATAAATTGACCAATTCGTATCTCAGTGAGTTAGGGATGGGATCGACCTTGAAATCTCCGGACAACGATCGCGTTCCGACACCGCCATTGCGGTTCCATTCCCGTCACCCGTCCAGGTCTTCAGAAGGTTCAAGCGGACACGTTCTAGGTCTTCATGATCCAGTTCCGCAGCAGTATTTAGCAGCAACCGGCAGTCCTCCCCTGCCGTACGATGGCGATATAACCATAAGCAGGCCACGATACACAAGCTTCGTTATCCCGCCTCACAACACACACGGCCTGGGGGTTGCTCCAAATTATAATAACGGGATTCAAGTTGCTCCTACCTGGCAACAAATGCCGGGAGGCTATTCATCGCAGCCCATGTCTAGAAATATTTCCGCTCAGTCTGATCAATCGCTCTATACAGAACCAGCCAGGATACCACTTAAGTATTCCCCAGGTCCAAGGCAAAGAGGTTCCTCGCCTCTTCCTAACTTTGCTCGTACCAAAGCTCCTGGGCTCGACACCCGCTCTCCTCAAATAATGTTCGGACGAGGTGGCGGAATAGCAATCACTTCTCCCCCGACCACACCAACCTCCTTCGACGCCGCCATGATGTCCCGTGTATCTTCAGGACCAGGAATGATGGTCGACTCTGGGGACGGGATGACCCGAAGCTTCGTGGAATTCAGTCATCACCCCGCGACACAGTATATCCGGTTCGGAGAGCACGAACCCATAAGTGTGGTGGAGGCCCGTGTGCGATCAGGGCGCTTTGCAAGGCAGTTCCAACCCGGGCAAAGTATTGAGAGTACCCGTACGAATTTCTCCGGCAGCCCCCCTCCTCCCTACCCTAGCCAGAACCTGATGCCAAGTGCAAGTGATGATGACCATCTTCAATGGATGATCCGCAACCCGCTGGACAATATTGAGAATCTCCAGCACAATCCACGATTCAGAAGCGGGAGCTCTCCTGCTAGACCGAATATTGATGGCTATCCCCGGCGCCAATGATTTTGTTTCTGTTATTGTTAATATTTCATTTTCCCATTTCTGCGTTGTTCGCTGCTTTCCGGCTTGTGTTTTCGGCGTCATGTCGAATTGCGTGTCGTACTTATATATCCCTATCATTCCCCATCCTCATTTTTATGCTCCGTGTGTGCGCATGTCCGTGTGCGTGTTCTTATTTCGGCCATAATCGTTCAAGGTGATTGGACTCTGAAGATATCCATTATGGTAAAGCTATTGTTTCCGTGATATAACCAAGAGCAAAGCTGTGGAGGTTTTATTTTGCATTTGACGGTGTCATAATGCCTTGCTATATGAAGAGATGGGAGAAATAGGAGCTAATGATAAGACACTGCGTTGGGCGTTTGTCCAGGTTTGAGGGCCGGGTAATAATGGAAACGGGGGAATGAGAGGGTATGGACCAGTATCGCATTGACCGTGTTTTTATTATTTATTATTTATTTTACCTTTCTTTCTTCCTTCAGTACCATCTCATGTAGTTTTAGGTGTTAAGAGGTGAAAGTGTTTCTTTTTCTTTCACTTCGAGTTTTTTTTTCTTTTGTTAAATTTCATATTTTTCGGAAATTTATTGCTTAATTCAGCTTAGATTATAGATGTACAGTATAGATGTGATTAAGAATTGAATATTTCCCATATCCCTTCAACCTGCCGATTGACTACATCGATCTCCGTTGACTAGATGATATCACTGGAACAGCTTTTCCATATCTCGGTTGATTCTCTGGGTTTTGGTCGGCAAGAATGGTAAGATGACGTCACATCGAAGCTTGTTCAGGAGAACAAGCAGAGCTCAAAACCTGTGGATATATATAAGTTGCGGAACTTCTTACCTGTGACAACTCCATCCTATAATTATTGTTCTATCCAAGCACCCGAAAGGAAGTTATTTTACGCATCATCATCTCCATCAGATCACAATTCTGCCCAGACCCCCAAGTATTTACGAAATCATACACACTTTGATAATCTTGCCTTGACCTTTAAAAGAGGAAAGGGGTTTGTTTGTCAAAGTCAAGTCAGTGACAATCTCCAATTTATCTAATATATAATCAGAAAAAGGGGTGAATATACATGTCCGTCCCGTCCGACAGCAGCGTTCTCATGAAACATCAGAAAGGGAGTTTGCTAAAGAATCCGTCTCGAACACAGAGCAGAACCCGCCCCCCTTTGAACATACGAATCCCCACATCAAGAAATCACCTCCCCCCCCCCCCCCCCAATCAGCATGTCAACTTTCATTACCCGCACGGCTCCCGTCACAAGAGCCATCGCTATCCCCTTTCGAACCTCCAGCGCTGCAGCTTGTAGGCCAGCTCTCTTCTCCACATCAGCCAGGCGGCAGGAGAAAGGGCCCATCGAGGCCACCAAGGAAACATTGAGGAAGGCAGACCGATTGGTTTCAGATGCTGCTCTGAAGGGAATTGAGACAGGCAGTACGTAGCACTTCTGGCTGAAATTTCTCTATTTCCCACTCCTCTCCACTGTTTTGCTTTAGCGTTTCCTCCCCCAGCTTGATGCCATGAGAGCTATTTGTATGAGAAGCTTCCTCATACACGCACGGGGATGATGCTGACTAGAACCATTCGAGAACAGAAATAGCAAGCCACAAAATCAAGGATGCAATCGGTATCAAATCAAAAAAGGTTGAGGGAGAGGCGAAGAAGGTTGCAAGAGACGTGGAAGACAAGGCTGGCTCCCTCAAAGACGAGGCAGAAGACAAGGCAGCCTATCTCAAAGAGAAGGCGAAAGAGGAAGCGGAAGAGTGGACAGGTAAAGCATAATTATGCTTTTTGCTGATAGCGGGTCAGGTTGACGATTTGATTTCTCTATAAAAAAGAGAAGTTGTTGTGGCTTGAGGACGATTTGGCTGGTCCCTCCTGTCTGGAGAAAACAAACTGTGGGCAATCCATTGCATGTGTGGACAGCGTTTGTAGCACCATTGTGTTTTTATCATCGTATGTTGTGTTCCTTTGATGAGATGATGGATCCAGACTGTACATATTCTATGTTCGTTTCCCTGTTTAGGAACCGCAGCATTTAATGGCTTAAATTGACTTGAATATATGCTGCATACATTGATCATCGACCGGATGGAGGGAGCATGAGAACATATTCTCTCGTGCTAAATCCAAATTTCAAAACATCTTTATCCATAAGTTCCATATAACGGCCCGTGGGGGAGAGTTCGCCATTTACAGTAGAACCATTAGCGCTTTCCAAGTCAATCAGGTAAGGTCGAACCCGTCCATCCCTATCGCCATACTCATTCCGCTTCTCAACATAGCGGAACTGGAGCGCAGCGTGCTGTTTGGAGCAGCTTGGATGGTCGACGGGTAGGTCGACAACCAATCTTTCCCTCCCGATTAACCAACAACTTCTTCCTCCCAGTGGTATAGTTTCAAGTAGGTCCTCCCCTTTAAATACGTAGAGGCGCCACGGATCCCTTGCAGGTGGCTTTCGAGCTTCGGGAGGTTCGTGGTATTTAAGGACAACGGAGGTCAAGCCATCAGTTGATTTAACTGTGTTGGTCTCCGCAGCTAAAAGACCGGTGTTGGCAAAGTTCGGTTTTTCCTTTTCTGGAAGTGTTGTGGAAGTCATTGATGTCGCGTCAATGGGGGTTTTGGAGAAGGTGTCTTTCTGAGATGGGAGCGGATTCTTCGATCGTCTGGAAAATCTGGGAGACAGGCTCCGCGATCTTTGGCGTGGAGGGGATCGTGCCCTTGAGCTTGACACGCTACGTTGACTCTTAGAAGGCCTATCCCCGTCATCATACTCACCCCTATTCCTCGGTCGTCTCTGGTGTGCGCTGCTCCTCGAATTGTCTCTTCGTCTTGTCGTGTCATCGTAGCCTCTGGACCTGCTCCTTCGACGGTAGGATCTATGCTCTCTCCGGGGCGATCTGGTCGGGCTTCGAGAGTGCCATCTACTGTATTTCACATCCGATCGATCATCTTTGAATCTCCTGCAGTAACTATCGTCATCATCATCTTTAGCCCTTCTGGAATATGCGTGAACAGGTGAATGTGAAGTGCTTAAACGCCGTCGGCGATCCCGCACGTTTTCTTCGTATCTGGGCATTTTCAATCGAGACGCGCAATGACCGCTATAGCTGGGAGTCGAGAAACATCGGGAAGCAAGGAACACAGACCTATGACGACGTTTGGATAGATTCGATGAAAGGTTGATGCTGGACTCCGTTTGAACGGCGACGGAAATTCACTCGGCCCGTTGAGCCATGGCTTGGGGTGAGGGGAACAAACCAACAACTTTAACCACGCAAAACCATCATTGCGACATGTGGATGGTTTAAATACTCCCACCTACTACTAGTTCGAGCAGACTTCAATGACCGGTAACTATCTTTGCTAGCTGCTTCAATGGGAGCCAGCTAACTAAGCCAGTCAACCATGTTCAGAAAGCCATCTCTCCTTTGCTGCGGCGGCAGTTTACATCTTTTCGGACAGTGGCCAGTCGCCTCCGCCTTGCAGCCAACTTACATATCTCCGCCTCAACGAAAGCAGCCTCCCATACAGCAGTGCAGCAGAGGGTTTGCTCATGCCCACGACTCCTATCCATTTGGACTCGAGCATGATATGTCATGGCCGTCAAGCCCGACATTTACCCCCTACGATATATTCAAACTGTCCAAAGCCGAACCGTATTCCAAAAGACGATATTACGATCTTGTCAAAGTCTACCACCCGGACCGGAATAGCAACGACCATCCACTATGCAAGAACTTACCGGAATCCATGAGGCTGCACCGTTACAGACTGATTGTTGCTGCACATGAGATTCTGTCCGACCCGGTCAAGCGAGAGGCTTATGATCGGTACGGCTTTGGCTGGCACCAGCGTTCCGAACTCTTCGCTGAAAATATGGCTAAGAAATTGGACGTGCGATATGGAAGGAGCACAGATGTTGATGACTCCATATATCGAAATGCCACTTGGGAAGACTGGGAACGGTGGTATCGAAGACATGATCAAAACCAGAGCCAGGCCTCAACAGTTTCGCACAGCACATTTGCCTCATTCCTCGTTTTGTTGGTGCTTTTTGGTGGTCTGGGTCGGGCGGTATCCTTTGGGAATTTTCCGGGATCCGTCGAAGAACGAGTGAGAGAAGTCGATAAGAAATGCGTCAAGTTTCTGCACGGAAGGAGGCAGCAGACTATTGCCGAAATGAATTCGTTGGATGCTCGACTTCAGAGTTTCCTCATTAGGCGGGATCCATCTGGTTATGGACTGAAAGAAGATGAGGAGGAGACATATCAAAAGGTTTTTAGCCCTCATAAGTCGTCTAGTGCACTTGATATCATCGACAAGCCATTGCCATTGCCATCACCACCGCTATCGCAAGCAGCCGTGGAAATCAAAGTGGCCGACAGCTAAAGGGGCCTTGTGCATATAATTTGCAGTCCCTTGTACATACGTTATACACTTATTCTCATATATTTTGGGCTTTATTTTTTGATGCTTTGCATTTTCAGGCGTTTGTAACAAGATTGCATGTCTTCCCTAGATCATACCCCATCCTGAAATTTTACCCATTCAATGGAATTGATTTATTTTGAACTAATATCGCCCTTTTGGTAAACGTTTCCTTTTGTTTCCCATTTCCTACGATCAGATAGTGTCTGGAGTTCACCTTCAATGGGACTTTTTCCTGCTACATGACGTCTCAATGGCGTTTGTTTGTTCTAGAAATATAGTGTTCTGCTCCTGCAAAAGAAGTACGACTTGATAAAAGGTGCTCTTCCATTGCTCTGAAAAGTTCTGTGAGGGCATACGAAGATACAATACATCAGAAAACCCCGACTGCAACATACCAGCACAAACCGAGCCCGCCCCATGAAATAGCCCGAACTTTGACTATACGAACACGGAACCCTTCAAACACTCACTGTCCACCCGCTTACGCACGACAGACAAGACTTCTCAACGAACTCTGTGATTGAAAGGAATCTGCAAATTCCAGAATGGCCTGAAGATCTCCATGAGGAACTGTCCGATATATTTGGCAGCAGTGGAATTCTGGGAGCGGTGAAGAATAGAAATATGTATACGACTATGTGGAGCGAGTTGGATGTTTATGTCAATATCCGAGTTTTAACAGGCCAGTTTTGGATGGCACTGAATTCCCATGGCCGAGAATCTTGGATCCTTATGAATTTTGTAATTGCTAATGCAAACGGACAATCCTCAGTGTGAGAACAGAAAGCACTGTACCACACCTATATGTTAAGGAACAATCAATGAGGGAGAAGATTTGTTGACCTGGGGATAGACTTCTTTTTTTTCAGCAGAGAAGTCGAGTGAATTCATTCGTTTGAACTGCAATGATTACGAGCTAAAACAAAGGAATAATGCACTTCTCATATCTGATCCATTATGTTCTTATATTCCTGGGCAAAAATTGGAAGACATTCGAAGATCTCTGTGGAGACTTCTCCGACTCATCTGCATCAACGTATCAGCCCTTTTATTCTTTCTCACTGGAACCCCCATGATAGATATTCGTCTTGGCGAGTCCTTCGCCGTTGGTTAATTAACTTCCTTGGTTGTTCGCCAGCTGCAAAGACGCCGAGAGAGAAGGACTTCCAATATCAAATTGTCGACAAGCGGTACAGCTAGATCCTGCTCACGTTGCACAACAGCCTATGGGGTAGCCGTACCCAGTGGCATAGAGTTACTTATCCCAAGTCCTTGATGGCCAGACTTGATGTGCAAATTTTACGCGCCGTACCCCGCCCAATTGCCGCTAATTCCCCCGCTATTATTACCCCGCCAACAGTCCCATTGATAAGTTTGGTGCCATGATTTTGGAGATAAATCGCTCGTTCACGATTTCCCCAATAATTAGGAGGGACGTCGGTATGGCTCCCTCGTATTATTCGGGTATTTAGTTTCGGAAGAGTGTACACGAAGGATTTGCCTCAGCTCGCTCTAGAGCGTGGTGCAGAGTACCGGCAGCTGGAAGCGGGTGTCACCACTTCAAAATTGGAGGGGAAGAAGGTCCAAAATAAAATTGGATATTCTGGGTAGTGCTCATCATTGCGAATGAGAAGAGCCTATGACGACCCGGTGAACAAGACGAGAGAGAGGCGGGGGTGTTCGCCGATAGTTACCCCCTACAATATACCCTAGATGGGTGCAGAAACACTGGTTATCATATTTGCTTAAGTAGACCACTTTCCCCGCAAGTTGACGGCTTTGGGGATTTTCAGTTACTTTGGCCAAACCCACTCAGTATCATATCAACAGAGATTTAGTCTCAAATTTTTGATAAATCCCCAAAATTGTAACCACACCATTTGATGAAAGCTCAGCCATGTCAAACGGTGATGTGGATGTCATTTTTGTAGGCGGTAAGTTACTCTCCTAGGTCTCTAAAGCCCCCTTGGTACTCCTCTCAATAACTGTCTTGTTTAGGAGGAGCAGCGGGTCTGATTGCTGCTGGTCGCCTGGCTGAGGCTAAGGGGGACCTTTCGATACTTGTGATCGAGGCGGGTGCCAATTCACGAGATAACCCTGCTGTGGTCAATCCAGCATTATATCCTTCCCATCTCCAGCCGACATCGACCACAACGAAGTTCTACAAGTCAAAGCCGAATGAATACCTGGGAGGGCGAGAGGTGGTTGTCCCAATTGGCAACATTCTTGGTGGGGGCAGCTCGATAAATTTCATGGTCTATACCAGGGCCTCGGCGGTGGACTATGACGACTGGAACACAGAAGGTTGGACTGGGAAGGATATGTTACCGTTCCTTAAAAAGGTATCAATTTGATCCTGCCAACAGTCTCTCTGCTTATATGTTTGGCTCTGACCTTGAGGACTGATGCACTGTGCTGTTCCAGACTGAGCGATTCCAAGACGACGACCTCGAAGTAGATAAATCCCTCCACGGATATAACGGGCCGCTCAGTGTTTCAGCAGGGGGAACATTTGTGCAGGCGCCGTTCCAGAAGGCATTCTTCAATGCATGCGAGCAAATAGGTATTAAGAAGGTCGCGGATCTGCAGGATCTTAAGACGGCAAATGCAGTTGCCGTAAGTTAAATCCCACATGCTCCACTTGCGATATTTGCAAACTTTTGATAAATCTCATAGCGCTGGAATATGTGGATCGATGGGAAAACCGGCTTCAGGCAAGATGTACCTCACAATTTTATATTTCCAATCCTTGATGCAGGAAACACGCAACTCAAGGTCATAACCGACTCTACGGTGGTCAGAGTTCTCTTTGATGAAAATAAGCGAGCCACGGGAGTGGAATACGTTCCTACGCGCTCAGATCCTTCCACTAAACCCACAATAGTCCGTGCTAAACAGCTTGTTGTGGTTGCAGCCAATGCGCTGGGTTCTCCCCAGATCCTGCAGAGGTCCGGAATTGGCAACAAATCGAAACTCGAAGCCCTCAGTATTCCAGTAGTCTCCGATGTGAAAGGGGTGGGAACCAACTACCAGGATCATCATGGCATCTTCTACACTTACTACTCCAAAGCAACACCAGAGGAAACGTTGGACGGGCTGCTCAGAGGCCGACTTCCTCTCGAAGCAGCGATGGCGCAAAAGCTATCTAGTCCGGGCCGCCACGTGCTGGGATGGAATGGCCTTGACTGCACAGGAAAGCTTCGACCCACAGAAGAAGAAGTCAAAGAATTCCCCCCTGCGTTGCTGGAAGCGTGGAACAATGATTTCCGTGACAGGGAGACTCGACCGTTGATGATATTCGGCACAGCTGCGCTGAGCTTGGCGCAAAGAGACCCACCGCCCCAAGGACAGTATTTCACCATGGCCGCATACACCGCCTACCCGTACTCGCGAGGGTCGATTCATATCACGGGCAAATCCGTCACTGACATTCCAGAGTTTGACTCTGGATATTTCAATCACCCGGCGGACCTGATGAAGCAGGTATGGGCCTATAAGAAGCAGCGGGAGATGGCACGTAGAATCCCATATTACAACGGCCCGGACAGGTTTACCCATCCAACTTTCCCGCCGGGATCAAAGGCAGATCCCGACGTAGTGGACGCGGCTTCCAAGGCCAAGGGATACCCCGTGCCGATTGAATATTCTGAGGCTGATAATGAGGCGATCGAGAAATTCATCTGTGAAAAGCTCAACACCACTTGGCACAGTCTGGGTACCTGTGCAATGAAACCGCGGGAGCAGGGAGGAGTGGTAGATAAGGACTTGAATGTGTATGGCGTTGAGAGGCTCAAAGTCATTGGTAAGCTGATTCCTGGTCACTAACTGTTAACTCGTTCGTGAGCTCTTCCATTGTAATATCATGCTGATAGCGATTCTTAGACCTGTCCATTTGTCCTGGTAACGTGGCGGCAAACACGTACTCAACAGCCCTAGCTGTTGGAGAGAAAGCTGCGAGCATCATCGCTAAGGATTTGGGTATTCCTTATACTGTATAAATTGAATTTTTTCATGGGACGGTTTCTCTGTTTCTCGTAAAGTAAGAACGCATCGGGAGAGTTCATTTTCATATGGGAACGAGTTGTAGTTATGGGTGAAGGTTGCTCGTAACTATTTAATAGTTAAGCGGCAGTTTAAATATTTGATAAACATTGCAGTCCACCAAAGTCTCCAACCTCAAAATATCGCTCCTGGACATTGCTCTGGTAGTCTATCTAAAGCATCTCCACGAAGATTGCGTGCAATAAGACTACACACCTGACCTGTAGCTTATTCCACGTAGGAGTGGGTATTCAACAACATCGCGGATGAAGATGATTCTTGGTCGCTCAGACCATTTGAAAAGTGGGTAGCCGAGAATCAACCCCGGAGCACATAACAGTCCATGACTGCGCCTGGATCCGGCCAACTTGGAACCAAGGAGCTGTTGAATACTATTAACTAGTATTTAACTTAACTAGTTAACAGTGAAAACGACTAACCAGGGCCTGTTTTCCTCGGTTTCTAGCAGTCGCTTGGGGGTTGGGACTTGAATGTTCCTCCTTGGAGGTCCTTTTTGCTAGCAGACATCCCCACGGCGGCTCGTATTCTCTCTTCGACGCTCACCCATATTTATTCCCTTCGTTCATTCTTTGCCCTTTCGTGGCAGATATACATCCGGAGGGAATACTGTATCTTCATACATTGCCATCTAGGCGCCATACAGTCGATTTTTATTGGCCCATCACCTACCTCGATTGAGCAACATGGAGGTGAAACTCAACCTCGCGACTGTCAAGGCGCTCCTGGCTAGCGCCCCTGTTCTGCTTAGAATAATGGTTTTGAATCTTTTATCGCGATCTCCTGCTGCTGGAAAGCAGGACCTGCGGGTCGAGCTTGTGGTCAATTTGATCCGATCGTTTATCACGTTTTCCCACCCCGTGGGCAAAACCCAAAGGGGAACCCTGAGTGATCCAGGGATTAAAGGGCCGACGTGGATATCGAAGGTGACGATGCCCAGACCTGCTGAACCCTCCATCATTCAGTCTATTATGAGGGCCGTGGATCATTATAAGGAAGGTCATGAGACCTATCATATCCCGGAACTGGTTGATGTTGAAGCGGAATGGACGGGCTACCGAAGCGGAGTCAACGCCAGGGCTCCGCAGCCGAATATTTCTGAAGCAGAGAAGTATGAACAATTGATGGGAGAGGTTAAAGAGGACCTTACTATCCTATATCTACACGGTGGTGCATACTAGTACGTTGGGTCATGTTCAATTATTATTGCCGCGGAATGACGACCAATACCTAACAACCTTACCCAGCTTAATGGACCCATGCACTCATCGTGGCACAACATCAAGGTTGGCCAAGGAGACGGGAGGACGCTGTCTCTCTGTCCGTTATAGACTAGCCCCTCAGGATCCTTTCCCATCTGCCATCCTCGATGCGCTGTTGGCCTATTTATACCTCTTATCCCCCCCAGAAGGATCCTTGCACCCCCCGGTTCCAGCAAACAAGATCGTGTTTGCTGGCGATTCAGCCGGCGGAGGGCTTAGCCTCGCTCTTCTACAAGCTATCTTAACCCTACGCCGTCTGTCTCCCAATCCAACAATCCAGTTTCATGGGAAGGACGTGCCTCTCGAGCTCCCTGCGGGAGTAGCCGCATGCAGTCCATTTTGTGACGTTACGCTCTCCTTACCGTCAACCACCAGTAATGTCTACCTCGACTACCTCGTACCACGTTTTGGCCAAGAGGCAGATTTCAAACCATTCCCATTTCCTCCAGACTCCGCCTGGCCGGCGTCCCCACCACGCGCTGAATTCTACGCCAATGCCAACATGCTAACCCACCCAATGGTATCCCCCTTAAGCGGGTCGAAAGATATATGGAAAGATAGCCCTCCAATATTCATCACGGTTGGTGAAGAGGTGATAGAAGATGACAGCATCTACCTTGCAAAGAAGGTGCACGAGGCTGGCGGCACTGTCATCCTCGAGCGATTTGAGGGAATGCCACACTGTTTTGCCATGATCTTTGGCGATACTCCAGGAGGGAAACGTAGCTTTCAGGGCTGGAGCGGCTTTTGCCTTGATGCCGTGCATGGCCGGGTAAAAAGGACAGACGATGCCTTCTATATCGACCATCGTGGACAGACAATCGTAACGAAGAAATTAAGCGAGATTGGGACGCTGACTGATGAGGAAGTACAGGAGAAAATGCGAAAGGGAATGGAATGGAGGATTAAAGGGGAGGATGTGCTTGTGAAGGCATGGGAGGAAATGCAGAAAAAGGCAAAGCTATAAAACAGGATTGCATGGATGGATTTGCATGTTTTTATTTTTCTTTGTTGTTCGCTTGTTGGGGATTTGTATGACGACATGAATCTATATAACAGGTCAAGCGTGATGATTTTAAATTTCCGTTGTCATAAACATTTATTATCTCCTTTCCAATATTAGCTTCCGAAAGTTCCGCACCTCAGCATATTGTTCCACCCACAGGGTCCTGTTGATATGATCTTCCTTTTGATCCCTGCTTTGAGCCAGTGGTTTATTAAGAATCCGTATCTGCGTTTCTTATGGACATGGAAGAGGATTCATGAAAAAGTAAAAGTTCATATATATGTTTAAATTTAGCCTCGAAATGAAACCACCAGGTCGAGGACAATATTTTCATTGTTACCTTTCACTTTCGAGAATGAGACCAGCTCATCTATCATATATGTAACGTACAGCACATACATCCATGCCAAATAGTAGCGTGAAATATATAAAAAAAAAGGTGAAATAATAAAATTCTAGAAAAGGGCAGAGAAAAGAGATATGGGCCTAAATGGCCGCTTCGTCATACGGTTCCACGCATAATAGACTTGAGAGCTTCTTGCCCACTTACCATCTCACAATCGTATGACTTCCCTAAGGCGCTCTTCAAATAAATGGGGGCAAAAGGAGATATCGTCTCCTATATTCTCGCAGCATAGTATCATCCCAGCTCCTGAGGACGGGGTTGATCAGGCGTAGGCAATTCTACTGGAATTTCGACCCTTTTTTTTGTTGCCCCGTAGGTTGGGTAGGCACTTGGATTGGGCTGGAATCGTTTGTTTTTCTGAGTGCGCCAGACAAACAATACGACAAAAAGGACAAGGACGAAGCCTAAGGATATGCCGAAACCTATACCAAATTTGGCCTCTTGCGAAAGTCTGGAAGGGGGAGGCGCCGCACCGGGAGATGTGCTTTGTGGCGCTTTGCTGGCTAGTCTAGAAGTCGATGACATCGCGCTAGTCGCGGACGTGGACGTCGTCAAGGTCGTGTTGTCGATGGTTTGATTTGCGCGAGATTTGATGCTTCCGTCATGATTTAGGAAAAACCCACGCTTGTCGATGCAGCAGGTAATGTCTTTGACACAGCAGTAGCTGCCATCCGCACAAATATTGACTCGGGGGAGGAAAGTACCGATATCATTATCTTATTCAATTGATGCGATGTTAGCAATTGATACTCTCTGGACACTGGACGTGATTCCCAGGGTTGTTTCTCGTGCTCCAATCTCATCGTCCGAGTCAACGTACCGTTTATGCAAACTTTGGCACAGTTGTTTGACCATGGGAAATATTTGCACGTTGCACGGACGAGAGTATTCGGGTCGTTGTTAGAAGTGCACAGTCGGTCTGGTCGGCATTGTCCAACAGTTTGACAACAGGAATCGGAATCTGGACATTTTGTATTGTTCCAGAACGCTGAGCCCGTGGTATCATAACATGTTATCTTCGAAGTGTTCCCGCTCATTTTAATTGAAAGGCAAGAATGCCGTTTGAGGAGAAGAGGTAACTAAAGGGGTTTTGGACTGTTAAAATGACGGAGAGCATTTCTGCAGAAAAAAGTCGAGAATCTTGCTACCCAGGCACCCTTAAAATGGGGAAACGGCCGCTCTAGGCCAAACTCATGAAGGATCTTCCTATTATTATCATGGGTTCCCCAGCAAATTGGCTGTGGATTCAGTGCTGGCTTGCAGTTTGTGTTTCCAACCGCCCTCCTGGGCGGCTAAATGAAAATTAAGGGCAGATGTCATTGGCCTTTGTAAGCCTTGCTAGGTTGACACAAAGTCCACATGGGAACTTAACATGAGAGTCCTGTTATCGGTAGAGCTAGGCTGTGTTCTCGATGGTATCAGATCTGTGAGATAGACTGAATTCCCTTCGGACTCTCTGGGTGGTGAAATTATCTGGTGTCAGTATACCTAGCCCACCATGGGCACATGCCTTGGTGAATATTGTGCAAGCATTGGCAGCATAACTAGTAACTAGTTATTCTCGGAGTTCCGACCAAGCCAAGCATTGCTAACCGCCCTTGATCAAGTGTAAGAACAGTTCATCAAAGTTCACCAGTGAGTAATAATATCACAGCGATTCAAGAAAGGGATTGCAATCAACTAGCGCTCCCTGCGAAGAACAAGGCAAGATATGCATAAGCTTGAAGTTTAGTTGATATCCCCACAGTCTGTTCTCAAAACGTGGAAAATGGCTGGGGATTGGCACCGGTGGAAGGACTGATTTCCTTGCACTGGGCGGATCCCCATAAACTCCAACCCAACATTCATCCAGTCAGATAACCACGTTCTACCAAGCAGTCAGCCTCCGAATCCTGCCGCTCTGGCTGCAGGGGTGTGCATATAATGAAACGTGCTTACATTGGAACGTACGTATTCATCCTTCAAGTACCGTGGGATTTTGAGCTGCTCTCAATCCTTTATGAAAATCCACCATGCCCGTTGCAAAATTAAAGGAATTAAAAACAAACACTAATATAGTACGGGCCACAAAATTCAATCGTTTCCATGCATGACACCATAAAGTACCGATGTCCACCCGAAAAACTCCAAGGGTCCGGATAACGCTGCACAAAAACAAATCATGTGGACGAAGAGAGTGAAAATAAACATGACAACAACATAAACAGCCAAGGGCAGGGGAATATAATAACAGCACCACCATCCGCAGAAAGACCATATTTCCAAACAAATATGTAAAACAGAGATGGCTATACATATTCATCCTGCATCATACCCATATCCGCGCTAGGTTCAAACTGCTCAAAACTGGGCTGATAGGCGGGAGTCTCCTGGTAATAATCCCACACAGGCCACTCTCCATCAGGCGGGCCGTCGAAAAATCCGCCCCAAATACCGAGTAGCTGGGCTATAACTCGGAATCCGGCAACCAATACTTTCCCCACAGGCTTCAAGATGACCGAGAGGCCCGACCAACGCCAGAGCATTGTGGGTATTACCAGCGGCATCCGCGGCGCATTGGGATCTAGGCAATTCCGCTCGCATGTCGAGGCATACATTGGATGGCAGTAATAGTCACACATGACAAGTTCTGAAATGCACCAAGTGAAAATTACAATGACAAACCAGCTCAGGCGGGTGAGGCGGAGCCGATGGGTATCTGGTTGACGATACCAAAGTCGCGGTAATGAAATTGCGACGTGATTCCGACCATCACAGGGAGAGTCCGTGTGGCTGTGGTGAACAATTTTGTTGGTTTGTTTGGTGTTTCGCAATGCTAAGATATTGGAGTCCTTCGCGATCTGGCGCTCGAGGCTTGCGAGCCCTGACTGGGTAGCATTGATACTCCGAACAAGAGACTTAAGTTTCGTATCTAGCCGTTCAATAACGGAATCGTCTGCTTGGCAGAGGGTTTCGATTTTGATCTTATCTTCTTCCTCATCATTTTCAGACTTGATAAAAACTTTGGAATCCAGGGCTGAGTTCTCGTCCAGAAGTTCCTGTAAGGAGTCAATGGTATTCTCTCCAAGCACTAAACTATGATCTCCGGATTTTGCGTCCTCAATTACTGCTTCCAATGCGCTTCGCGGTAATTTGGGTTTCTCCAGTAGTTTTAATGGAGCCCGCCTTGGCTTTGGCTTTGGTCTCGGTTCTTTCTGTAGTTCCTGTGGTTCTTTTGAATCTTGCGGGGTCTTTTCTACGTCCACTTGGTGTCGGATTTTGTATGGATTTTGACGTTGGTTTTGAGTTGGATTATGAACTTCATTTTGGGTTTGATTTCGAGCTTTCATACTCGGCGAATCGATATCCACGGTAGAGTCCTCCTGGGGCGCTGCAACAGGTTCAGCAGCACGATCAGGAACCGGTGTATCTATCCATGCGCCAGTGACCACTGGCGTTTTAACGTTAAGTAATGTGTTGTCCACTTGGTTCTGCTCTGGCGTACTGGCCACACTTGGACTTTCTCTTCTCGAAAGTGTCCGTAAAAGTTCCTGGGGGTCGTTTTTGCTTAGATGTCTTGGCCTCTTTTCTCTCTCCGCATTACGATATATAACGATAGGCGTATTAGGTATAGGATCGCCTTCTATTGGCGGTCGGATATGTTCCTGTGACTCCCTACTTTTGATTTCTCCTAGGCTATTTGTCGCTGGGCGTTTCTTCTTCTCAAGATCTTCAATTTCACTCCTTGCGGGAGCATTATTTCGTACAGGTGGGCTGTTTGAAACCTGTAACGATCGGGCTGTAAAATCGATGTCGTTTTCTAACCTTTGGTCGACCGGCTGCACTAACTCCTCTTGAACATGATTGTTGTTCCCATTTTGTCGACTGACTTTGCTCAGCCAATCCTTCGACACTCGCCCACGTAACCCCCAAGTTTTTGGAACATTAAATGAAGGCTCGACATCGTAGCGAAACAGTTCCTCTTCATTTCGACGTTGTATATTTTCAAGAGACAGAGCAGCCTTTGGGCCAACATTTGCTTTGCTAAAAACCGGAGATTGACTGTGTGTAACGCGGTTCAGCCTGCCCTCATCCATGGCATGCTGGGCGAGTTTTTGTCGTAACGAGTCATCTGAAATATCGCTAAAACTAAGGCTGGAGTCATTGAGGTCCCCAGCACCAGCATATTCCTCTTCATATCGACGGGCGCCAGGGCTCGGAGAGGCACTTTGCGTCCGCTCGCGTCCGGGTTGAACGTAGGGAATGTTATAGTCATCCTGAGCAACAGAATCAACCAAGTCATCCGCGTCGTTGATGTGCTGATAGGTTTCGCTCAGTCCATACGGGGGACTTGATACTTCTGACATGGGTGATGGCTCAGAGAACTTCCTTTCCCGCGCCATCGCTCGTCCTGGAGGTGTTTTCTGTTCCCTCCCGGGGCTTGCTGGTAGTGGTGAGCCAGCTGCAGCAGCTTGGAATGCGCCTTTCAGCGTCCTGGTATTGCTAAACGCGACGCGAGATTGTCCATCATTCCCAGGACTTAACGTAGGAATCCGCGACTGATAGAGGCTGTCTTTCACGAGGCCATTTCGTTGCGGTCGCCGAAATCGAAGTTCATCGTCATTGTTGTCGCGGTACTGCGAGCCGTGTGGATGGGCAGTGTGGTCACCGGTAGACATATCTTGAGTTGGATTAGTTCCAGAATTCCATCACAGACATCGCCTGCATAGCGCCAGATGTCTATAACACTTGACGCTCTGCTTTGTTCGGTCTCTCAAGTCCGGGGTGCGAGGTTGGGTGTGTTTGTCCGATTCCCAGACCGCGTCTGCAGAACACACACACTTCTGCCCAAAGCGGACTAGCGCGGATCTTCTTATCCACGGTAAATTTTCCTGGATACAACTTACCGTTGAAAGTCTTTTCCAACGGCCCACCCGATAAAGGGGGAAACATAAAACAGGCTACCTAGGTAGCTAATTCAATTTTTCCGCTCTGGAACCCCCCGATTTGGGCCCTTTAATTCGTTCACAATTGGGTCCTTGGTGTAAAATATGTTTATGTAATAGCTACTGGTTGGTTTTGATCAATCTATTGGTCGTTCTATATAACTCACTCCTATACTCGAGGTGAGTGACCAAAAGATGCCTATTAAAAACTCCTATTTATTGATTTACTTACTCACAATTGAATAGGAGTCCTACATAATTCAAGTATTGCACAGAGTGGCTCTTTAACTTGAATCTACTTACAACCCTTCCGCGGAATGCATAGTGATTCCTTAAATTATACCTACAGAGCTTCTATAAAATTCAACAAAACACCTTCAATTCCAAACCCAGATAAAGGGAACGAAACATGGCAAAATCCACAAAATCCACATTAAGTAAAAAGCAAGCGGCAGCAACCACTGCAAAGTCCTCATTCTCAGAATCCCAATCCCGAACCCTCCCGCCACCTCCCTTCAACCCCGCGCCTCAATTACTTCAGCCATTCCTGGAACCCCTATCGCCAAAACATGTCTACCTCATTCACCTCGACACGCATCCAAAGGCGCACAAGCGCCAAATCTTCCTCATGCCTCTGTTCCTAGACATAGCCATTCTAGCCATCATCCTCCTCAGGATATATACGGGTTACACCGCCTACGTCGACATCCTCACCCTGCTGGTAGGGCAAAACAGCCCTGCAAGAGTGAACACATCAATCACTAGCTGGGGCGAACTAGCTAGCATCGTCGTCCGCAGAACTTTGACTTTTATATTTGACTACCTCCTACTTACCATCTTCCTACCATGGCCAGTTCGGTTCCTTTTCGGACCTGCTCACTGGCGCTATAAGATTGGCTTTCAAATTCCTGAAGTCGTGGTGCGGAAGAGCAGGTCGTCGTGGAGTGACAGTCTGCAGCCCTTGGTGTGGATTCGCGAGGATGACGAGACGATAAAGACTAAGATTCTATCAGCTGTGACGCCGCAGCGGCTGCTGAAGACGGGCTATTTGCTCATAGATGCGGATTGGGATCTTGATTTTACCGCCATGGTCAAGGCGCACGAACTTGTTGGACAGGACAGGTTAAAGTTTGATGACTTTAAGACTGCCGTACTTGTTCACGGGGGTGGGGCGGATGGTATGGATTGGTTGGTTTGGAAGGTTGAGGAGGAAAAGAGTGATGCTAGTTCTTCAGAAGAAAAGCTTTCGGATTCCCAGCGTGATAAGATTGTCATGTTCCAAGAGAAACTGGCGGCAATGGGGAAGGAGGATTTGTTTTTCCGTTGGGTGGAATTGATTCAATATGAAAGTACGCAGCCCGGCGGGTTTACTCCGGAAAGACAGCGGAAAGCTATGCAGGAGACGAAACAGTTGTTTGAGGAGCAAGGGGTGGATTTTGAGAAATTTTGGGCTGATGTAGGCGGGATGGAGGGGATAGATATGTGAAGGGGACTGGTCGTATGTAAGCATGAATCTTTAACTTTAGCATCGGATATATTACACCTATGGTTGTTTCCGATAGTTCTCCAAAGGCTGTTTGTTGTCACTGAGATCTGATGGTATTTGCACGATGTGAAACGGACAAGCGGACACGGATATTCAATTAAAATCTCATCCTCATACCACTCACTCAGCAGTTCATCAAAGGAAAATATCATGTGGGTACATCAAACTGCCAATAGTAACGTATCCAAATATTACTGAAAAGGGAAAAACGCTAAATCGGTCCAAACAAAAGTGTGCATCTAGTTATTCCAATGAAAGTCAAAAAAAAAAAAATAAAAAAAAAATATAAATATAAATAAATAAAATAAAATAAAATAACAAATAATAAATACAGATTGACACTGAAAACTTCGATACTCACAATAAAATATAAATAAAACAAGGGGGTAAAGAAAATAAGTTGAGCTATCTGAAAAATCATGCAGCCCGACCAAAAGCTCTTCAACTTTGGATTCATTATTATTCCATATCTCTCTTTCATTATTCTAGCGCTTTGAAACGCTAACAACTCATCGTTCATGCTTTCGTATTAATAAATAGTAAGTAGCCTTGAGCCACACAAAGTTACCTATTAAAGGGTCGTTACGTCATCACTTCGTAAGGAGGGGGAAAAAAAATCAACGCTTTTTGGATATAAAATATCAAGGGAGCAGATCGTAGGCGTCGTGGGTCTCGTTTTATCATATCGGTTTTATTTTAGCAAGGGTAGGCAGGCCATATCAACGTGGTAAGTAGTTGGCGGGAAGAGAAGTCAACAGCCTGAGAGAGCGGAGAATTTTAAATGGCACAAGCAGTGGCGGCCATTGAGGATTTAAGAGTTGTGTCTCTATTTGCAGCGGGGTTGTGCGGATGTAGGTGTAGCTGTAGGTAGGTCCAGCCATGGCTGGTGGATGATGTATTAGAACAAATGCGAGACGGGAAGCGTGCAGAATTCTTCATTGACGTCGAATGCGATGGCGTAGATGAGTTATTCGAGACAGGAAATCTTCCACATCTAATGGTAAAATATCATATGAGTATGCTATGGCTTGGCAAGTTGAAAGGATCTCGAATGCTGGGGGTTTTTAATGTTATAAGGGCAGATCCACGACAAAGTCTCACATCCAATCGTAAGATAGAAAGCCATATAGAGACCAGTGGGGTGAGAAATTGTAATAAGGAGGGAAAGGTAAAGGGGAGCCGGACAAAAGTCACTTACCCAGTTCACTATTGAAGGTCAGCACATGCTCATTGTGTTGCGTCACGAGGGGAATGTAGTCGTCGGAATTGATGAAGACGGCGCGATCAAGCTGGGAAAGGATAACGGTTGTGGGGCTGGCTTTTCGTAGCCATTGCTTCAATAGTAGAAACTCATGAATAAATGCTGTCCATACAGGAACGCTGCAAAGTAAAATAAACCAAATATGTGTAAGTCACGACTTCGGTCACTTAAATTTCCCGTTTACGCAATCGAAAATAGAAAAGGATTTCCTCTTGGGATCAGATGCAAATAAGGAGGAGAAGGGGGTGATCAGTGTAGACGTACTCCGCCATGTCGCCATTAAGAACAGACGCCTGCAGGCGTATCACCTTGGTAACGGGATCGCGGAAAATACGAAGAGCGTGTAGATAACCGTTATCGTGAATACGACTGTGCAGATAATTGATGAGTATCAGGTCGCTTGAATGGATATGCTATCTTGACTTCAGAGCTATCTATACCTACCCCGCGTAAAATTCCTCCTCATCCAAGGTAAACGAGTCAGGGACGCTGTTCACTACATGGCCAGAGTCCTGCCCTCGAAGCGCGATGAATGCACAATGAAACAAGATCATTTCTGGAAGGGTAGTTAGGTATGAGATCCAAAGAAAATAGATATATGAAGAGAAGGGGTAAAAAAACAAGTGTTCGTCTTGCGTACTTTCAATTGTATCAAATTGGAGACTCAACCACGCTTCCAACTGGCCTGATTTGTCCTTCAAACAGAGTCGGAGGTATGAAGCTGTCTTATCACGGGTAATATGGATTTTGTTAAGTGGTTGTGTGGCATAATATATCTTCGATGGCGAAATGCGGACTTGGCACATGATCCTTGCGCGATGATCACGGTCACGCAAATATAACATGGCAGTCAGATTTGGGTTGAAGTTCCTTGAAAAGGATAAGTTAGAGAACCAAAGAACCAGATGTATTTTTACTCTGTTTCCTTTGTATAAAAGAAAAAGGAAGCTGTACTTACAATCGAAATAATTCGTCATACTGAGTTTCTAGATGACCAAGTACGTTGGGCAAGGAACTAGAGGCATGACATTTCGAACTGTGAATAGGATTAGGATGCGAATTTTACTTTTTAAATTTTTTTTTTTTAGGGAAGAAGAAAAAAAAAATTGAAAAAGTAACAAATAAATAAAACCCACCCTTGGCTGTCCTGAGGCAACGGAGTTGCAGAGGTAAGGCGACTAAACAATGACACAGCCCAGTGATCAAATGGATCAAGAAACGAGAAAGAATCCGTGCTGGTAGAGTCCGCCGTCAACGATGACTCTGGTGCACCAAATGAAGAAGAAGGACTTTCAGCATCAAACCAACCAGGGGGGTGCGGAGACTGAAGTCGACTCTGCGGCCTTCGCCGTTCGTATGAGCGTTTCAGGGTTGGGATCACAGGCGCTGCTGCTCCTGCTGGTTTGCGGAGCGAGCTCTTTAGTTGCGGCGTACTAGGACGGTGACGTAAATCAGGATGTGGTGCATGGGGTGCTGGAGGGGGGACCGGTGGCTGAGGTGCATGAGGGATGGCACGGGGGGCAGGTATCGAAGGGTTGAGAGGCCTCGCGTTGTGTGCAAAATTTGCCTGCTGCTGCCGTTGGTGCGCTGCAGCAGCATATCGCCTATCCTGGTTCACACGAAGGGTATTTATGGCTTGGCGGAGGTTGTTGAGCGTCGCCGGATCTCCTGGCTCACTAGAATTGAACTAGAGTTAACAAAGATAACGTGCTTTGCGGGAATATCACTTGACCTTGAGTATGATAATAGCAAGATAAGATCATAGGGAGATCAGGGACGGCCTACTTTCTAATGACCAGAACTATCTCCAACAGCATTTTCTGGTAGTATTGGAGCCGGATCAGAAGGGGGTACCCTGCCTCATGGAGATAGTAATCACGCAGACGGAACCAGGCATCTCGAATATTCTGCTGAAAAACCTTGACCCCGCCGCCATCATCCACGGCAACAAAAAAGTCATTGGCCACCCGGACGGTATGGTGAAGACTCGCCCTAACGACCAGTTCTACATCGTTGATGATGAAGCTAAAGTTGGGTCTCAGCGGGGAATTATGTAGAGTTTCTAGAGAGCGGAGACTGGCGCTGATGGTAAAGAGCTCTGAGATTACAGCGGTGATATTGACAGCATCCTCTGGAACATGTGCGACAAACTTGCTGAGAGTGGCAGCGACATTATCAGTCTCCGCGGCTGATTGCAGGAAACCCATACTGGCACAGTTGACCGGGTCAATGGCAGGCCATCACAGGCAGAAGATCTAAAGGGACGAATGTATACATCCAAGGGTTGAACTATGCGCTTGAAGTAAATATAAAGTAGTTGTACTGGTGAATGTAAAAAAAGAAAATAAAAGGAGAGAAAAGAAAAGAAAAAGGAAAAGGAAAGGAAAGGAAAGGAAGAAGATATGTCCCAAAAAATATATAAATATGAATCAGAGCCGCCGGAAAACCGTCCGACTACAGAGAGAGAGAGAGAGAGAGAGAGAGAGAGAGAGAGAGAGATCCCTCAAGCACCGAAACGAATGGGGGCGGGGGTGATAAAAACATGAAGTTGGAAATAGAAACAGAAATAGACGCGGCTCAGGGGGGCGGGGGGGGGGTTTAGGTCTTCGGGGCAGATCAGCGGGTGAGTTGGCACCACCAAGTCCGCATCTGCCTGCTAGCCCCATATCAGCCTAGCCGTGCCCCTCCATTGTTCGAAGAGAGTGGATTAGTCACCCCTCGGCAAGCACATCAACAGGCAAGCCTGACGCTGTCTGTCCATGGGGCCCATTGGGCTGGGGCCTTGACCATGCGCGTTTCCCGATTCCTTCCATCGCCAATTGCCCGGAGACCATATTCCTGCTCGGGCACACAGCGTCTCTAAGCTTCGTTTCCGAGAACTCCACGTCCAATCAGTTTTCTCTCTGCGGCGTTGTCGGTCTGGCTTGGTGCTGATGCACCTGTAACTCTCCGACACCACCTCTCGCCAGCCAGCGCAGAACTGCGGATGTTGAACTAATTACTTGACATGGCACTGTCGGCTCAAGTCACTTGTGCTGAGCAGAAATGCACGGAGCAGAACATCCCCACCCTCGGCTTCACGATGGTTGAAAGGAGTGCTGGCATCGGGTCATCTGGCTCATCTCTAACACACTGGCCGCGGTCCCAAAATGGATGTGCTTTCTTGGAGAGAGGCGCTTGCTGATTGCTTGAACTGCTTTGAAGTGGGTAGGTCCATTGTTTTTATCTTTTATTACTATTATTATTATTATTATTATTATTATTATTATTATTATTCTTTTGAGTATTTATCTGATTTGAAGCAGTAAATGCATGTTACGGGATGGACTGTACATACATTCCTCAGGAGGTTTCCTTTTGATCTTCATAAATTTCCTCACCAGCCATTTTATATTCTTTCTAATACAGCCGACCGGAAGATTCCGTATTAAAAATCTATAAATAAAATCATCAAAGAGTGAATCCAACAAGGCTGAAACCAATAAAAGGCCATGAAAAACTCTTGTAATTCTTATTCAAAGCCGTCAAGCTAGCCCGGGGAGACGAAGTAAGACAGATCACAACTTACCAGTCCATCAATGAGTCAAGTGGTTAAAACACGCCTCTTTTTCGAACAACTTCTTCTTGAGAACCCAGTCATTCTCACCTTGCATGGTCGCGAGACACTAAATCACTGCGCCGCCTTCATTGGCTCAGAGTCAAGGCATTCCGAGGAATTGACCTTGGGGGAAGATTTTTTATATAAAATACATAGATGCCTGAAATGTTTCCCGCAACTAGAGTTTCTTCCGGAAGAACTTTTATCCACAAGAGCAGATCACTTGATCTCACGCGCCACCGAGGGACGCCGGACGCGTCTTCGATAGGATGTTCAACTGCTCAGCTCTGCTTGGGACTAACGATATAAGGGAAAAGCGATGGTTGGATATACGGTATACATCAATCCAGTAGTCACTAATGCTAGCAACGACAGGTAGGTACACCGCAGCATTCTGAGAAATCTAAAAGAGAAACCTAGGTATGAGATATATGCCAAGATAGAGAACAAACGTGGCAAATGAGATTGATTTTCTTTTGTGTAAAGCTAGTGTACAAAACAAAAAGAGGGGGGGGGTGTTGGAGGGAGAGGTTATTTGGCTGTTCATACTTGCGCATGGAACTGGCCCTTGGGAGAGAAGGTAGTCAATGGTTAGAGAAGAAAGTACAACTTGTTTTTAAAATTTTGCTCCCACGAACAAGTCATCGGGTCCATTTCGAGAGATCTGGCTTGGTATGGAGGGATTGATTACAGCGGGGAAGATGCGTGAGTGAATTCTCCCAATTTTTTTTTTCTGCCCTGACCCCCCCCTTTTCCGATCCGAAGTCTGCACAGCCATAGAGACAACTAAAACATACAGCGTAGAACCACGTTTCAAGCAGGCGTGGAAGGAAAGGGAAAGGAAGAAGGAAACAGAAGAGAGAAAAACCAAACAAACAATTACCCGATTAACCCCTTCATTAGAACAAAGAGAAAAAGAACAGAAATGGAAATGGAACTTGCGAACCAGTGAGGAATATGAAGGAACACGAAAACAACGAAATCCCGCAAATTTGACAAACCACCCGTCATTCCCATCCCAGCAGAACAAGAAGAGAGAAAAGAAGGAGAAAAGAAAAGAAAAGAAAAAAAGAAGAATGGAAAAGAAAAGAAAGTAAAAAGAGGAACCATTCGAACCGATTTAACACGTGAGAAACAGAGCGGATAGGTAGAGCAAGTTGAAACGCACGACATGAACAGCATATAATAGATGCCTGCCATCACGATGGAACCCATATGCTCATGGGATCACACGTGCATCGACAGACTTCTACATATATTTTTACTTAAGAGGACTCGTCTTCATCCTCGTGCGCCTTGATGGATAAATCGTTAGTACACGGAAAAACTGCGATGAAAGGGTGGGGGAAGGATAAGGCAACATTGAACATACATTGTAACTGGCCTTTTCATCCTCATAGCGTTTCTTGTCGGCAGCAGCCTTGGCTTCATACGGAGCACGCTGCTTCTCGTTCAACGCCTTCCATCTCTCTCCAAGGACCTTGCCAACCTGGCCTGGACAAGGAAGACGTGTCAGATCAGATCTCTCTAGGTATGGAGACGATGGCACGATGAGAGGGAAGAGAAAGAAATGACATACCGAAAGAAATTCCAGGATTCTCTTCCCGGACGTTATCGCGCTGCTCATTGGCGAAGAACATGTAGGCGGATAGACCGCGTTTGGGGGCATTAGGGTCTGTGAGTTGGGGGTG